CATTATTGCCTGTTCGTCTCGATTTATCGGCGTGTTTTGCAGCGAGAAATCAATTTCAGCTAGCGTCAATCTCGCCCGGTAGCTCTCGGGCCCTTTAAGAGCTTTTTTCTCGCGCAAACGTTAATTTTATTGCGCTCGGCGGAAAATCTAACCACTCGACCGTCCCTTCCTGGCGCATATTTCTCTTCTTCGTCTTTTTTTTTCGCGTTACGCCTGGCTGACGTTGCTATTGACATTATTTTTTCCAGGGAAAATCGGATTATTGTTACTTTTTGTTACTTTTTGGCAGAGTAAAAGTTTATTACTATGAATAATTTTTGAAGTTTCGAAATCCTTAAAGCTACAATTCGATGCGAGGAGAGCATGTAATATGCACAAAGCTTTTAGCGACCCAGTTCTTACGGCTCTTTCACGTAAAATTTAACTTTGCAATAAAAAGTAATTGTCTGGCTCGTTTTAAAATATTACACGACGTACTTTACTCATGCTAACGTACTATCTTTGTGAGTTTAAATTGATACATGTAAAAAAATAAGCAAAAAAACATCACAATGCAGCATTTTCCGACTGAACGTAGAAAAAAAAAAAGCGGTATTCGACGTTCAAGCATAGGAGGCAAATAATATTTTTTTCTTCCCATAGCCGCGCGCGCAAGAAATCAAAGCAGCACAACAAACGAGCCAATCGAGCATATCCCCATAGTCCCTTACGGCACATATATAAAAGACGAGTAGTAGCAGAGGCCAAAGGGCCTTCTCGTCCCGGTGAGAGTTGAGCGCGGTAACGAGGCTCGATGTCTCAATTTCGCGCCGAGGGGTGATCGGCACTGGGCGATAAGCCACCGGCTGATTATTATTTTCACCCGGCCACCGGCATATATTGTCTCTCGATCTTATCTCCCGCGCGTTTGCCGGGGGATCGTCTTTTCACTGCTGCTGTCCCCAGATTTGCCGCCGTTCATCTCTCTCTCTCTCTCTCTCTCTCTCTCTCTCTCTCTCTCTCTCTCACTCTCTTTCTCTTTCTCTGATATACTTTTTTCTTTCTTTGTTGGTAGAGGGCTGCATCGACTAGATTGACTAGATTAAGGAGTTGTAATTAATGAAATCATAATTGTGAATGATGAAATAAGTATTTTGATTAAGAAATGTTTTCTGAAAAAGTTTTGCTGATTCAATTATACTGATTTTTCTGAGCAATGCAGAAACATGTTAACATTAATTTTTTAATATTTCAATTGCTGAGCGTAATTTTGAATTAAAAAACTTATAATTCGTCAAAGCATCTTAATTTGGATTCGCATGAAAGGCTGATCGACCAAAACAATGTCACTGTCAAACAATATTTCAACTCGTTTGCACATCCGGATTAAGCCACAAATGTGAATTTAACAAGTGAAACATCTGCCTGTGGAAGATAAAATAAATGAAAAATAAAGATGTAGAGCAGTTGTAGCACTGCAAGCTCAATCTAGCCGAAAGTAGCGCGGAGATATTGTTAGGATGAAAGTAGCCGATCACATTCAAGCAGTTTATCTGCTGGGTAGCAGCTTCCAACGACTTCGACGGGGGCCAATCGGATTTGGAATCCATAAAAATGAGCCAAAGTTGCTTTGCCGAGCTTCCTACACGCTGTGCTTTGGCTTTGCGCGCAGACAGAATACCTGTATATGTATATCTCTCCTATAATTGTTTCTTATCTTTTGTACTTTAGAGAAAATATTGCCACTAATGAACATTTCAATATGAAGTAGTTGATTATTTGCAAAAGAAAGCCACTCTTATATACCACAATAACAATAATCACCCCCCCCCCCCTCCTCAAATCGCTGACAGATATACGAGAATCCATCTACAGAATAGCTGATTATAAGGGCTCTCGGTAACAAATCTGAATTCATAAATCCTAGCGATAAAGGGCCGACCAGTGTATATTCATGTATCCCCCGGTAAACAGAGACCAAGCTAACGAGCAGATCAAAGGTATATGGCCTTATATATATATATATTGGATTGACGAGCGCGGGGCCGGATTATGCGTATATAAAGCGCCCGCCGCCATCGCTCCCCCGCAGCGAGACAGAGAGAGAGAGTGGCTTGCAAGATATTGGCCCACACGCTTGCGATATAGATTAGGCTCTATCCACCAACGTGGCCTCTTGCTATTTTTCAATATTTTCTCTCTTCGCTCCTTTTTCAATGAAAAAAAGCTAGCTCCTCCTTTGATAACTTGCCAATAATATCAAGCTCGGAGGCAAAGGTTCGTGCTTCGGACGCTCGCGCGAAGGGATCGCGCTCGTTTCCTTTTCACAACTTAGATTTTCCACGAAATAATATCGAATGAAAAGAAAAATTGCAATGCTGCGCGACATCGCGGCGCGATAAAAGATCCGACGCGAATGCGAGGACGTGATTTTTATTAGTAAGACAGAAATATGGCTGGAAGTTATTCGTCCAAACGTCCGATTGGCGTCTCGATATTCAGCTGTATATGAAAAAAGAAAGGAAAAAATAAACGTCGCATAGCATAGTCTGAAAAGCCCCGCAACTTTGACGCTCAAAGTTGATACAGGCAAATTGAGCGCTAAAGTCCGGCGTCACGCCGGGAAATATCGGCAATATCGAGGCTCCGCGTCGAGCGGAAAGTTTTTCGCGGCTCATCAGCATCGCATCGACTATCGAAATTCTCACCGCTTACCTTCGCCCCTATGCATATGCACGTATATATGTATGTATTCGCGAACTGCAGCTTGCAATTTGACGTCGGCGCGTCCGCGAAATTGCACAATGTACACACAGTAGCATTCTACGTTTTTCCTCGAAGAGAAGCCGCTCGAACAAATCGCAACGCAAAAATGATTTCCTTCTGCGTTTACGAATTTGGCGTTTCTGCTTACACGTGACGACAAAGTTTCCGGGCTTTTCCATGAATGCGAGTCGGAAGATTTTTTCCCTTCCGATATTTTCACTTGGCTTTATTAATCAGTAATACACGAATTCGTCGAATTTTCGAATTCCATTTAATTTCCTATGTCTGCCGTTCCGAGAATCATTGCATTAGAAGATATTGTAATAAATTATATTGGATATGTCAAATGAAAGTCGAAGCGTTCGGACATTTACGTAATGAAAGTCAGGTTTTTTTATTTATCTTTTTTTTCAAGCAGTACAACTGACCATTAAGCAGCAACGTTAAAAGAGTAGCAGTAACAAATTCAAAGACAATTTATCAAATTCGCTGACGCGCATCGATCGACGAAATAATGTGATAATAGAGTTAGTTTCGGCGAAGACGCTAAGGTACAGTATATAAGTATCTCTCTCAGCGGGTATTAACGAAAAGCTTCAGTTCAGTGACTGGTGGCTCTCAGTTTCTTTGCATCTACGCGCGCGAGGGGATGTATGATTGACGAGCTCTTAAACGAAATCGGATTAATGCCCCATGCAAATTCCGCACCAGCCAGGGGTAGCTGGAATTGTTAGCGACAGTGCGGAGTGTGAGAGAGCAAAGATGCTGAAAGGGTGTGGGCAGACTAATGAGCACATAATGATAGCACGACGGGATGACGTCGGTCGGGACCAAACTTTTCGCTTAATTGGCGGGGTCATAGCTATTATTATTATTATGCAGTATGCGACGAAGAGGCTGCTTCATAAATTACGGATTCATATACTTATATTAAGTTCAAATGCCCTGACTTACGGCCTCGTTTTTCGGCATTCTTTTGCCTTTGGATCGTTATTATTCTTTATTGCTTGTGTTCGCCTTTAATTTGGTTATTAGCGCAATATTTATTATTGAGAGTTCTTAACGCCACTTCATTAAACGTAAAATGATTCAATTAGCCTTATAAGTGCTAGGATGAGTTTTATGTATATATCTATTTATTCATTCGACCAAATAACAGTTGTATCGTAGAGTACAAATATTGTTACGCTCGCACTCAGACGATAATAAATAACAACACAACTAATTATAAAATAACTCAGGCGTGTTTATTAATAAGATTGTATATCACGTATTAATTATCAAGTTTGACTGAGAAGTCAACAGTCGAAGAGAACAACAAAATCATCTAGCAATGTTTTTGTTCTTAATATGTTAGTAATTAGGGGAGTATCTCATAACAGTCTTTTCACCAAATTAACGCCGAATATGCTTACTTAGTAACACTCCAATTTATTCATCAGCAATGCATGTTGTTGAAATATTTTTATAATTATATTGAAATAATGCTCTGATAATTATGATATCAGAGCATAGGTACCACACTCCGTCTATTTGCGACGTGAAAAAACAAGATATAATCATTTAGACACGAAGGTGATGCCTAAACGAATTCAATGATATAATGTATACTACCCACAATTGATTACACAGCACAAAGTGGAGTTTTATCTGGTAGATACAGCTGTGCGATGGTGATAAATACCTATATACATCATCCTCGGAACACGAGCGCGTGAGATTTCCGACTTTGAGAAATTAGGCTGCTTGCGAAGCGAAACGCGCGCAAGAGTAGAGGGGATCACGAAAATCACGAGAACCCTCGTTTACGTGTCTCGCGATATACCTATATAAAGTCGTAAAACTCGCCCCGCCGCGACATTTGACGAAACTCGAAATAAACGACTCCCCACGGCGACGCGTCAAATCCAACGTCGCGCCAACGCTCAGAGAAATGATGGATCGACTTCGCGAATTGAAATTCAAGTGCGCTCACATTTTCGCGGGGACCCACTCCACCTGCCCTCTCCTCCGAGAAATTATGACTTCACGCTAATTTCCAAAGCGAGAGGGACAAAATGGTGTTAATGCCTAGCGCTCGTTTGTCATTCGACTCTCATTACTTTGGTCCTTACACAATTTTCGCGCGGCTCATTTCGAAAGAGGCTCTGGCGAGTCTCTCAAATTTCTCGAAATGAACGCGTATATCAGTTTTGAAGTTAACGAGCAAAGTGCGAGTATACGCTGATGTTTGTCCTTTAATATTTGAATTGCAGGTAAACTTTGGCGACGTTATAATTCCATCCAACATAACCATACCCCAGCCACGCGTACTGCCGGAATTCTCAAGATTGGCTCACGGATTGCGCAGTGACAACATTACCATCCTTGATAGTAAAACCTTCTACATACCGAATTTGCATTACGATGGCGCTGGGCCTGACGCTTATTTCTGGGTTGGCCGAGGTGAGAGGCCCAACGTTCATGGAATCAGGGTGCCCAATGAGATGAACAGGTGGGACCTTTTTTGCGCAGTCGGATCTTCATCGTTCGCAGCAATCAGTCAAATAATTGCACAGTTCAAGCGTGTAGTCGAACCAAATGTGTCACATTTCAGAACGCTCCAAGCCAGCTTGGATCGTCGAGCTTTTAAGCTGCGGGTTTTCATTGACCAGTCTGTAAATTCGTATTGGACTTTTAATCTTTCTTTATTATTAATGTAAAACATTCAAACTATTTATTTTGATTTGTAACCGTTGGAGCATATTAAGATTTTTAACTGTTTATTTAAAAGTTCGCGTTCAAAAAGTTTGGTAAGCTCCAGAATTCAAACCAACTCGGAGGGTCGATGTCACGAGCTTTTTCTGATTTGTCAGAAGCCCACTAATAATGAAAAAGTAATAATGACGCATAGAGTAAAGCAGCACTCTCAGTCAGCCATAAACTGAAAATAAAGGCGGATTAAACGAAAATTCGAAGAGTGCGAATCCCTTTGAACTTGACGAAATCAAGCATGAAAATTGACTGACATAACTCACGACCACGACAGCGGAAACGCAATACACTTGAAAGCCGCGCGCGTACACAGGTGAAGAGTTCGAATTGAAGGAATATATGTGCATGGGGGACGCACGTGTCGTCTCTGATTACAGCACGCAGGTACTGAAGGGCTACGAGGGCGTGGACATCGAGATCGTGTTGCCTGGCAACCTCACCGTCTACGACATCGACTGGCTGGGCGTCTGGTGTGTGCAGTACCAGCACGACTTTGGACACGTGCTCATACCAAAGGACCTCAATGTACCTCCCGCTCTCGGACAAACCAAGATCGCGGTAATTTTACCTTTTCCCCTTCTCTCGTCTTATTTCTCCAATTCTGTTTCTCGACATCTTCATTGTTCATTTTTTCGATCATTCTGTCGCTCATCGTTAAGCGTCATGCTCGAGGATCAAGGCATTCTTTCCGAAATCATCGCATACCTCTATTGAAGTATTAGTTTGCACATTTCTAACCAATATAATTCTGCGAGCTTTCTACATTCAATAGAATTATTAGCGATCAAGTGCCTAGGAAACAATAATATCACATCCAACTCTTTTTGTTGCATGCCCATGGAATAGCCGCCATGGTGGTATATAACCCCTGTGAGTATTAATAACCAGGGATCTTGCTAGATGTCACAATTTTCAACGAATGCTCTTTGTTGTTTCTATTTTCATAATTTCTTATTTTTCAAAATCCCTATTCATTTATACTTGATGGAAAATTCATTTTGTACGTGCCCCGCATGCGTTATACAAATTTCATGGCAGAGACATTATATTTTCAGTCATTAATTCATTTCGTTCATTTTTTAACCAAAAGTTAATTTTGTTCTCACTGAACCTAATCCTGCATTATATTAGTCTTCGATTAATTGATATTTATTATAATTTTACTTTTGCGTGTAAATATACAATTAAAATTGATATTTGGATTTAACAAAGAAAATTATCTATAAGTTTTGAGTGTTTTAATGATTTATAAAGGTCTTCAATGTCGAATGATGTAATCTTGCTTTTTCGGTGCCCTTATATTTTGAAAATATGTATAAATATTCAGTGTAACAGCTTGTTCGGAGTGAGCGTGAAAATACCCGCATAGACGTAGGAAAAAGCGTCGAATAAAAAAGCAAACCTCGGGTGAAACTTTGCAGACAAGTAGCACAGCAGCACCAGAGCTGAGCAACTGCGTCGAGCTATTGAGCGGCCGGGTGCAAGTTCGTTGGGAGTTGATCAACGATGACGTGATAATCGAAGTGTCGGGTCGGATTTTGGACGACCAATATGTGGCGTTCGGTTTGTCGGGTCAAGAAGGTCGCCCTGAGATGCTTGGCGCCGACATCGTCGTCATCGGCTACAACAAAGACCAAAAGAAATACATCGCCGAGGACTACTATATGTCTGCCTACTCACAGTGCGATGGTAAAGATGGAGTCTGTCCCGATCACAGGATTGGAGGCAAAAACGATGCGGTACTACTCAACGGTTCGAGAATCGACAGCATTACCACCGGTAAGCTTTTGTTTTACTATTCAAATGTCTCTTTGATTGTACTGTTAAAGAAAGCGAGATGCCAACATTGAGCAATAACTTGGAAGTCATACGCTAGATTGACTTTATCGCTTTAGCCGCTATTTCTATTTTTTTTATTTAAAAGTCATCCGAATTTCTTCGATTTTTCACAATACGTAATGTTATCAAAAGCTTCATTTGAAAAGCTGCTCCAATTTATAGCATAAGCTCTCTAGCATTTTATTTTGCTCTCGCATATCATTGATCGCAGATTAAATTTGACTTTACGAAAGCGCTCTTACAGAACTTTAAAAAGCTTTTAAGCATTCACGGTGTTATAATATGGAAAAAGTAATTGCAGTCATTGCCAACAGAGAAGGAATAAAACAAAATTGACCGCGCAATCGTCAAGCAGCGCTGTTGAATCAAATTCAGTCCTTGTCAGTTCGAAAATAAAATAATAAAGGATAAAAAAAAAGATTTGGTTCTATTCAAATGAATGGTGAAATCGACAGTGAAGTACAAGCGACCGCTGCGCACGAACGAATTGATCTACGACAAAGTGATACCCGACACGGCGACGACAATTGTCGCGGCAATCGGCCAGCTGAACAAGCAGTGGGAGGCCAACGCCCACCTGGCTTCGGACGTAACAACCGAAGACTTCCGCATTGATTTTGGTGGCCGCGGAGTGCACCAGTGTACTAACTCGCTTTACGACCAACCTAAACAACCGGAGATCAAGGCTTGGCCACCAATGATGATCGCGAATGAGGATACATTCACCGCGAAGATAGGACCCACTGGTGGCAAGAGAGGATATACCCGTATTACTGGTATGAATCATTTGTAATCAGCATTGCAACACCTTCGCCACAATTAGTCTGGATGCTTCGACACTTTGACTTGCCAATTGAACCGTCAAGGTTCACCTACGACAAGCCAAAATTGCATTTATTTCGCTAGCAGTTTCTGGTGCTTACAGTAACGTCATTAGAATAAAAATGAAAATTGCACTGTGCAAAAGCTTTGCTACATTGATGTTTAACAACCATGTGTCGATAAAACAGGTCAGCCATCTTGGGGAATTGCGTGGTACATAAACGATAAGTTGATACCGGAAATAACAGTGGAGAGAGGCCAGAACATCACCTTCATCGTTGAAGGTGGAAAGGACAAGACCAACCCCGCAAAGTTAGTTACGCGAATATCTAAATTAAATAAATCGTTTGTATCCTACGAAGCATAAACTGAGCAAAGATCGTCGTTTAGGTACCATCCATTCTACATAACCGACAACCCGGAGGGTGGCTTTGGCCAGTTGAATCCGTCACAGCAGCGCCGCCAGAAGGTATTCGCGGGCGTGGCCTACGACGAGAACAACTACCCCTACCCGACCGCCGCAGGCCGCTACTGCGAGTACGTGCACAAGCGCACCGATCAGAGCGAGAAGTCCGAAACCTTCCGTGAATATTTCGACACTCTCAAACTTGAGTGCGAAGAAGGTGAATCCGCCACTCTTGAGTGGCACGTTGAAACTGATACGCCGGATTTGGTTTACTACCAGGTACAATATAACGAATTTAATTCGAGTAGTCCAAGTACGCGTAAAGTCAGACAACTCGACGGAGATTAAGGAAATCTCACGCAATTGTCGACGAAACTTCGGCCATATTTAATAATATGTAATTGTATTGTCCTAAAGTGTTATACACACAAGAACTTGGGTTGGAAAATTCACGTGGTGAACGAAGGTAGCAGTCCAGTCACGCAGTCCGCCAGTCAATACGCACCTTCGATCCTCCTCGTCCTTACGTTCGCTTTGCTTGCAGCAGTTGCGCGACGCAGATGAATGGAAGTACAAGACTTTTGAAAAGCACACGAAAACATTACAACCAACAGGTCAATATTGAAATGAACGACAAATAACAAGGGTATAAATATTAAGAAAGTATCCAGTTGATCGAAAGGAAAAGAAAAATATGAAAGTAACGAGCTGGTGATAAAAGTGGGCTTGTCGATAACCCTGCTCAACTATAGTAAAACACACACGATACAAGGTTGTATGAAAGTAATTAGCCCGTAAGCGCGTATTGAGAAGATTTATCGAGATATTTTTAAGAGCTAACAGATTAAAATATTTCATATTCTATATATATATTATAAGAGCGACAAGACAAAACTTATACACTCAAACCTTATACATAGTGTATATGTTAAGAAAAATAACAAAGACGTTTACACGTAGGTTGAATGGATAAAAACTTGCGTTGCATTCGGAAACCGATGATAATAATCGTGACATTTGACAATAAATTTAATCGGACATATGAACGTTTTGACAATAAATGAAACGGTCTTTGTATAGAAAACAAATATTATGATTATCGCAATAGTAATTTCTCAACATTCATCGAATAATAAAAGTACACTGAAGTGATGATTAGGTAACTATATTAATTATGGACTTGAGCGTTCCTAAGTTATCTTTAATATGTTCTAACATCTTTGGATTAAAAATTGTTCACTTTGTTTGAATCTTAATATAATTAGCGATGATAATGAAAAGCTTAAAAATATAGATCGAATCAAGACAATAATCCATAGCATTTTATTAGTTTATTTGCAATTGATTTTGAAATCAACTTAGAAATGTGAAAGTCCGGTAAAAAATGTACATTTTGCACAAAATAAAAATTAGAATTGTATTAAGGTGAGTATTCATAAGATGAACTCCGGTAGACAATAAGGATACTAATTGACTACAAATGCTGTTCGACAATAATAATGCGGTAGACTAAGTAAAAATGTTATATTATTAGATAATAAAGGCTGAGAGATGGAGATTAGTGACAATAAATTTATTAATTCTTTCTCTCATCTGCCACAAAATGAATTTGAAAGATCTACGTAAATATATATATAGCTAAAATGATTCATTATCATGTCATTATAATCGGATTAGGCTGACAACAAACGCTGTATTCAATATGTGTAAATTTAAAAAAAGGGACGAAAAGGTAACGAGACGAAAGTAGAAAAAAATATGAGCTACGGAGGATCTTCCTAATAAACGGAATGAAAGTATAATTGTGCCTGAAATATTATTATTATTATTATTACTTACAACACAATTGAGACGGAACAGACGCATAGTAAGAGTATAACTGTCAAATGGCCTCGCGAACATTTGGAAATTCAGTCCCTTGAGCTTTTAAACAATTATCTTTTCTGCTTTGAACGCACTAAGAAAAAGTCGTTCGAAGAAATGTTAATATACCGTTGGTGCGATAACATGAATGTAAGATGGCTTGAAGATTTTTTATCAACGTAAAAATGGAAAGTTTCAATTAAATATCAAGTGACAAGTCCCTGACATTGTAACTCATTAAAAATATGAATTCAAATAAAATGTTGAGTAATCAATATTATATGTACATTTAAATGTTGACCTATGCATTTTAACGCAAACACCGATTTTAACACTAACACGTTTGTAACGTATGAATTAACAAACTTCTACTCATAGTACCATCACAGGTGAGAAAGTATTAAAACGCTCAAGGGATACTAACAAAAATTTACTAAAAACTTACAAGTGAGAATGACCAAATTAGATTATTGATGTTACCAACTTCGTAATCCTTTTGGAAGTGATACAGAAGGAGTGTAAAAAGCCAAGAAATCAACTAAATACATAATCAGTCCATGACATTGAGTGATGGTAATAATTCTAAGTGAAAGATACACATGAAGAATGTTAGTAAACGATTTAATTCCAAATGCCGCGAGGTCTATGTATATGAATGTTTTTGAATTTGAATGTCAATGAAAAAAATTTAATATTAAATGCCCTTTCAACTATTTCTTACGACTTATTCGTAAATAGCTTCATAAAAAGGATAATTAGCTGAAATTAATTACTGGGCTTGGTAATTATTAGGACTGTGAAAATTCCTTTATGTGCGATTATTTGTTTGATTCGCGTTAAAATCATTGATAATATATCTTTCTTAAAACATTTCGATTATGAGCGTTAAAACAAAACGCTACTGTATAGCTATCGTTTGAAGCGTCCATATATAAGAGCAATTAAGGGAAATAACGTAGACATGAATGCTGAAAATGCAAGTGTTGTTTATCGCGAATTCTTCGATGCGCACATAGGCAAGGGACATATACATAATATATTATTATAATACATTAATATAGTGGTTAAATTTGGCTTGAATATAAATACAAGTCACACTGGGTGATGTATGACAATAAATATTATTAAGATAAAAGCTGACACGTTTCAATGGGCTGTCCCGAAGAAAATTAATAGTGAAGAATTTAAAAGGAATTCGTAATTATGAAGCTTTTTTTCAAAGCTTGATAGAATTAACCTTGCCCTTCACTATCGACAATGAAGTTTATAGAACAAATTATATTACATTTTGATCCGTACTTAAAATATTAAACACCTGACAATAATATGATTCAATCGAATACATTGAATTGTTTCAAATTTGTGAGAATTTCAGCAAACTTACAATAAACTATTGACAATAATGAATATGAAAAGGTGAAAATTTAGACAGTAAAACAATTTTCTTTTTACGGGTCAGCTTCATGATGTCCACGGTTGCTAATAATAATTGAATAATATAGTGAATAATTTACATTATCTACTTAATTATATCTAACCATTGATGGTAAATAAGTATTTGGTTATATTTTTAAACAAACTTTGCAAATTATTGGTTACATTATGTTACATTTACGTGCTGTATACAGATGTTTACAAAATATTTAGATATATTTAACGTGAATATTTATCATAATTCCTTTCTACATTAAAACTGATTATAGAGGTGATATCTATCAAAATTATGTTTAATTATGCATAATATGTATTTTGATTTTATGAACAGAAATATTTTATTAAGTTGTCTTTTTCAATTATGAGTTTTTTTATACATAACTTCTCGGATAATTTTTACATGAAGAGAAAATTGGTGAAATTGATTAATATATTTATATCAAATGTTTTACTGTATCTAAAAATAATTATGAATAGTATACCTTTATTTTCTCGCTTAAACATTACAATTTTCAAATTGTGCAAGTTAATTTTATCCTAATGAATATGAATGAATCTGAATTTGTGAAATTATTTCGAGTAAAATTGATTTTAATCTTTAGTAATTTCGTGTGAATAAATTTATTATTATTGTACTTCCTCAAACAAAAACATAATTTGTTATGTAATAATTCTTATGCAAAACACAGAACTTGAAAAAAATTTGTAAGTAAGAAAAATGTGTAATATACAAGTAAAATGGGAAAAAATAACGAAAAAGACACAAATTAAAAGAGAGTTACAAATAAGTCAACAGTTTATCGATTGTCCTACAATAATCTAATCCAGCATTTTTCATATTAGTATGAGTATATTTATAAGTTAAAATTAATTTACTTTAAATTGCGTTCTAAACGAAATCGTATATATATTGCTTATGTTCTATTCACATTTATTAAGGTGCGAGAGAGTTTTAAGTTGATAGCGATAACAAGAAGTAATTATAAATAACCCCTTACTATTTATTAAAATTTCTGATCAAAGATCATCGTTACAAAAATGTTATCATTTAAAACTAAAATTAAAAAATGTAATAAAATTGTTTTGGATACACGAATATAATATACAAATGTTTCCCTAATAATGTGACAAAAAAATATAAAAATTACATCATAAATAAATTAGACCGAAATTTTTTAGATTTATAAGATATAAATTGTGAAAAAAATGTAAAGTATATTCAATACATCCAGTTATATTAGAAAGAAATATTCAATGCATAATTACAAAATGAAAGCTTGAGATAAACTGAATAGTCGACAAATTGTGTCAATATTTAACGCAATATAATGAAAATAAAGGAGACTAGGAAAAAAAACAAAAACAAAAGTGATTCTTGATGAACGAAGAAAGTACGCTAAAATATAAATATAAGAGTATAATTTTCCGCCTAATACGTTATATATAAAAAGCATATAGTATAGTTAATATAGAACCTATATTCTTTTATGCGGTTTATTGTAAGTAAAAGTAAAAAAACAAAACATTTATTAACAATATACACAGGCATAATGAAAGCGAAATCAAACAAGTCAACAAATTAGACATAGAATATCAAAAGTATTAAGCATATCGACAAATAAATGTCGCAAGTCACTAGTTAAAAAAACGACACAAAAAGAATTGTTAATTTTAAGCACAGCAACATAAAAAATGGCTATTGCTATTTACTCAAATCTGATTTATTATATGTTCAATAATGAATGAAAAACAGGTCAATTGGTTCAATTTTCAATGAATCATTCTAATATATAAATCTAGTAACAGATTGTTTGATTTACCTTCATCTATATGTGGGGTTGTAAATATGATGCAACACGTAGTTCAATCTTACAGAGAAAAAAATGCGATTAGCGAAAAAAAGGACAGTTTGTAAGATTAATAATTCAATTTCAATTTCTCTATTTTTAGACCGTTCAAAAAACTTTCATATACGTGTACTTGGATCTTGATCGTGTCTTTACAACATTTCTACCGTGAACAAAAAAATATTTATGACAAAAAAAAATAAAATTGTCGGTACATTTTTCCCAATGTAAATTCAGCTGTTTTTAAGTGCTGATTATTAGGCATATAAAAGATTCACAGTTTCATTAATAACAAACAAGATGATACTTAAGTATTATACACTGATGGGTGTACCAACAAATACGCACAGAAACTATAATCTAAGATGATAATGATTTCAGTGCGCACACAAAACCAGCTATGAATGCATATTACAAGAACTGAAAACATTTAAAAGATCGTACTCAAAAAGTAAACACACATTTGAACCGACTTTTTTTCACATTTGCATGTTAGAATAGGATTAAGAAATAAGAGCTATCAATGGAATATTAAAAAAAAAAAACATTCGTAAAAAGTTGATGAACTGATGAATTTACATGTTCCATACTGTATTGAATTGTAAAGTTGCAACTAAGGGTATCAAAGAATATATAAGCTTTTATATCAACCGATAACCGACGAGCTTTTTTATTGTAATATTAACGGGTTTAATTAAATGTGTTTTCGAAGTTCAGGTGTAGTTTGTTTTTTAAACAATTGTATACTTGATTTTTTGTTATTTTTTAAGTTATTCTACATAACTACAAAATAACGTTTAATAATAATAATAATTTAACAAAAAACCATTCGAAATACTTGGAAGCTTTTTAATTATTTTTAATGATATTTTGACTATATACGTCAATACACTGGAGCTGTAAAGGCTATATAAGCAACATTATTGTATATAGATAGGGGTTCAAAAAAATACCAGTTTATCTTGGAATCGTTTGATTGTATAAAGTGTGGAATAAACATTGTTAGGATTGATTTCGAGAAAGATTTTCCAACCCTTGTTAGTCCTATACCAAATTTTGAAAAACGTACTACTGGTTCAAATGCATATTGTAAAAATTTATTTTTTAATGATGATTAAGGTTTAGTATAAATCTCATAAACGGTATTGTAAACAATGAAACATTCCTATCCCTACTGCGCAACTTGAGCTGTTTTTTACGATTGTTAAAATACATGGACAATATCTCGAATAAAAGTATAGCGTTCTTAAAAATTAACTGAGATTATATATTTGACGTCCGTTTCATTCCTATAAATTATGTAAGTAAAGTAAATTTTTTCAGCAAAATAAAATTTAAAAACGAAACAAATCGATGACAAAAAATGTGTTGTATTAGACTTGTAGAGTCTAATGTCAACAAGAGTAATTAAACACTGAAAAATGAATCATCGGTTTTTCTAAATATGTTGTTTCATTTTGATCATAAATTACACATCTAGATAATTTTGGACTGTACCTTGTCAATGTAAAATGCTGTTTGTGATTATTTGGTTATAAAATCGAAATCTGTAAGCTTAAAGTAGGTCTGGTAACATAAACCTATTTTGTCTACATAGACAGGTTAAAAATTAAGTTTTTTTTTGTAAGAAAAAATTTTCATTAAAATTGAAACAAATTTTATATTGACTTGTTGTAATCAACAATACACTGGTTTTATATAAAAAAGTGACAAAAAAAAAATGGTACTGCAGTAGAAAAATTACTGTATTCGATTTTCATCAGTCTAACTCATGAAAATCATTTATATAATTCAATCTATAACGCCACTTTTCTCGTTGTATAATATGTACAATGTGAGAATCGTAATATGTTCATTTAAAATAATATACAAGATGATCACGAAGACTTGGATACTTTTTATTTGGAGTAACCCCACGGATCCTTCTTTTGGTCCATTAGAGCAAGAGATGACTCGCAAATCTTCTTGAAAACTTCTCTTGATTTTTCTTTTATGAATACCTATAACATAAATATTAGAGATTGGTAACGAAATAGTTAAATTTAACAAAATTTATTAATATTATTGATTTATATTTCAAAGTACAAATTACTTACTTTGTATAACTGATGTTGTTCTGAAGCTAAAATATCTGCCAGTTGAACGCATTCATTATGTTGATTCATTTCTGTCATCACAGTATACAGTAATAAAGTGATTTTAGGGATACATAATTTTCTAAGTTTGTCTAGTTGATGCTCTCTTAAAATTTCATCAGATGTTGTGGGTTCACTACTTGTAGTATTTACGGAGTCGATTAACCAACCACCATCGGGAAACAAAAGAACGTTAAAGAGCAACTGTTTAACAGCCTAAAACAATTGAAGATAATGTAGACAGTGACTACAATTTTATTTATATCGAGAGTATAATTATAACAAAATTATAATATCTATACCTTTGTATGATGCTGCATAGTAGTTTTCCATCTTTCCAATTCGTTGTTATATATGGAACTTTTATGTTCAAATGCTACTTTTTCTGTGAACGTAGCAAAGGCTGTTGGTTCTGGTACAGGAGTTGGTCTGTTGTGATGATAGTGAGAAAACCATTCAGCAAAACCCTCATTAGCATCCAAATAGGCTTTATAGCACAAATATTCTCGGATAGATGAAGATGCTTTTTTAGGCAAAGCGTTTGCAGTCATTAAATTTTCAATGGTATTTTGCAGTGCAGGAAAATCATTCATAATTATATTAATAGCATCTGCTGGGATCTGAAATAACAGAAATATTCATAATTTCAATAGAATTTCATTAAAAAATAGTCTAAAGCTTTTCATACCTTGTTGAATGCTTTTCTAGCAGCATCTAATTTTTCATTAGTTAAAAAATATCTTATTAAAGCATTGGTTTGCCACAAAGCTTCTTCTCTTTGGCTTGGATAGAAAATCAACCAATCAATTGCATTAATTTTTTCCAAATCAGTTTCCGTTATGTCACCTTTTATATCTTTTGGATCAAATTCATTATCTTTCTTCCTAATGTTTTCAACTACCAGTTTAGTGATTGCTTCAACATTTAAGTTTGCATCTTCAGCTGCGTTAAGACATTTTTTGCGAGCCTCATAATTGCTAACTCTCTCCAAAAATTGAGCGTATTTTGTTATCTGTGCTTCTTTTGATAAAGTAGATGTGTAAAATGCTACTAGAATTGGATCGCCAAGATCCATGAGAACTTTAACATATTCAAGTAAAACTTTCTCTGATGCCTGTTCATTCACATTTTTTCCAATTTGTCTTAAAAACAGCATCAAATGAGCAAGAAATCGCAGAAATTGAGTATCGCAAGTTTTTTGATCAATCATATTGTCTACATCATCCATCAAAGTTGTAATTTCATCCAAAATTAAATATTTTTGAATTCTATTGACTGGTTCTTTAGCTTGGGAATTGATAGCGGGATTTTTAGAAGCTTCCAATTCATCAAAAATATCTTCTAATGTATTTTCACCTTTCCAATATTCATCAGGTAAAGCAGTATAAGCTTTTGGCATAAATCCTCTCACTTCTGCTTCCACTTTGATATCAAGAAGAGTTTTCAAATAAGCCCAAAGACCATCTTGCCATGATGTTGCCACAGATAATAATTGCTTCACATTGCCACAAAGACTAGAATAAATAGCTCTATAGTATGGACCTGTAATTTATAAAAAGGAAATGTGAAAATATATTTCAAAAAAATACCCAAGTTATAAACTAAAAAACTGTAATGACACTTACCAACTCTATCATCATTAGACAACTCCCAAGCACATAGCTTCCACAAGCTTCTATTAGGATTGCCTTCTACAGGTAATTTTGTATCAGTGAGAGGATTTTTATAATTTGGATCATGATATGGTATCCATCCTAGTAAACATGCTGCACGCCATTGCTGACCACAATGTATGGCTAGTGCTTGAGCTTTTTGTAGCCTACCACAGCGTACCTAAAATATATTGAACATGTTTTAATTATTTAGAGATAACTGTTGAAACTGTAGATTAAATGCAAACCTCAATAAGCATTCTCTTTTCTAATCTTGCATCATCCTCTTTATCTAAATCATGTAATGGTTTGCCTTCTCTAATTGGAGCATCTGGATCCATTGAAGTTACAATTGGTCTAGACGAAGGAAAAGTAATTTCAGATTTTTTATTTTGTAGCTGATGTAAAGTATTCTCCCAAGCAATGGTTCTATCTGTAAAATTTTCTATTGAAGGTAATCTGTCAGCCCTATCTAATGCATTCTTCTCGAGCCAATCAATTATGAGTTGATATTCTCTAATCAGCTTACTGTTCTTGTACAAAGTTCCAATCACCTCTTTTTCTGATATATTACAATTATCTAATTCCATTTGATCCTCATAATCTGCTGAATTTAAACGATTCTCATAAAGGCAGTAAACTAGTCTCCAAATGTTTCTTTCATTTTCTAAACTCATTTCTTCTAGAGATAAATCTGGGTTTTCCACTTTTGATTTGACACCTTCAGTTATAAAAGTTAATATAAAAGCTTTAAATGGTTATCAGTGTTATCACATTATTATATATATGAAGAATATTTTACTAACCTCTCATAAGATCTAATGTATCAGTACAATTCTGAATGAAATCAGCAACGGTTTCAAAAATCTGAAGTTCAGATGTGTGAGCTTGAAAACTACCCAAAAAGTCATAATGCAGTTTTGAGTGAATATCCTTCCAAGGCTCTTTAGCTTTTAAAACAAGACCAGTAGCTGTACTGTCATCCATCATTTCTCTAAGAGTCATGTCACTTCGCTCCGAACTAGCCATAATATTTCTAAGTTCATGAGGTGCAATAGTAACTGATGGCATTGTAATATCAATCCCTTTATATTCATCTGCTCTCCCCATTGGAATGTCACTATCCCCATTTCTTAGTAAAGTATTTTGCAGAAGTGATATCCTTCTAGGCATAATTGTAGTACAAAATCGTGCACTTTTTCACAATGCTAATGAACTTTATTGTTTTCTATGAAACTTTGAATACCACTAAACAGTAAATACTTAATTAAGTTTCGTAAGTGATGATTGAAGTACTCATGACTAATTATTTGTATAAATTTACTATGTTAAGTATGTCTTTTATTTTTATAAGTTCAAATTCTCAAATGAAAACCGGTGCCGTAGTCCTGTAGAGCAGTGATTAAGCTAACTGCTGAAGTGCTAAGACTGCTGAGTGCTGAGCTGCTGTTTTTGGCGCGCTTGATTACGAAACTTACGCCATCTAACGACGTATAAGGAAAGCAAAAAATGGCCCAAATGTATACGATAGGTTGATAAGATACACTCACACATATATGTGCACGCACGCACTGTACGTATACACACACACGCACAGACCACACACGACACACACGCGCGTACACAGTTGGAAATAGGAACACACGAGGTGAGGTGACGCTACGCAATTCGGCTGCTTTGTTAATATCCATTGTCATTGTCGATTTTGTTGATCAAATGTCAATCTATTGTCGATTCTTTTTAGAACTGTTCTTAGATTAAAAGTGATATAAAATTATCAACTAATTTTTTCATTGCTGATGATATAAACCAAAATATGTCAAGCTTTGGAAAAGCACAACTGTTAAAATATGGATGGACTGAAGGTTAGTATTGTGATGCTATCAAATTCTTTATATAAATATACTGTAGAACTGCTTGATTACTTGATTTATTTTGCAATTTATGCTAAGATGTATATAATTTATTATTGGCATCTCATTCATATGCAAAAATGTTTAAGGATAATCTAAAATTCTATGATAGTTACTACTTTTATTTATTTGTTGTATTAAATAAGTATCATACAATATTAGACAAATTAGTTGAGTGGCTTTTTATATCTAATAAAAAAGAACAATAATTTTTTAAAACAATTAAATATTTACTAGATATCTGTATTAGGTATGATTGTTGTTATAGGTAAAGGTCTTGGAAAAGACGAAAATGGCATTGCAGAAGCTTTGAAACCGAAACTAAAGTTTGACACTAGTGGAATTGGACACAAAGATACAGATTTTCAATGGTGGACTTCTGTTTACGATAAAGCCCTAAAAAATGTTGTATCAGAAAATGATGCTGAAAAGGTTTCTGTAAAGGTTTTGAAAGAAAATGCTTTCAATATTTCGTCTACTCAATCTGGACTAGAAGTATCTGAAAAGAAAATTGTACTTCAATATGGAAATTTTATGAAAGTTTCAACTTTGAAAGACGGAAGTTTAATCAGAGATCAAAATTGTCAAGCAATTGAAGAAGATAAGCCAGAAGATGTGTTATTCACTCAAATATCTGATGAAGAACTTTTCAAGGCATGTGGAGGGAGAACTGCACATAAAGGAGCTAGACATGGTTTGAAATTAAGTGGTAAACTTGCCAGAATAGCTGAGCAAGAAAAAAAACTACTTGCTGGAGATTTTTTAAAGTCAACTGAAATTTCTTCAGATGATAAATTAAAATTAAAAAAAGCAAAGAAAAGGAAAATGGTCATGGATGTAGATCAGATATTATTAAATACAATTGTTGACAAAGTTTCCGATGATGAAGACAATATAATACCTCCTATTCCTAATCAAATAACAGATGAACGCAAATTATCAAAGAAAAGTTGTAAAAAATTGAATAGAAAAGTAAATGATTTGTCCCATCAACTAAGTAAATCTTCATTATTAGAAAACAATGACCAAGGTAGTAATAATGACAAGACAAAAGAGCAATTTTTAGATAAACTATCTAAGAAAAGTATTAAAAAATTAAAACGAAAAGTCAATAAATTATCCAACATGCCACAGGTTGATGTAATCGATGATCAATTGAACAAATTATACTTACTAAATAAAACTGATTACGATGAACATAATAATGAAGATGAATGTGAACAATCTAAAAAAGTTAAAAAAAAACACAAAAAGAAAAGACGTAAACAAAAATTAGACGAATATAATGCTTGCAATAATGTGAATAATATTCAATTAGATAGTGACATTATGCAACCATGTCTTAAAAAGTTTAAAAAGCATTGTAAGGATTTACCAGAGTCTTCAAATACAAACACAGAAAACAATGGAATAGAAACCGATTGGGAAAGACAAAATTCGAAATACTCTTTCTGCATTTGGCGAAATTCTAAAATCAAAGCAAAAAAATTAAAGAAATATGAAAAGAAAAAAAAGAATAAATTAGTTAGTTGAGTATAAAATATACTGGATTTAAAATTGATGAATTTATAATTAATTTAGTTTAATTTAGTGTAACCAAATGATTTATTGCATTTGCATGTCAGTTATTAAGTGAATTTGTAATCAAATATATATGCGTGCATAATTTGAAGAATTTTTATATAAATGTCAGTAGAAAGCTTGAAGTTTGTACATATTGATGTAATTTAATTGGATAAATGAATAATATCAGCTGTAAACAAAAAATTAATTTTTTTTATTTGTTACCATCTTAAATGACTGTGTCATTTGTAATATATGTTAAAATAAAAGAAATTATTTATTTCAATGTTAACAAACCTGGATAAAGGAACATGGAAAGATAAAATTTGAATTAAATGTTATTGACACTTTTCCTAAAAACTTGTCTTAAAACACAGTTTTTATTGTTCATAAATAAAAAACATACATACAAATAAAATTTGATTTAAAAAAATCTATTCTCTTAAATAAATACAACCATTTTATCGGACACTGTACAAAGTGCATATGTGTATAAATAATTTTCAACTTAACATAAAGATAATTATTCAACTGACTTGATAGAATGAGAATAATTATATTTTTAAAGTAATTATTTATATTGTTCAGGATAAATGTCGATTTTCATGTATGTTCTTTGAGGAGCGGATTAAACTCCTTATTTTTCAATTTGCATACAGATTCCAGTCCACTGAATATATCTATATATAACAATTATGAATAGTCATCAAAACTTTATTAAATATTTTATATAGGTACGAGTTTATTTTAAAACAGCATAATATTTAGACAAAATATCTACAAAATATGATACTTTTCGCAAAATTGATTGTAAAATATGATTCTTTACTTTAAGTTTATCATTTAATAAGCTGGATTAAGTTCAATAGTTAAATTTGACAAATTTATGTACAAATCATAATAACTTGTATTATTTCCAATAAAATATTTTAGCATCGAAATTTTCACTACAACGGAAATTTAATCGTTCACATTTCACGCAAGAATATATTTATGTATTTATTATGTGATACGTTATACACGTAAAAGACGTGTCGGTTAGAGTACAATGTAGTTTCTAAGGCCCCCTATGACGCATTTAACTATCAATTATTAGTTTCAAATGTAATCTACTTTACAAATAAAAAATAACAAATTAAACAATTTTAATAAATTTTCATTTTTTTAAAGACTTATAAATGAAAATTTTAACGTAACGTATTATTCATTGCGCATATTTAGTTGCATTTTCTTCTAACTAAAAACTAAATGTATTTGAGAAACTTGATTATTTCGACGGAAGCAGAGGGAAATAAGTACATGAGGTACGGCTAATTAATGATTTTTTTTTGCTGACGGAGGAAAGAGTTTGCTCTTTGATATTATCAATTCAATCTTGAATTTAAGTAAGCAATTGATGATTTATATAATCGAATTCATAAGAATTTTTTTATAAATATAAAAATGTAATTCAAACTGATATACTTTTTCAGAAAACTATGATGCATGTTATTCGTAAAGTTTTTACACATCTGCAAAAGTCGATTCAAAACTTTTACAATAAGCACGCACAATTATTACTCTGTCATGAATATTAAAATGTCAACTTTCATAGCAAGTCAGAAGGACTGATGACTATTTCGAATACATTGAATTTATTTTATTTTCAAGCATTTTTACTCTGCAAAGTACATATCTAATCATAATTTATGTTTTACGGTTCTTACCGTTGCGTGATTAATTTTCGAGTTCGAATTCAGCCATACCGCACTTTCAAAATGCCTAAATTTGAAAAAAAACAGATAAATTGTAACAAATTTATTCCTATCTACGAAATCGTCTATCTACAATATAATATTTTTACGTATAAATATTTGTAGAATCATCATAAAAAACTATTAAACCGCAATTTGTATCATTTATTGTATATACACTTTTCAGTCATACCCTATATGAAAAAGTATGTTATATTTCATTCACAATTAAAGATATCGCCGTAATTAAAAGTTGTGTAATTGCACAGATTTTATAGTATCGGTAAAATTGACACGGAAAATCTTAAAAATAGCAAAACATACTGTACCCGGAGCATTGGAATTGGAAGCATCTGAAATGCACTTTCTTTGGAAATTATTATAATCCAACTACTTAAATTGTAAATATATGTGAATGCTATTACGTTATGCTGAGCAAAATCATCACAAGATCAACATTTATGTATGAGTCACTAACACAGCACATATTATTATAATTATAACAGTTTACGAGCTGCATTATATAATTACTCCTAACATTGAAAAGAAATAATGCAGCCATTTTTATAATTTCTTTTGAAAAAGATTTATTTGTTATCGGAATATTTCGATTCGTATAAAAACTATTCAGAAATTAATTGATTAAAATACACCAAAACCTTGATAATTCAAAAGTCAAGAATCTGGGCTTTAAATTTGAATTATCGAAGTAAATATTATGAAAAATTGAAAAATTTGTAAATTATCAAGATCGTCAAGATCAACATTTATTTATCAATATAAATGAAATAATTTTTCGTTGTTTGCAATTGAGTCTAGTTTCAGTCATAATTAACATTTTTCAAAGTCTGTAAGAAGTCAAACACTTCATCTTGTTCATACTGATTCAAAACCTTATATTTGTAAACAGATTATACCAAGTGTTGCGTAGCATGTGCTCGAAATTAACTGTTCGAGACAATTTTGAATTATCAAGGTAAAAATATATGTGTCTCATGTGTGACGGTGGGTTATGACCTTTTCTTTCCTCAATAAGAACCTTTGCTTGTTTGTGAAAGAGCGCAGTTGACTGTCATGGCAAAAGTCAATTTTCTTAGAGTTTTCTAGTCGAGAAATATTTGTAGAGCAAAAATAGTATAATTTCTGTGTAGAAAAAACTGATGACCATTGATTTGGGCCTGTGTATCTCTATACAACACTCTCGCTCTGTATAGAAATTTAACCATTATAAAAACAAAATTATTGTCAAACAATTGAAAATACTATTATTTAAATAAAAAATAAGAATATCGATAATATAAAAATAATTTTATCATACATTTTACGAGCTTGCAAGCTTTACACATTACTTTTAAAACAAATAATCATTTACTAATTATCTTTTCAGACAAAAAAAATTAAAGTTAAAATTCATATGTATAATGAAGATTTCTACTATTCTGTTTAACATATGTGACTTAATGAAGTTTTAATTGTATTAAAATCAACGTTATATGTCCAGCCAACCGCCCTCTCCGAATATAAAAAGGCCCACGCAACGCCTCGCAGGCAGTTCAAGTTTGAATTCAAGTTAAACAGTTCCAAATTGAAGTTCAAGTCACAAGAAACTAAAAAGCAGTCATAAACAACCAGTAAGGAAGCAGTCAAGCAATCAAGATGTAGTCAAGCTAAATAAGGAGCTGAGTCAAGCAGCCGAGCTTCAAAGGATGAAACACAAAAATGGATTACTGTCTCGCAAAAAATAACAAGAATAAAAAAAGTAAAAACAGAAAACTTAAAATAACTCTCTCTTTCACTCTTCAGTTTATAGTCCATCCTGAACCCCGTTAATCGGGTACTGGTTACTGGGTATTGGTTGGACTTGGGGATACTTCTGTAAATTACTCCTATCGGATGGAATTCAAAAACAAAAGTATAGTGAAAATGACACTCGCCCGACCGTAATTTTCAATGATAATCATCAACCAAGATATCACATTGCTGGCAAAGCAAAAAACTCGGATACTGCGATAAGCCTCACGTATCTGAAGTTGTTTCGTTGTCATGACGTCACACATGAATCAAAAAATTTCTTTGAAATATCACGGTTTTAAATTGAAAAATTTCAAATCATTAAGGTAATTTCACGTAGGTTTTACTATATTACTCAAATAGTTAATCAAACATTTGTTATAAAGAGTCAATTCATTTTGGTTATGCTATATTATAATTTTTAGCAATTGACTATTAACCAATTATAAATACGTATATAATAACTGATTAATGTAACGATTTCATTATTATTCATATTATAAAAATATTAGCTTACTATCACTCAATAAAAATATTTTGATTAAAAGGTATGATCACAAAATTAATGTTTGCGCTGTCTTAAGCAGCGTAGTCAAAATTACCGAATGCGGAATTTTCTAAAAACAATGAGAAGAGAAATAATACCGGAATATGCAATTTGAAACGGAATATACCAAGAATATGATAAATCCTAATTTTGAATCACGGAATTTCAACTTTTCATCTTGGATTTTTCCCTTTAGCTATTTCATAATTCTAATTTATCACATTTGATATTTTTTGTTTCGATATTATTCCATTGTAATAATTCTTCAAGAAAATCTTTAATTTTAATTGCGCTGTGTCTTGATTATATTATCATTAGTCGCTTAAAATTTTCTTGAGAATAAAACATATTATATTACTCATAAACCGCCGGTCCATTTTGTAGATACTGATCTAGACGATATGGTTCTACACGAATTTTTAAATTTTATTTATAATTCACTCCTAACAGAATAGAAAATATGTAACAGTATTCATTAGAAAAGGAGATACTATTGAACATATAAACTTTCTATAGAAAACTCTTGGATTAATTGGAATTATTTTGTAAAATAATTGATCCAAATTATTCTACATAAAATATTTCTACAGGCATAAATAAATATTTGAAAGAATAATATGTTTGAGAATCTGTCCATTATTAAAAAATGTGCAAATGTACTATAACGTCGCGTAAAATATTTTATGTTAATTAATTGTTCATTAATTTTTCTGTAAAAAGATATGACTTCGGGTAATATCTTACTTTTTAAGAAAAAAGTATTTGTCTGTACGAAACGAACCTACTAACTCATGCATTTGTTACAGAGATATCTACTACTGTTATAAAACAATATCACGGGTTAAGATTCCTTTATATGTATATATAGCACACTACGGTATAAAAATTATAACGCGGAAAAAAACATCTGATTCAATAAATTGGTAGTATACAATTGCATTAATTCAACTGTAGCTCGTTTGACTAAGCCGATTATTTTTAAATCATTTTTAAAAAGACACTCTTTATCATAAACGTTCGGTTTCAATTATTTAGCCAAACTGACAGATTAATACTGTGTTATAAAAAAATTAATTCTTAACAATTATTTTTAAATAATGGGTTTGATTGAACAAGCTGCAATTGAATCAATACAATAATTGTATAATACAAACCAAATTATTGAATCGTATACATTTATTTTGCGTTATAATACATACTCAAAATGAAACGAAGGACATAACTCGATGTGCTATATATACTAGTAAAGAGATCTTAAATTCACTTTTACGTGTTTACTTCTGACGGATGGATTGAACAAAATATTTACGTTTGTTCGCGTTTCATACAAATAATATTCTTTGATCGCAACGCATTATTATTTTCTATAAGTCAGCTATACTGAATATATGGCATTAGAGCAGAAGAGTTCCTCAAAAGTAATAAACCCGTTTTTCGAGAATGCAAAATGAATTAATTATACGTTTCAATGATAAAAGACCTAATTGACGTTATTCACGTTTCTAATTCAGTCAATAAAGATTCCATTCACTCATACACGGATTTATATTATCCGAAATGTCAACGATTTTTCTTTGTAAGTAAACAATCGACTATTCACAACCCTACCTTTGTTTCAAGTTATGCTATAACAACAAACTCACTCATCGTACACAATCATTTATTCTGTTTTTATTCGTTGCATTTTCATGAAATTCAATTCATCTAACACTTACTTTTCATATTTGTAACGAGCACCATCGAAAATTCCACACAGTTATTCGATGAATTAAAAATATTCATTTAGGAACAATACTTCATAACAACATTTTTTTTATCTTATACTAAACGCAAAATTCGATACGCGAAATGGTTCATCTTTGCGCCGTTAACAATTACGAATATTTGGACATGCTCTAATGAAAATTAGAACATGGGCAAACGTACTTAAGTAAACATGATATTCTATAAAAAATGAACACGCAAACGGGAGTTGCACTTGAGAATGTTAAAAATACTAATTAAAAGTAATAAATCTTATCGTTAAATTATTTAAAGGAATAAAGTCTTCAAAATCTATTAATTATATCGATTTAAAAAAACAGAATAAATCGCATCAAAGAATGTTTATAAGCTGAATTGTGCCGTACTTGAGTAAGGAAGCGAATAGATAGGATATTTGAAAAGTAACTCGAAGACTTTCGATTGAACAGTAAGCTCGGTATCTGGCGAGTAGCTGCAATCAAGCTCTTTTTCACTAGATGCATCTATTGCTAAGGATCCGGTTCTTAAGCAGGAAGTAGCCAATGTGCCTACCGAGTCTACTAACCGTGGCGGTTTTTTTCTCAGAGTTCGATCGGTTGACACAGCCAATAATAGGCTCGTTCAGCTTACCCCAGATCATATACATACTCGAAGAATTCACTCTGTGCATGGTAATGGCCTCACGAATAGCACAATTCTCCAGCTTTCGTTGAATGTAGCTGAAACCATAGTGGTTTAATGGCTTAAGTCCTGCTCGCTTGGCACACACTCCCGTAATATAGACATCCTCAAGGTGAAGCAAAGGCGTCGACAGAGCGGCTTTGTACAAGCGTTCTGCTACGTCGAAGCTCATCACGTAACCCGTACCCGACAAGTAATTGGGATAAGTGCGTTCCGCATACATATACCTAGGTGTGTACCTGCGATGTAGACAAAAATGAAATAATAAGTTTAAAGTAGAGTTTTTTTCATAGCTCTCATAGATTATTTTTCCGATCTCTGTTTTCAACAACTTGGTGAAATTATTTCAGCTTACCACTTGTTCTTTGGATCCGTTATAGGTCTTGCATTACAAATAAGTGAACCGATTAACGTTTCGGTCTTTTTTGGTCGGCTTTTTAAAGCTTTCATGAGAGCTGGCACATTTACAAACATATCGTCGTCAGTTTTCATAAGATAAGTAAGTTTATCGCAGTTAGTTGTGACCCATTTTAACAGCATAGCCGATTTCAACGTTAAATTATTGTATGTATCATGGAAGTTTTCTTGTATTATGTCGTTGTACAAATGGTTTTCATCTATAACGTATCCCTGTGAGAACAAAATTATAGCTCTCATTTTCATTCATTCACAAAGTGTATCATATTATGTCGCACTTACATTTAGAGTGTCGTTATCACTTTGTCCTAAGAGAAAAGCAATTCTGACAGGTGAATCAAATTGCATATCCAAGTTTGTTTGATTTCCCCAAGTATTTCTAATAGCAACACGAGCATTTGTATTATCAACAGCTGAACAAACAACGATGAGTAGGTACAGTGATTCACTGCAGATGTTTCTAGGATTTAGAATAGTTGTTGTGTTTTCAGGGTGGATGTAAGTACATACATCTCGAGATGTATTGTAACTCCAGCCTCGTAGTTGAGCTAAAATTGTAATCAAGATTAGAAATCGATATTTTTTATGCAACTATATACAATTTCTTTTAAATAGGTACAAAAATATCATTAAAGTGTTACTGAATCAATAACTTTGAAAAGCAGCAGTACAGTTCACAACAAAAACTATTGAAAAAAAGCAATTTTTAAGCATTATTGTTAGTGATACAAAAAAGCCAAATCCTTAATATTAAATATACAGAATTTTAGCATGGTAATTTACACTGATTATGAGATTACATTGACAAATTATAAAGTATTGCTTTACCTTGACCAACACTGTTACTTTGAAAATTCAATTCTACATTAAACATTTTTTTTAAACCTTTACCTATTGTAGTAATATGTTTTATTGTATATATGTGGAAAATTAACTTTTCTTAAAAAAGAAAATGATCAATTAATAACTTTACTTTAATACTTTAATAATACAATTAATAACAATTAATAAATACAGGTGTATCTACATAGATAAATTGTACATCAGATAACATTTGAATTATATATTTTATGTACAGTACAATTTACATTTTGCTTTTTCACACACCACACACGTAGCAACAGATACAAAAAAGATAAAGTTAATTTTCTTCATTGCAAATCAAACGGATTTTATTAGTTCACAGTGGAATCATTGTTAGTTTGAAAGTATAGGCTTATAACCACAATAACCATTAACAATTGTTGTCATTATAGTTCTATAATATATCCAGTTTCAGTTTCTTTAAATATTTAATGACAACAACAATTAGGAATAGTATTTTACTGTTACTTACATAATTTGAAAGATAAGTTCAAACTTAACCATGATAAGGATTAGATAGTGCTAAGCATAGACAAATGCATACCTACAGAGGCAATGAAGTGTGTACTTCCCACAGATCCAACTGGGGACGGAGTCTCACCTAAACCAGTAAACTGTCCTTGTGCAGAATGATAAGCTGGCACGTACAATAACCCAAGCCCTGCCAAAATGATAAAACCTAGTGCTAGCCTCTTCACAAAAGAAACCCTTCCTTTTGGACTTGCATTGCCATTGTTCAAGCTGGATGCAGGTGGTAATTGCATAGGCAACAGTCGAACCCGGTCCATCTTCAACAATCATAAAAGTTATTTGATTGTCATTTGGTTACAGTATAGTATTTGTAAGAATTATATTTTGTTATATTCATGTTATAGTTATATTAAGTATTCAAGTGAAAGTTTACCTCTGGTGTAAAAAGATGCGACTGACACTCGCAAGTTCTCCATTTACCTCATCTTGGAAGATATCCTGTCACAGTATACAGATCCTTATCAACATCGTAAGTGTTAATCTGATGAGCAATAATCAGAACGTTGCTTAATTAAAAAGATCTACTGCGTAAAATAACGTAGTGTTAAAATGAAAAAATGTATAAACAATGAAAACGGTGTCGACTCGTACAACAAAAGCAGGTAGATAATGAGTGAGCAACGAAGCGCAAAACAAAAGAGAGAAGCTCATACCATCAGTCAGATAGACGCCAAGATCGGGCGTAGATGTAGCAGGTTTATTATCATATAAAAGCATTTGATGTGGTGAACTTTTATCTTATCGTGGACGTTCCTGAAATGGGGTTTCCCTTTACGTGTTATACACGTGGCAAGCTCAAAATAACACGTCCGACTAGCGCCAAACTCCAGTGTCGACTGCTCCAACGGAATAAATATACCGACTCCCTCGCAGCTCTCACTCATTCTCGCACTCTAGCTCCTCTTCGCCAATACGCAGACGTGAATATGTATGCCTAACACATAATATATATAAAAGCTGTGTGTATGCAATTGTGAATTTAAATAATGACAGTTCGTGCAATGTTAATGCAATGAGGATTTCACAACTGCATTTTTTATACTTTTTAGTTATCTAATTCTTTTATAATTTTAATTATTTAAAGAATGGTGAAAATAATTAGTAGCATTTTTAAATTACCCTTTTAATGTAAATTATCATTTTTATCAGTGCGATTGCATTTAACCTTGAAGCTTATTTAATTATACGTTTAGATTCGAAATTAAATTAGAAAAATTAGTGTCAATATTCAGTTGTCTGTCAATTTTAAAGTATAATTTTTCAAACACGTCATTCGTGATATGCAAAGCGGTAATATAGTTACATATAGTTATGTATATGATATATAGGATAATTACAGGTATTAAACTAGTTATATTTATCGACCATTGAACGAGTTTTTTTTATCAACTTATTCAATATTCATGGATTCATTCTACTAATCAATAGCTAGTGACTGGCAAGTTTGAATTTCATTACGTTATAAAAATAATTTGGTCAGTCGGGGGTACGCACGTGCCACGTTATATAGGATATCTCGATCGTTTCATGCATGCAGAAATTTATATGACAACGAGGTTATACTTGTTACTTGTCAATATTGTGTATGCAAAAAAAGTGCGCGACGTGCTTGTAATCGTATAAATTCGATAACATGAATGGCTCTACATAATCAATAACTCAAAAAGGTCAACTGTTTCGAAATACAAAAAAATGAACATAGGTATCCCAAAAAGTAAAAGAACATGATTAAATGAAGTGTTTCAAAAGTTTTTTGTTTATATGTGATGGTGAATGCTTTTTAAGAAAAATGTTATCTGTAACATAATGTTTATTGTGAGACATATTTGGTATAATTGTTAAAATTTTCTGCAATTCTGTTTATCGTGAATAATTTATTTGTTCATCTATAGTCAATTCTAACCTATCAATTTAATACGTATTTTAACGCACAAAAACTGGAAAAACAATTACAAAATGATCAAAGCTATTTTAGTGTTCAACAATCATGGGAAGCCACGCCTCACAAAGTTTTACCAATATTTTGTCAGTACTTCTTAATTTTATCATAATGGTAATTAAATTGCTTTTGAGATCTAGATTACAAGCAATTATATTTCTTTCAGAATGAAGATATGCAACAGCAAATAATAAAGGAAACTTTTCACCTAGTATCTAAAAGAGATGATAATGTCTGTAATTTTCTAGAAGGAGGCAGCCTAATTGGAGGGTCAGATTATAAACTAATCTACCGACATTATGCCACCTTATATTTTGTGTTCTGTGTTGATAGTTCAGAATCTGAACTTGGCATTTTAGATTTGATTCAAGTTTTTGTTGAAACACTTGATAAATGTTTTGAAAATGTATGTGAACTTGACCTGATTTTTCATGTAGACAAAGTTCACTACATTCTTAATGAATTAGTTATGGGAGGAATGGTATTAGAGACAAACATGACTGAAATTTTAACAAGGATTGAGGACCAAAACAAATTAGAAAAACAAGAGGTAAGATTTATTGAATAATAATTCAATATCAAAATATTTTATTTTTTATGAAACTTGAATATGAGATGCATGAGACTTATAATTTTATATAAAGTTTTTAAATTTTGCTAGAATAATCAAAATTCTAAGTATTTTTTCTATTGGAATACTCATTAGTTCTTATGGGATCCTTTTTTTAAGATATCTGACAATTTTTTTTTTTAGATATCGTTAACTCTATGATAATTTTTATGGCTGTACAGAAATAAAATTTTATTACTTTTTCTCAATTTATTTTGAGTACATATGAGCATAAGAATTAAATTTTTATTACAAATAGCCTGTCAATTGCTATTTAATATTAATATGTAAATAAATCATAGATATTCATTTGATCTTCTGATTTTTTATATAAAAATATATATTTTTTGAATGTATACAAAATCATATATATCACAATTCTTTTCTATTGATATACAGGCTGGAATCACAGCAGCTCCAGCTCGAGCAGTGTCAGCCGTAAAGAATATGAATATACCACAACAAATTAAAGATATGAAATTACCTGATTTACCACAAGCAATTAAGGATCTTAAGTTCTGACCAGCTGTCGCCTCATTGCCAAGTTGATTTAAAGTTGTAAAATATGAACATTTAGTTAATGTTACAAAAAAAGGATTTGTTTCTCTGAAAGACCATGGGAAAATTCCAATCATGTATGATTCTTCATTATTTATTTTGTCATTAGCACTTCTACATCGTTATCAAGAGTAAGACTTGTGTTATGAACATTCTAGGGAAATGTGCATTACAATAAAACACTTTTTGAAAAGTGAAACACTTATTATTTCAGGCTAGGATAAAACTAGAATTGAGATTTTTGTAAATTATTATGAAGTGAACTGAAATTTTGTAGAAGATTCAATCATAGAATATTTTATTGTGTAGCTAAACACATCTGTAAAAAGCTTAATATCTAAAATTTATTTTTATATGTGATAAGTAAAAGTTTTTTAATATGCGCCTCTATCCAATATAAATAAAGTATATAGTTATAATGTATTAAAAGTAAAATAAATAATAATAGAAACTGTTGCAAAATTACTTTTTGTAGTTTTTTCTTTTTCTCTTATTCAAATACTTAAAATAGAATAAAATAAATTTATATTTTATAAAAACGCTCAGAATATATTATTTTTTTCGAAATTACAAGTCTGTTATTACCAAGATTACATCTTAGACTACATTATACATAGAACATTAAATTTACAATAAAGTATTTTAATAATAATTAACTAATAATTATGAACTAACTTTGCAAGCCCTCCTCTTTAAATAAATCCTATTTGCTCTGTAACAATTGAACGAAAAAATTATATAAAATATTATCTAGTCTATTGTAAACATATTGCTTTACAGCTTATCATCTCCAATAAATTTTACAGTATAAATATTTACAGCTTTTAGCATTTTTATTAGAATAAAACTCAACAAAAGTTACTTTCTTCCTGCTTCATTTCTGAAAGATGTCCATATGTAACCATTACCTCCCTCTCTGAGAATTGGAGGATAAGGACTGTTTTTCAATTTATAATAATCTGAAGGAGCATGCATTACAAATTCCATGTACTCCAATTTGCGTGGTAAATCTTCTTCAGGACCAATTATGTATGTTTCTGGACTGAAACCATCTTCTGGAGGTGGACTGTAAAGTAACAAAAAATATTTATTTCTAATATGAAAAAAATCATTTCAAATTCAATAGCATATTGTTTAACAATACCTAGCATTGGTTGGTAGTAACCAAGTAACAGCTGCACTCTTTTCACAATACTGATCAGTAAGTAATCCTCGAATTTGAGCATAGTATATTCCTCCATCAATATCTTGCATGGACACTATGTCACCAACTTGAAAGTAGGAACCTTTATAGAATACAAAATTACTAGTAACTGGAGTAGCTGTTGCAGATGGACATTTCATAGGCTGCTAAAATAATTTTACAAATTTCAACAAAGATTTCTTCAAAAAAATTGGAAATATAGGTCAAGCAAAGGGTATTTACAGTTTTCTTGAAAATGTGCCTGCGCCCCTTGCCCTTGGGCACAGGTTTATTGGACAATTGTGAGGATTTGTATCTAGTAACGCGCGTACTTTTGCGTGCTGGTTTATCCTCAGTGCTGATTCCTACAGAAGAAACCTGCTGCTCAGTCTCTTTGGACTTCTCCTTCTCGAGGCAGCTGTTGCATAAGTGACCCGACTCGGTGGAGTGCCACAAAAGGCTCTCTTCACTTTCGCATGTTGCACACTTTGGCTTCTCTCCTAGAGGCATCTTCTATGAGACGATTGACTTAACTATCAAACTGGGCACCGGCTAATCCTCATTGTTGTTGGCAGTTATTAGATAAAAGAGTTTTATTTTGAGGTTCGTTTCTCCTGTGCCATTGAGACTGTAAACAACGAGTATCGATGCGAGAGGTGGGGCAACTCAAGTGGCCATTCGTTACCGTAACGCGGGCAAATATTTGAAATTTCCAAGTGAAAATTGCAGATTTTATTTTGAACTTGAATTAGACCTCGCAAAGCCTATCACGAAAGAGATTTTCTTCTAATCAAGTTTTATAGCTATCAAACATTTATAGTCGTTCAATTAAGTAACACGCGATACAGAAATTTATTATGAAATAAAGGTATTTTCGTTGTAATCTAACTATAATTGTTGGCATACACATAAAAATGTGTATACCAACAATTATTTCCCTTCAATTAACATTCATTCAGCAAATAAATACTTAATCACATGCATTGAATAACCTCTAATTGCACATGGGTATTACGAAGTTGCTTTTTGTTTGCATTTCTTTTTCTTATCGTACAAAAACTTGAACTGGCTAAAAAAAAACTAAATATTCTGCATTCAAAGAACAATGTGAATTTATAAAACAAAGTTTCATTGATTTAATTTGTCACTCTTCGAGCATTATAATTAATAAATTGTTCTATCTACGCTTTTCATGTATTTTAATCTTCTACATAATGTGATTTGAACTGTTTTCACGAAATCACATTCGTATAATTAATAACGTTCCATTCAGTCAGTCATATTTAGAAAATCATATAGATAGTTCTTTTTATTATTAAAATTCTTGATACAGAAACATTACAATTCTTATTCAATCAAACCTACAAATATATTTTAGATAGAATATTATTCATTAAAGCATAAAATTTAATTATTTGCATTAATGATCTATCAAATTATTCGGTTTTTTGGACTGAAATTAGATAATTCCAAATCGGATTGAATAAAGGAAATGTTACATCATTTGCATCTATAGAAGAATTGAAATCGTTAATAATTTAAATAGTTTGTAATAAATACTTTCATGTTTTGATAACATTTATCGTATATTTTGATCAATTCTATTTTATTAGCACAAGAAATAAAAGAATGTTTTGAAAAAATCTTTCGAAGCATTTATCAAGAAATGGAAAATGTTCATCTTAAGTTTTTTATAAATAAAGTTATTTTATAGTTGTTTAAAAATTCTACGATCAATTTAATGATGCAAATTTCATTTACAAAATCATTCAACGACTTTTCGAGCCCACACGATATATATCAATTAATCTCACGTTATAATTTTCTAAAGTATGTCAAAGAAGTATGTATGCGCGGTTACAAAGCCTGAGAAAGTCTCGAAAGAGCTTTAGCGCAGCCTATTGAATTTGACGAAAGTCTGAAAGAGGCATTTGCCTCAAAAAGTAAAGCATACAAACTATATTTAGCCTTTTGCTAGCTTGTAAAAGCATGTGAATGGGAAACGTACTGCAAGCTCAACGTATATACTTCGCACTCGTCTGGGGCATTCTTTCACGTGCATCCGAACTAGGATATCATCGACATCTAAAAATAGTTTCGTGATCCTCGACTACCAGCTAAAAATGTACGGCTTACGTATAATCTTGTTTATTTATTAAAGTTGTTTTGACTTGGTTTCATTGAGCTACGGAAAAGTGGCATACTCAGGATGATTTATTTTATTATAGTGCAAGCACAATTTACATTAAACGTCAGCTGTAACGTTATTATTCATACAAAGCAATAATATTTGTTTATTATTTTTATCGCTCCTTTAAAAATGTTCTTTCTGCTGAATTGTCACATATACTTCAGTAACGTAAGTGAATGCTACTTTTCAAAAATTAATTCAAATATCATCCCTACATACATAATCAATAATATTCAGTTCTTCCAATACACCATATAACAACACCGCATGCACTTCGTATTAGTTGATAAAATGGAAAAGAAAGATTATCAATTATGTAACCCGTGATAATCAATATGCAGTCCATTGAATATTTTTTTTTCTCAGCTCTTGATTGCATACGACTTGTCAAAAACTCCTTTGAAAAAACAATACATCTCTATTTCGAGATAATCCATGGACCTGGGGAATCAAAGGCTGCAAAAGAGCGAGTGATGCATCCGTGAGTATGAAAAAGGAGAAACAGAAAAAATAAGAAAAAAAAACCAAGTGCAGGCAGGCGTAGGAAGGCAGCTCAAACAAACGGCAAATGGCGGTGGTGGTGGTAGCTGCTATCGATTGCTCTGAGGAGAGGGGATTCGAGGGCTGTGCGCGCGAGACTGTGCGCCGTCGCAAGCTCGCAAGCTGCAAGCTCGCAGAGCGAGTCCGAGCGTCACGCCGGCTGCTTACTGCAGCTAATATCTGTCAACGCCACTCGAGCATCCACGACATGTGCCTTCGCTAACCGTGAGTACTTAATGTATCTTTTGTCTTTGAGTTGATCCTCGCATTTTATTATTATTATTTGGAATATTGACTCACTCAGCTTTTTCTTCATTTCCCGCAGTGAAGCTATTAATTATAAATGAAAGCTGTGTGTTCGCTGTAAAATCAATCGCGTTGATTTGAAGAGCTAACTGACTTGCTCTGAGTAATCTCTGTTAATTTTCGTAAAGTTATAAAGAGGTATCAGACAAAATCAACTTCAATTGATTCATATTTTTCCGTTGCTTAGCTATATTAAAAAATGTAAATATCATGAGAAAAGGTTTATCTCAGATTAATTTCAAAGTTAATTGTTATATTATGGTACTGAATTTTTCTAGAAAATTCAATGTATCATATATATTCATCATACATTTTCTAGGAAAATTCAATACATACATAAGCTAACAAAATAAATTAATATTTTGTATTAAAAAAGTTTTCATGGGTTAGTCTTTCCAATTGTTTAACCAATTTTTGAGGTAATACATTTTTTAATACGATTCTGCAGAATATTTATAGCATGTTTTTGAATACTTTAGTTTAGAATCAAATTATTCAATTGAAAAAAATTTGAAAAGTATGTTATCATTCCTTCGATATGAATTAGTAAACGATTAATGTTTTAATTCTGTACTAAGAAAAATATCTCGAATTATTTTAATAATGCTGCAGCATTTAACAATTTATAATTCAATTATTAAGAATATAGATCAAGTTTTTTCCCTGAAATCGTGTAGTAATTAGATAAAGAGAGAGAGAGAGAGCAATAAAATGGAAGCAGATTAATGACGTGCAGCATTATATATTATTATTCCTGGAAAGCAAAACGATTATTTATCGCTGCTAGATTTAGATTTTAGTGATAAACGCATAAAATCACCTAATAAATTCGTAAGAAGTTTCTGATTAGGTTTATTGGTGGAAGTTGAAGCTATAGCAAAAATTCAAGCCGATCATTCAGTTTGAAAACCGCAGGCAAGGGGTTGAGGGTGAACGAAAACCGCGAGCAAGCAATGTGCTCACATCGCCTTTACCTTTCACATTAATCTCTCGCGTGTATGCTCATAGCTCGGAGGATTCCAAGCTTATTCTATTATCTTATGCTTTTTTGAATAATTGAGGATGTGAATCTCGTGAAATCATATATAAAAAGAAACACATTTCGTAGTTTTGGAAATTTTTTACAATCGTTATGAAAAGCTTGAATATTTCAGAACTCTCTTTACAAAGAATTTCTAACGAGCTCTAAAATACAAAAAGGAGAGCGGTTTAATTTTTGACGAAGTCTTTGGCAAGACCGTTAAAAAGTAAGCTTGAAATAAATTTAAAAAACTCATATTAATCGGTGATTAAGAATGCTTTCTATCTGAAAAATCGATAAAAAATGCTTTTGTGCAACGTTAAGTATTCTATTTGAAATAGCATCAACTCTTTGACGTCAATGTAAAATGTTCAAACCATTAGGCAGTAATCGACAAAGTACGTATTAAGGATGTTAGAAAAGTTAAACTTCTACTCCAAATGATTCAAGTTCAATACACGTTCGAAAGTGACCATCTACCAAGAATACAATAAGCAAGCACGAAAAAATAACAAGAAATAGCCAGCATCTTTATTTGAAAAATCCACGCGTTGTTAAACGCTGCGATATCCGACAAGTGAAATCGCAGCAAGGAACACACAGTTTGGCCATCGATTAGTCGACACTGGCTAGTTGCACGTCAGCGACTGCCGTCATGGCTAATGCTATTCACAATTTATCACAACGAAAAAAATACAATATGTAGGAACTGCACCGGCTATAGTTTCCTACCCTCGGCTACTCGTACGTCAGACTTCTAAATGAACTTTTATCGCACCTGATGTTTATTTTTATGACCATTGCGTTTTTGTTTGAAACCTTATACGTGCCTTCAGAATGGAACCGGTGCGCTTTCACGCTCGAACTCAAAGATAGATGAGACGTTCATTTATAAATTAACAAATTGATTTATTGATAATTAGGAAATGACGACGGTCAAATTCGTGAAAATTATTTGCAATCCAGGTGCTGGCCCATTTGTATTCCTGATAATTACGTGTAAGCCACTTAATTTATAACTGGCGAGTCGTATGTATCCACGGCTAACATTTTATAATGAGTTAAAACCTTGCGATAAAGAAGATATAAATTTCACCTATAAATTTTAATAATATTTTACTATTCGATAAATTCAGTTGTCCGATAGATTTTTATTGATTTTTGTAGGCTGTATTTTATTATTGTTTAAAAAGTACAATTATTACAATAAAATAAATTAAGATAGTCCATATATGACAAAATCTATAAAAATATCTACATTTTTAGCACTATTTTCCAGTATCCTACAGCTTATCCGAATCATTTTCTTCAGCATTACTCAATAGCGCTGTTTTTATTGAAGATATATTGTAAGCAAAAATGCACATGACATAAGAAAAATTCATAAGATTTATTGTTTTTGATATTTTTACATTATTCCGTATTAAGTGACAATCATTAAAATTAAGGCTGTAACTTCTTTCATTCACAGCTGAAGCCATCATCTGTTTACAATAATTTTAAAAGTGATATGAATAACAGAAGTCAAGAACTTTAATTTAACGTTTTGCACGATCGAAAATAATTATTTTTTATATGACTGTAGTTGATTTAAAAAATAAATAAAAAAGATGATATTCTTTATAAAATGTTGTTAAACGTATGATTTTTGTATCTGATATTATCTAAGTTGGAAAGCATTTATTTTGATCGCGTAAGATATCATATTGAAGCCTTTGACTTCTATTATCTATATCACTATTCACAATTGTTACAAATAAATATCAGCTCAAGCTATAAGCGTTAGAAGTCAGTCTTCATTTTAGTAGTTTTTACTGTATGAATGTCCAATAACGCAAAGATGCCGGATAAAATCGTTTCTACAAATAAGAGGAAAAACTTTCGAAAATTCCAGTAAAAAACAATTTTTTTGAACTCTAGACCCGAGAAAAATATATCTTTTTGTAGATTGCTCACATATATCGTATGGTTATTAAACTTTAATCGTGGTAATTTTCTACTTTTTTGCATGATCAACGACATTGTGACTTGGTGAAATTTGCTATAGGTATTTTATAGCTTTTGATGAATTTAACACATTAAATATAAAAATGGCCATTAGGTTGTAAGTCTGCCCTGTGTATATGATTGAGAATAATTGCATGTTATATGTTCATTTAAAATGTTGTGTACTGGTCAATAGAATTTCAAGAAATTTTCAAAATATAATACATGATTTTTGGTAACACGATCAATTTGCGATAAATAATATAAACTTTGGAAAATGAACGAATGAAGAGTGAATGAAAAATCTTTCCAAACTTTAGCAAGAAATCAATCGGAAGTAGTTGTTAAGTGAACTTTTAGAAGCGTTTAAGCAACTATCGATCGTGAAACTATAAGCCGTGTAAGTATATAGAGATCCAAATAATCATACCATCAAATAGTCGCAGCGAAACTGTCAACGCGAGCTTGCAAATATAAGATCGCCACGTAGTGATGTGTACATCGGCGGCCTTTAAAGTACACTTCAACAATGAAAATGGTATTAACATAACCGAGCGTTAACCTTTCAAAGAGCATTGTGACATTGCGACATGTGTAGAGCTACCGATCGAAGCTTTTGCTAACGGGATATGCATACATACATACATCAAGCGTATGAGAAAATCAAACCTATATAATCATTTCAGGAAACATCTCGGTTATTTTTCAACCAGTATCGGCCGCGGATGTAGTGTATCGAATTCGACATTATAGTGAAGAAGGGATATGGAACAAGGGCTATTCTATGTACAGATAACCCACTAGAAAAACATTAAGCTACATTTTCTAAAATAGTACATTTCGATACTAGAATGCGAGAAAGTAATTTTAGTATCGTGTGAACGTTTAGGCCCGAGTGAAGCGAGGTTTTTCGATATGATTACGATAAGCGATTATTTTTCGACAAGACGTGTGTGGAATGAGATTTTAAGCATGCTCGATTCCTCGCACGTTCGGCCAAAAACGTTCGTTCAATAAATACTATATGATACGTGTCAACATGTTATCAAGATTAACCAAAGGAGTGAAAGTATTGACAAGTCCATAGCACGTGTAAATACATGCTAGAGGCTTGCCATTTTCACTTCTGTGGTTAATATACTATTTTTTTTGCCTGCAGCACGTAAAATGCATATTTTGAAACCTGACGCCTGGGTTTTAAGGCGCACTTTACGCGCAGTAGGTAAAAAAGATTTTCGTCTCTTGTATCTTTCCACCCTCGCTTCGCTAGGGTCTAAACGACACACGAGGCGACAATCTCCTTTCCCGCACTTGTATCGTATTGTATTATTCCTTTATATCATGCGTCATATGTTCGCGATCGACAACAGCAGCGTAGCATTGTTTTAGTAATTTACACGGAGTTAATTAGCTTTAAACGAAAGGCAGAACGTTATTTTCAGACTTGTTACTTGTTTTATTTTGTTTCATCGCCAATTTTGGCTAAATGTTATTTTAGTAGCATCGAGGCGCTAAAGATAAACGTGACCGACATATTCACCTATAATTCGAACAGTTTTTTACATGGTGCAATTGTTAAAGTTATATACCGATATTTAGACTGCGTCCAAAACGTGAAAACTCACTGAAATCTATCGCGCTGACCAAACAAATTTTCGGTGGTTCGTTTCGAATTGGTATCCTCCGCACGCGCGCAATATCGTCGCCAGTTGCATAATGCGAAAAATATTTCCAAGTGTTGCGCTTTATTACCGAGCATATCTAAGCATTCACAAAAGAACATGTCAGTTAAAATAACATATGCGAGCTTTGACTCATCCTCCACGTGTTTCCTGAAAAGTAACTTTAGTATATAGATTTCAGTCGGTTTGGTAGCAGTTCGTATAGTCACTTGAAGTTCGTTTTTCAGTTGTAGAGTATTCAGAACATTTTCCCAACATGCGATATTGAAGCAATGTTAGGCTACTATTCAACGGTGATTCTAAAGCCGCCTCGAATACAATAGTTTTCAATCGATTTCAAGCGTGTAAAGACGCGCATGAAGTTGACGAAAGTGCCGGCACTGTCACTATGTTGTATTTGTAAGAATTTTTTTATCATAAATATAAGACTATAGAGTCGATCTATTATTTAAAACTAATTTTAAGGGCATGATTGATAGCCCGTATGCAACATCCACAAGGCTCAAGAAAAATTAATGTATTGTCGCTTTGATTTCAGACATTTGAGTGAAGTCAAAAGAGCGAGAATGTATGGAGGTGACGTTCAGTCTATACAAACTCTCTCCACGCACGGCAGCGATGTCAACGCTGTGGACTTTGCTGGAGACAGTATTTTAGTTACTGGCTCTGGGTAAGCAATTACATTGGCAAATAGCACGCTCTATCAAATATTCAATGATCGCTGAGCAAATTCTTCGGTATCTGAAGGTTTACACATTTGTATGGCTAATTTGTTAATTGCTTTGCGATGTTGTATCTTGTCCTTCATCAATGCCGTCACCAAATTTTTCTGCAATTAAATAAGTTTCATGAATAAGGATAAACAAACATTACATTGCCCGAGAGTTAAGTTTCGTTGTCGATGTAAATCTTTTAGTGATAAAAAGGTACGGGTGTGGGAATGGCAGCCTGGCGACGGTTTCGTCGAAGCATCGTTTTCGCCATTACTGGGCCACAAGTATGGGGTTACGTCGGTCAAAGTCAGTCCGCAGTCGACAATGCTCGCATCGTCCAGCATCGACGGTACTACTCAGTTATGGAATCTCAGGGTTAGTTATCGGCATAAATTCATAGCTGGCATTGCTCTATGTATGCATTTGTTTCGAATGACAGTCGGGCACAAAAATTCACACCATGGTGCAGGCGGGTGGCGAAGCCGTGCGAGTCTGCCGATTCTCGCCGGACTCGTCGCTCCTCGTCACCGCCGGGGACAACGGCCAGGTGTGTTTGTGGGACTTGGTTCGGCGAACGTTGATCAGGTACAATAAAGCACGAGTTTTATAAAATTCTAAGATCAATTTATTTAATGAACACTGTTCAGATGTTTCCAGCGACACGAAGGAGCGATTCAATCAGTATGCTTCACACCCGACTCCAATTGGCTTTTGACCACTTGCACTCTCGGTGTACTTCAGCTATTCTGCAGTAACGAGATCATCGAGTCGTGCCCGTCACGCGACAAAGATCTCACAGTGTTTGCTCAGATCGACGATGCCCATGATCTTGGTGTCGTCTGCTGTGATTTCTCCCCCGTTCAGGAAATTACCAGTGAGTATTTTCTGCCTGTCTCCTTATAATATCTTTCTGATCACGTGGGTAGAATCACAGAATTTTGCCGTGATTCGCTTCATTAGCGTATCCTTTTTATTGACAGTTTCATAGGTTTTAATAACAATATGTATTTCGCAGTCTTTAAATTGTCATTGATTTTTAATTTTACAGAGCGTATGTTTGCTTTGTCATCGCTCGTAATAACAATTATTAAAAGTATAATCCTTGGAATATAATCTTACCATTAATCATCGTGGTTCTTTTGCATAATTTTATAAGAAACTACTTACGACCGAATGGTACGAGAAATCGATATTGGTAGCCAGCCATATGATATCCATGGTAGCCAGTAATAAACTGAAAAAGATAATAATTTTCGCGTTTAATGTTGATCAAGGCAACGAGCCATTCGCCAAGTTGTATCAACTGGTGACTTGCGGCAACGACAATCGCGTCAAGCTGTGGGAAGTCAAAGTAATGCAGGACAAATGCGATACCCAGCCGCTATCGGCCAATATCGAACTGTGCCGGGTCATGGAAAAACACAGCAGTGCCTTAACGTGCGTCCGCTTCAGTGCCAATGGAATGTACACTGCCAGTAGTGGTCTCGACAAAACAGCCGTCATTTGGGAAACGGTAAATGTTTCACCACAACTCGATTTTTTCGTCGTTTGTGCTGTAATACAGCGGTTTCTTTGGTTTTGAAAATTGACAGACAACTGGAAGGGTCATCTCGGTACTCACCGGACACAACCGATATGTGGCTTGCTGTGCTTTTTCGAAAAATGGAAATTTACTTGCCACAGGTATATCGCATTACAATCCTTCGGCCCAGTTCGTTCTATATCGAGTAGATCATGTCAATATCTGGCCGATTTATAGGTTCCAACGACAAACGAGTGATCATTTGGGATTTGACTGGGAATTTGAGTTTGGACTCGGAGCTCGTCCGTCACAACAGTGTTAAACTGCAGAACAACGAAAGAACCGATAAAGTAAGAATACCGATGTAAATACCTTTCGCTTTAAAATGATCGACTTTTTAAACGACAAATACATCGACGCAGACATTGATACAAGAGACTGAGGTAGTGAAGCATGCAGAAACAAGCGGTAACGAAGTGAAGCTGATTCAGCGATTGGACGAGCACAATGGAGCCGTCAATTCGGTGGCCATGTTTGGCAACCGTTTAATTGCCTCTGGTTCTGGGTTGGTACTCATCATTGTCTTATTGTTGCTTGTTGACCAACTTAAGTTGATGTCAAATGTACACAGAGACAAGTTGGTGAGAGTATGGAACGTCAAATACGACGAAGAGGGCGAATCAACCTTGATATTCCAGGAGATGGGATACAACCCACTCGATGGCCACAAGTACAGCGTCAATTGCATAGAATTTAGCCCCTGCGGCACCAAACTAGCGTCATGTTCTATGGATGGTACAACTGTTATTTGGGATGTTGAGGTATATGTTTATTTTTAAAATCTTTTTAATTATCTTTTTTTTTTAAGAAGAAGTTCTTAATTTGGCAACAGTGATGATTGAAACGATCATTTCTCCGTCAATCACTCGCCGCTGGATACCGATGAGTACAGAAATAAAGCATTGATGTGTATTTTAGAACGGCACCCAAGCGCGAACGTCGTTTGTAAATTCTGGAACAGCCGTGAGGGTTTGCCGATGGTCACCCGACGGTACGAAAATAGCGACGGCCGGCGATGACGAGAAAACAATACTTTGGGATTTGGAGACTATGGAGGAAACGTGGTTTGTAACAATTGCTTGTCATTTGACTGGTACCACTCATTGTCGTTTGGTGTGTTAGTCACTCTTGAATCGATTTGTCGTTTCGAATAACGAGCACAGTGATTTTTTTCCAATATTTGGGAAAGAAAAAAAGCTCACATTTTCAATGTTTTGACATCGATTCGTGAGAGATTAGCGCTCAAGTAGATATTGAGAACCTGGCGCTATATCGTTTAATATAAAGTGATCCTTACAGCATATTCGAGGGGCACGCGGACGCGATAACGGCAATTGCCTTCACGCCAGATTCACGTTACTTAGTAACTGCCTGCAGCGAGGGTGCTTGGCGACTTTTTGATACTAATCAAGCAGAACCCGGAGGAACTAGTAATGCTCTACTCGTTTGCGATATCGGGCACGATCTTGGTGTTCAGGGTTGTGATTTTAGCCCCACCACCGGTCCTTTTACCATGACTGGTAAGTGATTTTAAGTACGTATTCTCTTGGAAAATCAATAGTTTCGTTTATATGTTCAAACTATTTTCCATAGTCTGCTTCGATTTATGCAAGCTTTCGAATAATTTATTTGGTTTCGTAATTCAAAGTTTAGAAAAGTAAAGTTATAGCTGTTAACGTATATTCAGGCACTATAACTTCTGAAAGACTTGCAAAGTTTTACTTACGAATCCACTTACGTATCGGTGTGATTGTTCATTCCCGAAAAATAACACTACATTCTAAGGAGAATGATCGATTGTTTTTTATTTGCCTTCAAAGGATCTCGGGACGCAAGCTCAGGCGCCGCGAAAGATTCATATATGCTTGCGACTTGCGGCAACGACTCGCTGATAAAGCTCTGGAAGATTATTCTGATTGAGGCTGATCTCGATTTAGAGGGTAGTGGCAGCAGTAAAGCTGGTATATCTTACAGAGAGCGTCGGCAGTTCGTTGGTCATGGTGGTAACATCATGTGCGTCAGATTCTCACCTGTTCACGGCGAGATACTCGGCAGCGTTGCTACCGATAGGACTGCTCGATTGTGGAGTGTTGTAAGTAGATATAATAACAAAATCTGGGCTCTTAAACAAATGAAGATGAGCACGCATGGGTGGATTCAATTGAACGATACGCATTTTAAACTAATAGGTATTAATTTTAGTTTTGAAGTAGATGAAATAGACTAGTACATCGAAAATAAAATAGAAATGTCTCGAATACAGTTGCATGAAAATTGAAGATTTACCGAATAAACCTGAATATCTTATTTTACAAAAATGAAATAAATAATTGAGTAAAAACAATTTTCTTTTTTTTTTTTCAAAAAGTAAACAGTAAACTATTTGTTTATAAAGAACGTGCAATGTGCGTCTATGACATGCTTATCATTTTGGTCATCTTGACATGTAACGTCGAAAGCAAGTGAAAATCAATAATTATGAATAATAGAGACGCTCACCCCTTCTGCGATTAATAAAGGACGCTAAAAACATTCCACGCAGAACCATGCGTTGCTTTAAAAATTACTTTTTTTCTAGTTTTCCAAACTTAATGTAACTTAATAATTAATCAAAGAGTAATCATTAAGTTACATACTTAATAATTAATCAAAAATTAATTATTAATTAACAACTTAAGTTAATATGCTGATATTGTTGATTAGTCGTTCACTTTAAATATTGAGATATTTTAAACACACGGTTTTCTCATTATAGCACACCGGCATGTGTTTGCACGTTCTTGAGAGTCACGAGAGTCTCGTAACAACCTGTGCCTTTTCTGAAGATACATCACTTTTCTTGACAGGTATGTTAAATCTATGCTCTCGTCAATTACAGTTAATTTTAAAAATATATTACGGTACACCAATGGCATTAGTTATAACTGTAAATAGACTATGTCAAATAAAAATATACGAAAAACTGTATTTTCAATATTTCATGATATTAGATGGCTTTTTATATTTAGAAAACTATGTTTCACGTTGATTATAATTTTGCGCATTTCACACGTAATTATGGTTTCATCAAATATGTACTAATGTACTAATCGATAAATCGATATATGAACGTAGGTGCCTTAGACAAGACTGTTTTAATTTGGAAATTGCCAGATCAACTAGTGTCCCAAAGCATTCTCATTGATCGTTTAAGAAACACCAGAAAAAAGGTATTGTCAAAATGGTTTTAATTTTTAAAAAATCGATGAGGAAACTATTAACTCATTGGAACCTATTCGTTACGTTGCTTCGACAAGGAGTTTAATCAATTTCCAAATAATACTTCAGGTTGCTGATTGGGCAGTAGATGACGTGATAAAATGGTTAATCGAAGTTGATTTATCTGATTTGGTAAGAAGCATTCAAGCTCTTGCTATAAGTGGACGTATGCTACTACGTATCCCCGACGAAGTCGTCATAGGCAAGCTACAGTTCGATCACGACCAAGAGGTACGCGCTTGAATAGCATTCATAAATTATAGAACTTCTATAGTAACATTTTGTATGATGATATAATCTATCAAAGGACATTTCATGTACAGTTAAAATCATTTCGACAAATTTTTCACAATTGTCTCATATTATAGATATTAGAGTTATTCCGGAAACAACTCTACTGGTTGAAACGCGAAGACTGCAATGCTCCATTCATTGTTGAAGACACCGATATACCAGACGATTTCGTGTGTCCGATCACTCACGAGATAATGCGGGAGCCGGTACAATGTTCAGGTAAAGACCTAACAAATAATATTATTCTATCGATCAATTAATCGATAACATTTGTTGTCTATGTATTAATCGCGTAGTGCAGGTATTGTTCTATTTACAACGATTTTATGTGATCGCGGACATTTTAATAGTTTTCAAAATACTTCAAAGAATGTGATAATTTTATTTGTATAGATCGTGTTCGAAACATGAGAAACGTCGTGACATGACGTCACAATTTTAAGAGAGGCGATAAGTATGTACTTATTTATAAAATGTGAGTGATGACAAAAATACTGTTGCTCATTATCGGATTCGATGTTTCAAAATAACATTACGGAACAATATAAATTTCGTAACAGTTAGAAAATAAAATTTCTTTGTGCATACTAATAAACTAACTGTTTTGAATTCATGTTTCAGGGATACTAATGATAATTTGGCATGACTTGTTTAATAATACAGGCCTACAAAATTTTGAAAAAGTCTGGAACCCGAAACCGGAAACAGTATACTCGAAGAAATTTGATGTGCTTAATTTGAATCCGGGTTCAGAATTGCTCCATCACCCTAAGCTTTTAAGATATCCTAATCTAAAAGTGTAAAAAAACTTGTTTTCCCTAAAAAATAGAACGCCCAAAACTGTGAAAAACAGTATATAATATTTTTCACTTTCGTGTGAGACAGGGAATCTTACAATTAGTTTTCACATATTCGAAAGTCTACATCACACACCAGCGAAACGTTATGCAGAGATATAGAAAACTAAAGTTTGATTACTGTTGGTTGACTATCGAATATTTGAAAACTAAGATGCGAAAAACAATGTTTTTTGCATTTTTAGGTTAGGATATTTAAAAAACAGGATGATAAAGCAATTATCAGTTCGAATTCGGATTCAGTACACCAAATTCCTTTGGGTTACTATCTCTGGTTTCTTGTCGTGAAAAGTGTTCGCCTGTGTAATTATTCACAATATATGCTTGTATCTATATTACCTATTTTGTAATCTATATTTATACTAACTAAATCAACAGTAAACTATACAATTCAATATCAAATAATAGATTGATAATTAAATTATTTGGATACGTCTAAAAACAATTAATATTGTGTATTTATAGATTTTAATAACAAACGCAAAACTCATTATTTAATTCTAAAAAAATCTAGATTTCATGGTTTTTATTTTACATTATTACAAAATGCATTTTTATATTTATAGATGTTTTATACGTTTTTCATTACAATTGTATGCGAATAAAAATATAAAATTTACTACAAAATTATTATTTTCAACGAATGCGTTGTAAATTTTTTTACAGATGGTTTTACCTATGAAAGAGCAGCAATAAACGAGTGGTTCTTGTGTGGGAAATTCACGAGCCCAATGACAAATGAACCACTTAAAACAACGAGCTTAACGCCAAATGTTACCCTGCGGAATGCAATATTTACACTTTTACATGGAGAGGCGCCGACGTTTTGAAAACAATCAAAAGAATATACCTACCATGAATTTTCGCTTTACCCGAGGAAACGAAAACGTTATAGTGTACTAAATTTTCACATTACACTTAATTTGACAACTATATAAAAGTACAATCTAACTAAAGTCAATGGTTCTTTATATGTATATTTCTTTATAACGAAGATGACATGATAATGACCGCATAAATTATAGTTCTACCAAAATTGGTACAATATTTAGTTATTTTTCAATTTTCATAAGTTGTTTGTAGTTAAAAACCAAGCTTCATATTGTTCAGTAAGTTGTAAATAACAACTTGAAATGATTATACATAAAATTAATCACAGTTTGTTATTTAGAATCGTCGCCAAAATAAATTAAAAATATATTATTTCAATGACACTACACTCAACATTTCTTGCCTAATATTAATAAATATCAAGAGATAAAGACAAATTAAATTCTAATTCACATATTCGTTTATGGTTTTTGTAATTTTCCATTTATACTTCGATATTTAATCAATTTATAGTATTACTATTATATAAATGTCAAGACAAATACGTGATAGCATAATAACGAAGTATAGTAAAAAAACTAATTTGGCTATAAGCGTTATTGAGAGGTACATCAAATTCAAAAATGCACAAAAGTCAAACAAAACAATCATTTCATTTCTAATCTGTGAAACCAAACATTTAATTGTTTTGTTAGGTACCTTTATCTTTATATGTATGTAGTTTTTTTTTGTAACAAGTCTACACATTTTTACCAAGGCGAATTTATACCTAATGGGGACAAACTATGTACAAGCTTGACAAATACATAAAGAAATGACCTCAATTAATTCGTGGAATTCATTTGTGTAAAACATTATTGTAACATTTTATTATTCACAATATTTTTTCTATTTCTTTATTATTAGTCAATAGCAAGTTCAAGATTAACTCAGTCGATTTACATTTCAATTATTTTTATCAAACGCCTACTCTAACGAAAAAAACTACATTTAATAAAAAATGATAAAAGAGTGAATGCTTGTAATAATTGAAAACTCATTGTTTATACATTGTATGGAAAGTGATAGTTCAATTGCTAGTGGTAAAAAATTAGAAGTTTGATATTTGACATTGTACGAAGTGATAACAAATTGTTGATGAACTTATTACTTTCTGTTTATCTATGTCGACCGAAAGCGTGTAGCAAATTATCTCTTGAAATTGTAATATTGCAACTTTAATTTTATATAATTTCTTTCTATGTATTTGTAAAATTATTTTAGAATTTTTTTTAATATTACAATCAAAATGTTCGGCATGTTGTTTTTTACATTATTGGTTAATTTAAATGTATTTATCATGTATATTTTAAATTAAGTTTTAATATGTTATGGACACTATCAAAACCGATTACTCTGTTCGTATTAAATAAAATATTTTTCTAAGTTTTACACTCACATTGCATAACAGTTTATGTAAGTTTCAAGCTTTAGAGAAGAATATAAAATGTATATCGTGTAATAAATTCTAATTAACTCCGAAGTCCAGACCAAATACCTGATGCGAAAGAATAGTACAACTTTGCAAATAAATACTTTTTTTATATTTAGATCAGAAACATATAAAAACGGTCTAGACTAATAAAAATTTATATATTATCATTTCTTTTATACACTTTTTTAAGTGTCCGTTAATTAATAATTAATATAAATTAATAAAAACTTGATTTTCTTCATACTTTATATAACTTAAGTTATTATTAGATTACAAATGTACTTTAAATTTGTATTACCGAACATATAAATTATATTTACTTAAACAGAAAATTATTTAATAAATCGTAACATTGCATTAGAATTAGATTGATATTATTGTTTTAATTTATTTAAATAATTTTCAATCTCCAGTGTACAGTACAAAAATATGTTATCATACTATAAGATAATTAGATGTGAATAAACCCTTTTACCATGAAATGTAGCATATGTGTATAATAATCACGTAAAAAACTTAATTACATCTCTATTTAAATTATTCCACATATGAGTCAAAACTCATTTTATTTTAAGTAATCAGAAATAATGAATACGATATGAAATTCATTTTTAAAATTTGTGAAAGATTTTATCAAACTTGTATATATTTATTTCGAGAATATTATTAGTTATTTTTGCACACACTAACTTATGGAATAAGTGAATAGAAGTACTCTGGAAATATATCATGTATTAAAAAATGTTTGATGACATGTTAACATGGCTTTCAAAAAAAATCCAAGAACTTATCCATGAATTATTATCTTAAATATAGTACATTGACAATAATGCAATATACTTTCTATATGTATAACCACTAAGATATATATATTATATAAACTTATCGTGTATTATTCTATAGTACTGATAAAGTCTAATAACAATCTGCAAAAAAAAATTAAACATATAGTGTAAGCAGTTTTGTAAATCACACGTTAAAATCTATACGCATCTAAAATTATTACGTATAGCAGCTTGTCGCATACACATTTGTTATAATATATTCAAAAAATAAGGACTGTATAATAGTAGTTACTTACAAATTAAACTTGACAGCATTCTCTGCGATTTAATGTTGAAAAAATACCACAATTTTTTTGTGAAATTTTCCTCATGAAATTCCACTTTTTTCGTTATAGTTTCTGTAACTTATTTTTTTCAAATAAGTATATGAGACGATTAATCATACTTATTAGCCATAAAATATGTCATGATGCTATAATGATATATATTATTATTCTTTAGCACTTTTTAATCTGAAAAATACACGTAATAAAATTTTTATTTTGTGTATGAGTAAATTACCAAGATAAAAAATCTATACATACTTATACAAGTGTTGATACAAGTATTTATAGACTTTATATATATCTAGCAGGATTGGAAGATTTTTCACAGTACTATAGTTTTTCCTACTATTACCATTAAAAACCATTTTATGTTTGTACATTTGATTTTACCACATTACTAATTCTGGATTATGTTAAATTTTTAGTTCAGCCTATCCATCAAAATTTTATTTTCTATAATGAAATTCTTATATAAATGAAGAAATTGCATGTATACAGACATCTAAATTGAGTTAGTGTCCAAAATTATTCAAAGTTGGCGCTTCGCACAAGCATCAAAATCCTAAACTCGACTCTCGAAACTGCGCGCATGCGAGAAAATCGACATCAAATGATCAAATCATCGTCGTAGGCAAGAGGCGCAAGCCGCAATTGAACCACGAGAGCAAGCGAGACGGAAGAGTTGTATGAATCACAATATACGCTGTACATATACCGATGACACTGGAGAAACCAGCGCCCATATAGTTGGTTGGCAAGAAACGATCGGCTGCATTTTAAACGTACTCAAAAAACTACATCAGAGGTCGTTCACGTGAAAAAGGAAATCAGAACTAAACAACAGTTGCTGTTAAACGATGGTGAATTAAGTTTTCCCTCCTTGAAAAAGTCCACTGATCTCAAGCCCACACCATAACCACACTTACTCATTCGTTCTCTTTTCTATGTCCGCAGGCTTCATACACGGAGGATCAATTGGCCGGTGAGTACCACGTATACGTGCAGAATTCTGAAGTAGTCGTCGCGACAAACACGGTAGAGACACGTACACACTGTGTAAAACCCCCCTTTTTTTCTTATTTCGCGATTTAGGTCAAGAGTAACGCCGCAAGTCCGCGGCCTTTTGCGCTCGTAAGTACTCTTCCCCCGGATTGGAGACTGCCTTTTATGGTGTCACATTTGAAAGTAAACGTCACCAGACTTGCCCTAGATCAATCGCGAATCTCTGCTCTTACTGGTCTTTTCGCGGCTCCGCCGACTCTTTTTGCACAAACTTTTCAATAAGAGTTCGACTTTTGTCAGTGAAAGACGTTTTACATTGCTTCAGTCACTCTTAGCAATGGTCCTTACATAGAAATCAGTTCTTCAATTAGCTATTGATCATACAGTGTGTTACATTTAGTATTTTGGAGTACATAGTTTAGTCTTTTATTCTGTTTCACTATCAGTGATTCTATTTCGAGTTAAATTGGTTTATTGATTTCCTATTTGATTGTTCTCGAACCATCAAGATGTATGTATTCACTTATCAAGAACTGGCTAATAGGATGATGTCATCCATGGATGGTAAATCAAGCTTAATAGTTGCTCAAGAACTTTTCCAGTACAATTAAAGCTTGAACTCCATATAAATTATTATTTATCATAATCTACTCTTTAAACTTCAATTTAAGTTGAAAATTAGCGTAACTTATTCTTTCATGAATGATACATAATATTAGTATAAATCTTATTAAAGTTTTTCTCAACAGAATTTCAGGAGGCATTTCAACTATTTGACAGCAGAGGAGATGGAAAAATCCATGTTGCCCAAATTGGGGATGCTCTCCGTGCCTTGGGTCAAAACCCAACTGAATCAGATGTTAAAAAGTTCACGAACCAACACAAGCCTGATGAGAGAATCAGTTTTGAAGTATTCTTGCCAATATACCAGGCCATAAGCAAAGCACGTACGTCAGACACTGCTGATGACTTTATTGAAGGATTGCGACACTTTGACAAAGATGGCAATGGTTTTATTTCATCAGCAGAACTGAGACATTTACTAACTACACTTGGTAAGTAAGCTTGATTGATATAAAATATTATCTGTCATTCTATAAATCACCTCTGTATTTTTTAAGAATAAATTTAATGAAATCCATTTTTATCAATTATTAAATGATGAATAATTCATACAGGTGAAAAACTGAGTGATGAAGAAGTCGAAACACTTCTAACTGGGCATGAAGATTCACAGGGTAACATAAATTATGAAGATTTTGTTCGTCAAGTTATGTGCGGTTGAAAAATCACTTGCAATCGAATTGATCCCTATCTCAATTTTGGTATTATTTTGGAAAATTTATGCATTTTAACTTCCATAGTTTTACAGCTAGTAAACAAGCACAGCAGTTTTTCATAAAATAATTATAATCCAATGCTTCTTCAATTAATGAACAAGTAAATTAGAATTTTATATTTTTAGAATTAGAAATTAGGTCTACTTAATCATAAAAAAACATAGATCCGCTGTGCCTTAATGTTGTTAAGTTACTTGAATTTAATTAGTGTGATATTGAGCAATCTGATTAGAACATTAAAAGTAAATTATTAAATAATTTGATGTTTTTGACAATTGATACAATCGTCTACAAAGCAAGAAAACAGAGATAAGAAAAAGATAACTTGTCGGTAATTTATTTAGGACAATTATATAATAAATTAATTGTCCAATGAAGCGCACAATCACGAACGATTTTTCTACAATCGATTTTTTGCTGAGTTGTGAGCTCATGTCAAACTAATTAAAGGATTTGACAAAACATGTTTCATTATATTTCATCCTGTAGATTTGATTTTCCTTAACATTCCGAAAATTGAAGTTTATTTACAATGAATTTGTCAAATGATTATGTGCATTTACTATACCCAACTATTGTACTTATTGCCAATAGGAATTCATTGGAAAGCATAATACAGCCCTTTTTTGCCAAAACGAACTGTGAAATTACTTGGTATATCTTTTGTAAATTGTCTTTTCTAATGTGTATACATACGAGCTTTCAAACATACTTTTCGCCTGAAATCTAGTATTAAAAAATACATTAAATTTTTACCACTTGAAAAATGGAAATTTTAAACAACCCTTTTATACTTCCTTACAATACATTTATATATTAATTAATAGGAAACTATGAATATCATGAAAAAACGTTTGCAGGGTAGAACTTCTGTGAAAATCGACAGTCACTACAGCTTAATCTTTATTTCGAATTGATTTATAAAAACTTAACTTTTTTTATGAGTTTTATAAAAACTTTCTATCTTACTTACTCATCAACGATATTCAAATATTTACTAAAACCAAAAAAAAATATATTTTTTGCTATTGAACTAATATGGATTTTTCTCTCTTTATCTATAATTGAATGTATATTTAAACATGTTCATATTGCTTTGAGAACGTTTTAAAAAATCAATTTATAAATTAGTCAATTGAGTATTTATGACGATTTTGTTTAAATGGAAACTTACTGTTAAAATAAGAATAATAATTCCACTAACTAATAATTATATAAATAACGATCTCAATATTGTTTCTTATTTCGCTAATTTTGACATTGTGTGCTGTCAAAAGGAACGAGAGTGGAACGAACAGAGTATAAAACTTTTAAAGCCAAACAAGTCAACACATATATCAGAAATCAAGCAGCATAAGTAAATAAATAAGTAAATAAATAATGAAGCAGAATAAAATCTAATAAAATAAATGCTGATATGAGCTTTTTATATATGTATGTTGCAACGAGGTTGCAAATTGTGTCAGCGAGAAAATAAAATCATGTGACTGGCATATATGTATATACGGCACGTTTTAAGTGAGGCTATACGTGATGTACGTCATTGCACTTAATTGTACGAGCGAATTGTGGAGTGCGTGGCGCGAAAGCAGTGAAAAAGAGGAGCGCGAACGTGTGCGTGTGAAGTGCAGCAAGGAGGAAGCGGTAATATACAGTTTTATGTTGCAAGCAAGACCTCGATACAATGCATAAGTTTTCTTGCAGCCTTCGAATGGAATAAATTTCATGAGTTTTATTTTTTGCTATCGCTTCAAACGCGCTTAGTCGCGATAAAAAGCAAATACTCGCAGCAATTTATCTTCAGCGCGGTATTTATAAATCAGCAATTTACGTTTTGTTTAAAATAATTATTAACTTGTTCCTTCTTGCCAACTGTACTGGTATTTTAGAATTGATTGACGACTTGTTATTAAATTTTCGTTGTAAGATAATGCCTTCTTTTTATGCTTAAATTGCTCGACTTTTGATTTGTTCTAACTTTTTATTTACTAAATTAATTTCTTACGATACGTTATAATTACGAGGGTTGCTACTTACTTCTCTGGCCTACGTAAGAGTAGTGTTGCCAGGCGCTATCTCATGTTTCCAATCCAATGTTTTTCAGAACATTTTGTTATTTGAGTGAGATTTGTGTTGACAGTAACTTGAAAAATTTATCTCGGGCAAAAATTGAAATTAACTCGTAAACATTTTCGTGCGATTATTTTTCATAACTTGCGACGTGGATTATCAAGACAAGAGTGCAGCGATGATCTTAATTTTTTTACAGCGATAAAACACTGTAAAAAACTGGTATAACGAATTGATAAAGCAAAATCGCCATGTGAAATCGTAATATAGAAACATCTTTGGACTGTAGTATATGACTAGCATCAATAAGATATTAGATTAACATTTGTCCGTAAAAACATTTGTACACGTTAGATCCCACACAATCTGACAAACGCTCGAAAGAAGGCTCGTGTCGATTTGTGGCAAGGAAATGTTAAAAAATACGGTCAAGATGTATCAATGGCTGTGTATAATATCTATACAGGTGATAAATCATGGATCTATAATTATGAGCCCGATACAAAACAGAAATCGACTGTATGGGTCTTCCAAAATGAGCCAAATCCTACAAAAGTTGTTCGCGGAAGAAGCACATCGAAGCAAATATGGTTGCTTGTTTTTTCTGCATTACCGGTTACGTGGCGACAGTAGCGTTAGAGCAACGCACATCGGTTAATTCTGAATGGTGTACGATCAGTTGTACCTAATGACATCTAATGGCACCTAATGACTTCTTTTTATTCCCCCACATTGCAAACAAATTTGGTGGCCAACATTTTTCAACTCCCGAAGAAGCCATTGATGCATTCAAAAACCATGTTTTGGAAGTACCTTAACGGAGTGGAAAAAGTGCTGCAGAAATTGGTTCAAACGCATACAAAAGTGTATTGATCTTCATCGAGAATATTTTAAAAAATAATAAAACCAATTTTTATCATAATTCTTTGTTTTTTCATTATTAGGCCAGAAATATAAGTAGCAACCTTCGTACGATTCATAATACTTTATAGATCTATAGAAGTTTAGGCTTTTTCTTTGTATTAGCTTAATGTTGAAGGAATTTAAATATTTATCATAAGTATGTGTCATGATGCTACAAATTTGAATCAGCAATGAAAAACGAATTCGTTATTACAAGTTGCCCGATTGTCGTAAACATTTCTTGTTCTATTTAGTTATCGATAAACAGATAATGGTTATCAGTGATGGCGTAACTTTTTCAAACTACTTAAATTAGCTTAGTTAGATTTATGACGGCTGCAATATACTTTTTACGCACCTGTGATATTTGTGGTGATCAGTCAAACATGTATCTTATCAACATATCTTCGAATATTTCATGTATATTCGATGGCGGAAAATACGACGTAGAATATTTTAGACAATTGAAATTTATACGATTGAAGTATATAAGCATTTAATATGGCTCAAAAAATTACACCATTTCAAGTTAATGTTTTGAAAGATGCAGTTAAGGCCCCCCATCGATATCCGTAGATGTATATAGTTGTATCTGCTAATGGAGAAATTTTATCGCAATTTCCTTCCAATCGTTCGCCTAAAATATAAATCAATGGTGCTCCAAAATATTAGAAAAACGTTCATACCTAGATTGCAACTAATCAATCGTGGAATGTTTTGAGCAGTTGTTTTTCCATAAAAAAAATCAAACGAATTTGTTTTAATAATTCTGAATAGGTGCTTGTACGAATTATATGATCGCACCGTAAAGGCAATAAATTGTGTCATAGCCATATTCAAAACACAACAGGATCGGAAAGTGGAAAGGGAAATGTACAGTTGTGTCTGTGTAGCAGAGAGACGATCGTTCACGGAGGTATGAGTATGTAGTACGTATATAGGCGTGTGCGCATGCTAATTAGACGATCACGAGAGAGAAAGACGTCACTTCCCTCTGCACAAGTATGTAGTATGTATACAAGTGCAAGCGAGACAGCGGAACTATATAGACGGGAGAGAGAAGGTTGCGCGCGCCGTGTAACTAACAGAGACTATAAGCAGACGTTCGGGCGTGCGCGAGAGACGGAAAATTTCCACTAGTACTTTTTTCGAAGAACTATATACACGCAGCACACACAAGCACGGAATCAGCGTATAGCACACTCATACAGACACGAGGCTAAAGAGAAAAGAGAGTTCGAGCTGCGTAGTGCGTATATTGCTTACTGACTGACTGTACAGTACACTGTTGTACGTTTTGCCCTCGCGCTAAGTGAACGTTCAAGCCGTCAAGATTTTACGAAAAAAGAAGCATGAGTCTTCATTCTAATCTAATATTAAGTAGTTGTGAATCTAGTAAAAAGGACGAAATCATGCCAAGTTTGATATCGAGTAACTGGTGAGTACTGCTTACTGCCTTTCTCTTTCTTTCTTACGCACTGCTCTTTAGACTTGTTTTCTGGACTGCACCATTATCTCGCCCTTCCTCGTCACGTATACACGCGGCCCACGTATCAGCATATGTATCGTCGCAAAAGTCTCTTCCTCTCTTCCTCTTACTCTCTTATGCTCGCCATCTTTATGTATTTTGCACCTTGGTAGCGTAGAGACATTTTTTTATTTTTCGCCTTATCGTGCGTTAATAAACGAATGGATGGCATCAACTAAAAATCATTTAATTGACCGACGGTCCCATGAGTAAAGTAAACTCTTTTCTTCTGATTAAACCGTACATAGGCATAAACTATTTGAATGATTTTCAGATTTTTCCGACAGCTCGCGCAATTGCGCCATACGAAAACATCGATTATTTTACACCAATCGATTTGTTTGCATAATTCTAGTGCCGTGATATTGGTCTTTTCGCATAAACACCGCATTATTTCCGCTGTCCGCATTTGTATTTATTTCTTTTTCCATTGTGATAGGATAGTTCCAAGTTTACCTTGTATTCACAATTTTTTTGCTAGAACTGTACTATGAACAGGTGTAAAAAAATTATTATTATTTAAAATTATTATTATTTCGACAAGTTTGCAAACTTTGTAATAATCATAACAATGATTAATACCATCCGGTTGCGTGTAATCGTAATGTGCTCCAGAGACAAAGAACCGTCCCATACACAGCCTCGTGATATACAGCTAAGGTTTACATAACTGATTGCACGATTTCTATAAATTAAATAAAGGTTATCAATTGATAAATGACTTTTTACTAGCTGTATTCCTTTTTTTAATCAATAAAGCAAAATATATGGAAATATTAGAATTTGTTTTTAAAATCCCTAAATCTAATTATTCATTTTCATATTATAAAAAAGACTTAAAATTGTTAGCAATAATATTTAATAATGGATAATGACACTATAAAATATTTTTAATGTTATTTAAATTATCAGTTATAAATAGCATCAGATTCTGTTCAATATTTGGTATTATATCTAGACAGCTACCAAAGTAATAATTATTGATATTTAAATTTTTATGTGACAAAATCAAGATTAAAGCTGATTTTTACGATAACATGTGCAAACTAAGCGATTAATAAATATTTTAGACTTCGTTATCATTCATGCATCACACATACCAGCATGTTAATGTTCCATTTATTAGTGTAACTAATTTTTTTTTTATTGTTAAGTTTTTAAATTCAAATAATATGAAAAGGACAGTTAGACTGAGTTATACGTATTTTAAATCGATATCAATAATTGACTTACAATATTCATTTTTCCTTTAACGTTTTAAATTATTTTGATATTTATCTAAGTAGTTATGTTATTTGGAATAGTATCAAAAACTGTTAAAATATACATTGATTATTTGATTGCATTTAAAGAAACAGCAATGAAATTTTAGTTTGTTATATAATAAATTGTGACATTCCATAAACAACTCAGAACAGTTATTATTATTGATTGTGTAATCTTGATCTCATTTATCACCTAGATAAGACTTTAGAAGCACTTTTACAGTTAAGATCACAATACATAGTGTAAGCTGCTTATAGAATTTTTCTGTATTCAAGGTTGTATTTGTAGTAAAAATTTATCAAAGATATAAAAAAATGTTTTTCAAATTTTTATTTATTTAAACTGTCCTTATTGTTCAGTGTATTTTTAAACAAATTTAATGATTTATTGAAAATCATTCAATTTTTGTAGCAATAATGCAAAGTTTAATCATTGTATATTTATGGATAAATTTATGGATGAAAGTAAGATCTTTATCTCATCAATAATTTTAATTGTTTACTTATAGACTAAAGTATTTTTTTCTGTATGATATGTTTAGTAGTTATTGAGTAAATATTTGCTACTGATTGAAAGTTTCTAACAATTTATGAGTTGTTCTTTTATAAGTAAGAAAAAATGTTTAAAAACCAGTTTAATATATTAATTTATGCTGAAATTGTGATCTCCTCCTACCAAAAAACTATTGTGTGAAACTTGATGGAAAGAATCTTCAAAGTTAAAACTAAAACAATAATATTTGTTGTTATATTTCAAGTAGCTCACAATATTTAGAAGGAGTTTGTTAGATAATTGATCAAGTCTTTCCCTTTTGGATCATTAAAAGCCAATCTTTATTATTAATTTTGTTGGCGTTTCGGTGACGTTTTTAAATCATTCTTCCTGATACTTCATTTTTTCCCAATACTCATTTCTTGCACCTTCAGAAGAATATTTTAAAAACGTTACGGAAACGTCGGTGAAATGAATAATAAAGATTGACTCAGAAAGCTTTGAAAGGAATAAACTTGATAGAATACCTAAAAAAATTTCTTTTCATTCAGCAAAAATATAAAATTTACAAAGAACTTGTCAAAAAAGCTATTAAAGATACACAGACGATCTATCCAGCGAATATCCAATTTATGTTATATCAAAACTTAATCAATTAATTTAGCATTAATGACAATCTATTTCAAAACGTTGCTATATGTGACTTATACATGACTTTATATCCTATGGGCTTATTAAAATAAGCGATGTCTTACAACTATTGCATAGTTCTGGATATTGACCGTACCTATGTCAAGGTTAGGATTTTGACCGTCTCTAACAATATCGAACGATATATCGAAAATCTCTATGAGCCCTTTGTTGTCATTAAGGGAGTGTCCACATGAGATCCCTCTTCTTCCCGTTTGTATGCGCACGTCATCTCTATAATTTTAAATTTATAAATTAAGATGCGTATCTCGCATTCATTATAAAACTTACTACTGAGCTCGAAGTAGAAATGGCGTGTGCATATAAAATCTTGGACAGGGACGGCCCCGGGGTCAGGAAAGAAGTGGGACCCCGTATGAACACTCCCTAACGTGTATACTTACCTCCTCTACCACTTTTAGAATGGTAAGAATAATATATTTCAATACTAATACGAGAAAATGATATGACTCTCTTGTAGATGTTTTTACCCGAGCGAAGCGAGGGAGAGAAAAAAAGACCACACGAGGGTGAAATCATCTTCTCGCACAAGTATATCGAAAAGAAATTTTTTACACGCATATTTTTGGAACAGCAATATTTAAATCTATGAAGCTTAATGTCATATAAAGTAAAACTATGTTTCGAATTAAGTGATACATTGTTACATTAATATTTATGTCCATTATAATAATTTATTTCAATAGATATTGCTCGTGGCTTTATTTTTAAACGAGCAATTCATAATATTTTTATTGTAAAACATTATACATTTGGATAAAATTTAGTTCTCTAAACTGTCACGAGTATTGCTGCTGTTTTACTCAAAACTATGCAGTATGCATATTTCTCTGATACCTCCATTCAGTTATTTTATTCATTATGGTAAAAACAGATGCAATGGCTTAAACGCTTGCTTCCAAGAGGCTCCCTTCAAGAAACTTGTTGCTGCCTTCGTGAGAATTCTTTATATAAAGTTACTAACTGTAAGCTTTAATATTAATTCTCTCAATAAATATGCAATATTTTTTGGTTATAATCGGTTCAATAAACACATTAACAAAAACAAATTTTGCTCTCCAGCTTTTATTTCCATTAAACAATTGGTATTGGCAGAAAATTGAAAGCTAATGTGATAAGCCTGTCTAATTTGTACAATGGCGTGACTTATAAATCGTGAGTCGAATTATCAAATGACGCGGTAGCGGAACGCATGCGAGTAGGCACGAAGCTGTGGTTTAATTATTTTTTTTCACATTTGAAACATAAATTGCCATAAGTTGAATAAAAATAAGCTTTTTATCATCTATATTAGAATACCATTTATCACTCCAAAAAAGTTTCAGTTCGAACGATGCAGTTTTTAGAAAGTTATTCGAGAAAGAAAATTTCGATACACGTCATTTTTATTTTTCTTAGAATTATAAAATATTTTTTCCTGCATATATTATAAACGTTGCGAGTAGCATATATGTAATACATTAGTCAATGCCATCAATCATGATGGTTGAACTTACTGGCCGGTAATGTCGGTATCCATATAATCTACAGATACTAGTCTAAGTCACAGACTGAATCAGCTGTTCGATCGTGCATATAATAAAGAATTCTATCGATTTACCTTATAAAACTATTAGAGACAAGTATCGAGAGTGGACTACGACATGAAATATAAGTAAAAATGAATGAATAAAAATACTCGTATCTAAATTTTCATAATCCTAGTGCATTTAGTGAAATCCCTCCATAAACTTTTCAAGAAAAATCAAACTTGCATGTGAAAATAGGTCGCCGCTAATACCTAGAACCTATAGACTGTTTCGAAATCAATTTCGCTACTGCAAGCAATTAAGAATTTTCATTTGACATGCTTATTACGACTGCGAAGGGGTAATTTCAAACTTGATAAGTTGATCTAATACGAAAAGAAAGATGCGAAACAGCTTTGCAGCCGTAATAAAAATGATAAATAAAAATTTCTAATCGCTTGTAGTTACGAAATTGATTTCAACCAGACTATGTTCTAGGATTAACAGCTTATTCGCGTGTGATATATTATACGTCAGCGATATGGACATATATAATACGCATTAATGCTATAGCCTACGGTAAGGTGGGTAATATCAAGCTGATAATCCAAATCAAATAATTTAATTAATTCAATTTTCAATTAGTTCAATACTATGAACTTTTTAAAAACGCAATTTATCTTAGAAGCAATTACATATTCACTATATATTCAAAGAGAATATGTCTGGCTAATTTATATGATTACTCACAAGTATAGAAAACCATTGCTTTTAGATGGTAATTCACTTTTCAATTAGCTCAAAATTAACTTTTTTAAAAAGTAATTTATTTTTACGCAATTACATGTTTTATTTTATTTGGTCATATTTAGTTTTGACTCTGTCAATACTATTTGTTCAATTGAAATATGAGTTGCGGAGCAAAATATTGTGTTGTAGAGTATGTAAAATGCATCGAGTTTAATTGAAAGATATTGCATACTTATTGAGAAAATTAATAAAAAAGTTTCAATTTGTTAATAGCGTTTTGTAAACGATTCCTATGAAGGAAGTAATAAGTTTTTTGGGGGAACATTTTGGAAGCAATTGTTTAAACCGTCTAACGTTTTTCTATCATAAGTAATATAAAATGTAAATGTAAATATCAGGGAAGTAAATAGTGCAAAAAAAACTAATTAACATACTAAGTAACAAATCAGTCCCCTTGTATATCAAGGATTATTTTTTGTTGGAAGCAGTGATAGAAAATTTTAGGAAATTAAGTAATGATTTTTTTGATTGGAAAAATAGAATAAAATTTAAAACTACGATGCCAGGTACACACGAAACAACTATGCGTAGTCTTTCATGTATTGCAATTAAAATTTTTGGACAATTTGATAATAAACTGAAATATGTAGAAAGTTATAGAAATTTCAGAAATAACATTAAAGAATGGATTTAAGCAAACTGAAAGTAATTATTAGACTTATCCTAAGATTAGCCGATAAAATAAAGAGTACGACTAATTTGCGTAGAATTTATCTCAACAAACTTGTGCATCTTGTAACATTACAATATGTACCTGTGTTTATTAAATAACTAGAAAATACGAAAAATACACGTCATCAAACTTTGCTTCAGTAAATTTTCAACCAAACACGCATTTATTGTTGAGAAGAGAGCCAGCATTTCTCAATGATGGAAATGCATTTGTCTACATTGGCAAACTGCCATTTTAGATTACGACCAAAGTATCTGACAATATCCCCTCCCAAACATGAGTTCTTTAAGTCTTTATAAATTGTGTTCATGCCTTGATTCAACAGTCAACCAGAAAAGTTCTTTATGAGAAAACCATTTTCTGTAAAATTACAATTTATACTACATTGTTTTACCTTAGTGAACTTGTGAATTAGGAATTCTTTTGGATTCAAGTGAATAATGGCCCCTTTTTTGCGGTATTTTTTTTCAAATATGCGAATAAACATATTTATAAATAGTTTAGTAATAAATATAAATTTCTAATAATACATTTGTTATTTAAAAAAATGATAATGATGTATGGGTTGTGTTGTATTAACAGAGACCTAAGTCCAGTTCTTGAAATTTTGAGTTAAACGTATATTTATAAACAATAAGTGATGCTATATCATCATTTGATATAATCAAATAGAATTTTTTTTTGGCACTGCGATCGTTTTTCTCAAATGATTCATGTAATATGTATATAGGTATAATTCGAATGAATAATAAGTTAAAATAATTTTTAATTGTTCCAAATTATAATATAACTTATGTACTAAAGCTAATATTTTCGAATGTATAACAGTTCATAATTTGAAGTTACCGCATTTACGTAAGAATCTTTGTTAACTCACGTACTCGGTGAACTATACATAACAAGACTTTTCAACTTGATCAGTTTAACAGGATTCTTTGTTGTTACTTAATAGGCTGTGATGCTTGTTTGAAGAGTTCAGTTGCTTAAAGTTACTTGGCGAATAACATCGTAGTGTCCGTAGCTCAACTACTTTAAAGCAATATTACATTAAATTATCGATAATTATTCATTCTGGTATATGCTTGATAAGTTTAATATTTGCAACATTATAATCTCTTCTTTTGCGATAGTCAGTGGCATCAGTTAACAGATAACAAATACACGGTCGATCTTGGCGATATTCTCAATCCATTATCAATCAAGAGAAGCTAATTGATTGGAACTGGTATTATTGCACAAGATACGAATCTAGATATGAATATCAATAAATATTTATGAACATTTTGATAAGGATAAAAAATACTTGAAATGTTTCTTGTACAGTACTATGAGAATGAAAAAATCGGTTAATAATCGTCGTTGTTGTTGTTTGATGTTGCAGTGAAATGAGCAGCAAGTGTGTTGACGAATGTTTGGAAGAAGGCGCTAGAGCCCTCCAGCACTACTGTATAACGCTGGGTGTGGGGCCTCTGTGGTGGTCCTGATGTGCCCCATGCCGCATTGTCTGTTTCTACAGTCAACACAGAGAGCCGCGGCGTGGGGATCAAGCAGAGTCAGCTCTCTGTGAGCTCCCACATTGTGTCAGTGAGTATCAGTCATCAGTACAAGCTCTGATAACAAGCTTTCTGTGCGCTCTCGCTTAGTAATCCAACGTGACGAATGTAGAAAGGCTTGCTGTTTTATTTCCTCGGCGATTCGAGGTGAAATCTCGCGTCATCATGATGATTTGGGCTTTTATGGGTGACTTTCAATTGCGCCTGCAGTAGCATTTGTCGTTTTCACTTTTCTAAAACGTTCTTTCAATTTCCTTCGCATATTTTGAAACCTATTCGATACTGTTAAATTATAAAATTGATTACTTTTGACAGTTGTGGTATGAAGTGAGTCTGCTAATTTCTCGAGTATAGTGAGTTTTACTTTCGACGAAGTACATAGGCATATTCGCTAATTCTATTGAAAATAAACTATATTTAGAAAATGTTGTGCGCAGCAGAAATGCGCCAATGCAGCACTGCGATGAACTAAATACGTTTAGTAACGTGATGTGACAACTTGCACACATTCCGGTCAGGTATCAAATAATTATCCTGATCAGCGTTACTTTAGCTTTGTTGTGATACACGCAAAATAAGAATGTTTGCTCAATTGATGTGATTAATGAGATTGAGGAATTGTTACAAACGAGAGTTATTAACGACCTGACATCGAATATTTTTCGCAGGAGGATGAATTATTGAAAGCATTGAAAACCAACGAGTCACTACGCTTGACCTTCAATCTCCAGCTAACCGAGAGCACGTCGGTGGAATGGGAAACGGTTGTATGGCGCGGCACCTTATACATCCGCGTACCCAGCTGTTTGTTGCCTGAGGGCTCGAAGGAGGGCTTCGTCTCCTTGCTCGAGTACGCCGAGGAGACGTTGCACTGCACCAACATCGTGGTCTGCCTGCGCAAAGAACGTAGCGATCGAGGTAGGGCTTACAGTTTTGCGATCCCATTGTTCGACGACGATCAAGTCTATTATGAGGAGACTAATTTCGTTGACAGTCCAGACTCTAACTGTTCCTCTTACAATTTAGCCATGCTGGTGCGCACTTTCATGTTCTTGGGCTTTTCCGTATTGCCACCCGACCATCCGCTCGTACCACCCGGCAGCGACGCGGGCAATCTCTACATGCTCTATGCCATTGAGTAATCGCTCAGACAGGCTCTCGGCCCTCTTTAATTTAACGCACATAGGTACATTATTTTACCATTTTACATGTCTTTTTATTTTTCATCGTCTCTTACTTTATTTACTCCTTTTTCACAAGCATTTTTTCTTGTTTAAACTTTTTGTCTAAAAGTTTTTTTCACAATTTATGATTAGTTTAAACAACGAACAATGCTGAATTGCCTATTTAAATGCACATTTTACATTAAATTTTCAAAAAGTTTATAATTCACTCCCAAAGTGGTCTCGAATATTGCTTATTCATTATTTATGATTTTTCATGTCATCTTTTTGTTTTATTTTACAGGTTTTATTCACGCTCCTCCAAAATATCTGACAAACACGCTTATCTTTGTCGTGAATTTACTGTTACATTGAAGATAAAAAGGAACAAATCACCAAACATTACACCGAGTAGGTAAACTGCTGCAGTCTCTCATTAAAATGACGATACTGTTAAGCAATAAATCACTTTTTTTCGAGCTTGCCTTTCAGTAACACAAATTTTAACACGTTCTGCAAACGTTTTCTTATTTTGATTTTGAGTTTTTTCCGCGGTCAAAGTTTATTGAAAATAATAAAACTCTAAGCGTTAAATTAAAGAGTAAAGTTTTAAAGCAGGTAGTCGCTTAAAAATGTAGATCGTGTAAAATCAGCTTCTCAGAAGATCGATTCATTCTCTTGAACACAATGTTAAGATTTATCTGATAAGATATAAAGTGCTCACAAAAGCTTATCCCACGTATTTCAAAGAGGTTCAGTAATTTCTGTTTCGTCAACAACATCAGGCGAATTGAAATCCTGAATTACTAAGAAAATTTATTATCGACAAGTCTCTATGTTAATTGTGTGGCAGATTGGGCATGGCCGGTGATAGGATATTGTTAGATACAAATTTCATTTTTGTTTAATATGCGTAAATATTATAATAATTAACATTATATTGAAGGATTTACATTGAAAAAAGACCGTTGGAACAGCCACTACAATACTGTAAAAGTAATGTTAGTTTTTAGCGAATTTACGTTATATATAATCTCTTGTAAGGATTTGAAGGAAAGTGCGAGCTTTATGACTTTACAATTTATTACCAAGTGTGCAATCTATGATTCTTTGGACCTGCTAAAGTGGCTGTGCTGTACTTAAAACTGGTTACTGACGTCACTTTAACCATTTCTATCACCGACTTGTTTTTTTATAACGTTTACGGTACCTCGTTTTCATACCACATGTTTATTATTCAGTTGTCATTTCAAATGGACTTTAGACACATATTCGTTTTCAGTAATCAGTTGAAAAAGTGTACCAAGTATTATGTATTTTTTTAAGATATACAAAAGGCAGCACTTGAACAACTTCAACAACTTACAATGATTGTAACAAAAAGTTTGTTCTAGCAAACTTTATTTCCAATGTTGTAAAAAAACAGTTACGTTATGATCAAGTTTCGTTCACTACTTTAATTTCGCTATTATATTGCTGTCAATATTATATTGTAACACTTACATATAATGATTATATACTTATTTTATTATACTTTTGTTATTGCTGCAATGGCTTGCGTATTAAGTATTTAGGGTTAGGTTTTTTTGCTAAGTTTATTAATAACAAATGAATTGGAACATCTAATTGGTAGTACCCGATCAATTAACATGAGAGAATTTTTGCTAATAAATGCGCTCTTTAGTATTGACAAGATAAACAGACACCAAAAAATTAAAAAATAACAAAAAAATACGTAAAATGAAGAAAATGAAAAAAAAAATATAAAATGTTAGTAGTTGGTTAGGTGTATAAGCGATTCACAGGAGAATTGGTATATTTATTGTTCTGTAACACTGGTTTCGAGTACATGGAAAGTGGCAGAAAAATAGATTAAAAAACATCTGCTAGTTAAAGTCTCGTTCAAATATATCATTAAGTCACACAATTGAACATGAGAAAGAATAACAAGATATGGATAAGTAGAGGCACTGGCCACGACGAAGGGACAATGGATTGTTCTGTGTGTTAATTTTATAAATATTATATCAATGCTGATTACACTTGTCGATTTAATTATATTAACATATTTTTTATTAATATTTCACACTTTATAATTTTTGAAACAATTATGATTCAAGAATGGAAATACCACTACATGCAGCGTGAAAATCAGATAATTATTGTAATACCTGCGATAAGTTTCATTAATTTTAATTGTGTATTGTAAGTTCAATAAATTGTACGTTACTAGATTAAATAAAAAGGATTGTTTGTTAATTTTCTTATCCTACAAAAAAATGCATGTTACTTTGGACTAAATAATTTATTATAATAAAGTTAATTACATAGAATTGTTGATATGAAAAATTACAAACTTTGAAATCAGTACGATTATCAAATACAAATATAAGTGTAAATACATGTTTGATTTCAAAGGCATATAACATACATTTTAACATTCAACATCATGACAGAATTTTTATTATCGTACTCATTAATAAACAGCATGTTAGAATGATCTTAACATTTACATAAAAATTTTTAAATATTTAAGGAAATATTTATCTATTGATTAAACAAATATTTATTTACTGGTAGTTGCAAACTTCAACTACAAAATAATCGTAATGAAAGTATTAAACAAATTCAATTAAGTTGAATAGATGAAAACTTGTAATAAAAAAAACTAAAAATATTAAAAATGAGTACTTGAACATCATTATAAAATAATCCACTGAGAAATTTATTTTTTATATTTTTATTAAAAAATAAAATGGAAGAACGGACATTGATCTATAAAGTATGTGTGTTATAAATATACCTTTTTTAGTTTAACTAAATAAGGTGCGCAGTTAAAAAGAAATTAAAACGACAATAATTAAACTTGACTTGAATAAAACTAAGTATGAATAGATAAACAATTTATAATATAAATGAAAATTTCTATTGGTATAATGCTGAACACGTTAAACCATCTTCGCATATTTACAGAAAAATCAATTTTATTCACTTTGAAGATGCATGTCTATTAAAATGACAATGGTGCTAATCATGGCACTGAATTTCGACAATTTACTTTTTCTTTCGATGACCGTGATTGCCTCGTTTGTGCTTATGGTGTTTTTGACTACCACCACTTTGCGACGACGTTGAGGTTTTTTTTTCCTTAGTTAATCCGTTAACCACCGTTTCATCACTTTGAATGCCCGCTTCATTCCTGTCTGCAAAAGAACAAAATATGTAAAATACGAAGATACTTTTTCTTTATTCATAAGTTAATGTTTCAAGGCTATAAAATCAGTGAATCATACAAATATTGAAAAACGTCAAATAATAAGAAATTTTATATATTATGAATTAATGGAACACATCATTTATTGTTACTCATTTAATAAAATTTATATCATTTAAAAATCATTTGATATGAAAAAAGAAAAACTTTCGATGTATGTATATAATAAATAAATTACACACACACACACACACACACACACACATACGCACGAACGCGCGCACATATATTTATTTATAATTATTTACCGTGATTTTTCTTTTCTTTTTTATTTACTTCTCCATTGCTTAACTCTTCTGGTTTTTTCTCAATGTCTATTTGATCATCCTCTGAAAACGTATCAAAGCAGGTCTTTTCTAATATTCTTTTAGTTATTTAGACAGGCCTTTGAATCCATTTGTGTGTGTGTGTGTGTGTGTGTGTGTGTGTGTGTGTGTGTGTGTGTGTGTGTGTGTGTGTGTGTGTGTGTGTGTGTGTGTGTGTGTGTGTGTGTGTGTGTGTGTCAATGTTATTTTATTACATATTAATGATAGAAAAATGAAACGGGACATACATATCATATTAAAAATAATATTTCACGTATCGTCATATTAATGATAATTTTACTTATTCGCTGTTGAATATTGAGTTTTTTTATATGATATTTAATATTCGAATGAGCAAAAATTGTTAATATCAACTGTTATTACAATCAAAAACAATAATTGAAAAAAAAACGAAATTATTCATGTATATTAATCTTTATCTTTAGGTAATTATGTCATTTGTATAAATAATATTAAATTAATTACGAACCAAGCGGTGCCATCCCTAAATAAAGCTTGACTTATCAGACTATATCGTCAAAAAACTCACTGTTATCGGGAGAATAATCTGGAGAAATACTCTTCCAGCTGATCGGTGAATAATAGGTAGCATCGGTATCGCCACCTACCCCATTCCCAGAAACGTACGTCTCTCCGGACCCATTTCCCCACCCTGAGATGGCCAACTGCTGAGGCCTTTCCATCACTTGCAGATTTTTATCAGTTTCAGCCTCGTTGCTGGATTTCTGCAAGGGACAGAGGAAATAAATTGTGCTTATAACTGTTATAACGATCCAAATAATATTTGTGGCATCAATGAGTAATTTGCAAGTATGGCTGGAAAATTTATTCATGAACGAATGTTGCTTTTATTTAAGTGTGAATGCAAACAATTAATTAACCATACGAATCAATTGGCATCTGTAATCCTTATATTTTTACCAACAATAGAAAAAAATTCATTTTTTTCCTTATAGCATCAACAAACTAATTAAGTAATATAACGCAATTTACAATTTTTAACTGACATGTTGAAACATAATGCAGCTATATTATAACTTCTATATATGTACATACAGTAATAGTTGCGAATATTTGTCACCAAAACATACTAAATGTAATGATATTTTTTATATCAGGAATCCATGAGTAATAAAAAAGCAAACGTTATGAAAATATCTCAAATTTATTCAAATCGTTTATAAAAAAATTTAGTTTTATACTTTCATAATTCAACAATTTCGGAAAAATTGCCTTGTTTCGCTCCATTTTATACGATAAAACAATATTACGCTCGAAATACGAGCAAGGTTCAGAAACATCTTTATATTTATGCGCATATGGTGATTGAAATATCGCTTAATGAAATTAAAAGTGCTATTAAATAAACAGTAAGTACGAATGTATAAAAAATTAAGTTCTATGTTCCTTAATCTTAAGTAACTGAATGTACTTTCAAAAATGACTTTGTAATACTAAAGCGGTTAGTTATCAATCTTTATAATAGAGGACATTACTTTCTTTTCGCTGTCTTCTTGCGCTTTTTCTTTTGCAGGATTTTCACGTTGAGTTGATTCGTCATCCGAACCGTTTATATTTAATTCTTCAACTTCGCTTATTGTAATGCTCACGTCTGGGTCCGAGTCAGTGGAAATACTTACATCAGAATTGCTTACATTAGGCTGAAAAGTAAAATATAATTATTAACATTTGTGCAAAAATATTCGCAGCGCATATTTATTTTGTATTGAGATTGAAATTTCATTATTTTACTCAATGCAAGAACGCAATTCAGTTTTCATATTCTTTTCAATATCATAAATATAAAAGTTATAATGCAATTATCACTGAATTATAGAAATGAGATAGACTTAATAATATCTGGAAGCACACGCAGGCTATCTGACTGGAGAGGGTCAAGTCTCAAGGTCTTTCTCGTGATGCATGCACATATGAAATACCGCAATATATTTATACGTCAACAAGTGTACAACAAAATGTTGCGTTGATAAAAGTTACTAATACTGCATCATAACGTCGACACTAAAAAAGTATACTTGAATTGAATTGTCAATTCATTTAAAGTGATAAGTAAAAACAAAGTAATATACAACATGAATGTAACACATGTGATTCACGTGTGAAAGATATGTATATATACATTAGCTCATAATTAATCGCAACTTTCCCAAAATAAAATAACGAGCTATCGGATGAGTTGATACTCACATTGTAACTTTCATCACTGCCAGATTCATTAGCCAATCTTTCAATTCTAGCAATTAGAGTCTCCTCGTCATCGAAATCGTCTTCTGAGCTGTCATCTGAAAGTTCGGAATACTTGCGTTTAACGTCTCCTTTTGGGCTGTTAAGTTTATTTTCATTTTGCATGTTTCCTTCCGGCATTGGTGTTGACTGGAAGAAAGGTTCGTGAGATTCATCAGTTTACATCGATTGCTATTATACACAATAATTTTTATATACAAACAATCTACACATTTAATAGCTCGTGCATAGTAGGAAATGTTAGAAGAAAATTGAAATGTTAAAAAAAAACAAGCAAGTGAAAAAACTCACCATGTCAAGATAGTTAGAAACGCGAATTTTAGTCGGAGGCGGTGACGGAGACGATTTAGATCCAGCATCCAAACAAGACAGTGTAGAAAGAGTCAATCTTATAGATTTGGCCAAGCTCTTACTTGCTTCTTTCATGCTCATTGGCCTATCCTACACCCACCACCACCGGGCACGTTTTTATCGAGCTTTTAAGAATTTTTGTCTACTTCATTCAAGAACTTTTTTCTTCCTCGTTAGGACTCTTTCAAACTTTACATAGTGGAATAAAGGTGACATGCACAGTAATCGACTTTTTGCTGGCATTATAATATTTATAAATTTATTTTACGAATGCATATAAAAAAATTATATTGAAAGTTTTCACTTCAGTATTTAAGAAAATAAATAATTAAAGTTATGTTTTATAACTATTTGGAATATGCTGACTTACGAATATACTTATATCGAAAAACTAAATCGATTAATTGACTGATTAATTAAAATAAATAAAAGTAATGATACAGAAAAACTAATCCTTTTTAACCGGAATATAAATAACTATTACTAAATGATAGTACAATATGATGTATATTGTCAACACAATAAAATATTGTTTCAATGATATAATCAATCGAATAAACGGGTCGCGTTTGGTAATCTTAAAGTAATTTTAGATACCCTGTTAGATTGAATGTTTTTTTGCCAACAACTAGTCGATGTTAAGAAAGTAACAATTAATCTACAATAGAAAAAAGTTCTCGAGCTTTACCTGGGCAACCGAAGATTGATTTTGTCTTATACTCTTCAATGCACTGGTTTTGATTGTCCTCAGACGTCTGCGGCCCCTTTGAACAACACGAATCTAGAACCGATCGTAAATTAACACTTTAGAGAAAAATTCAATAATTTTTGAAACTGTGCTTAAAGCGACATGAGTGCCATCAGCAAATATAAAAAATTTAAGTTAAAATGTCAATTGACGTGAATAAAAATTACCATGTCAGATGGTTCGACTGTAGGGTAGCCAAGGATGACTACCACCGCATTTATGCTAGCACGAAACACACGCAGCATAAGAATCGTTGGTAAAAAGACAATCCATGGAAGTGGCCGAACTAGCTCGGGTTTTCCGAACGACTTGCCGTTCTCCTCTGTGAACAAGCCGACTATTCAGTGAAGTTCAGTAAATCGTTACAAGCAAATACTTCACTGTAGTTTAATTATTGAACGTTTAAATTGCATTGATGTAAAGAAGGAAAAAACATGAAATATACGAGAATTACAGTAGTATCGAGTAACAATCGGAGAGTAGAATGAAAACGTTGCGGAACATAACTTACCGGTGACGTTTTCCGGAGCAGGTAAGCTCCATTGCATCGATTTCTCAATCACCCACATGATTTTGTCGACCATCCTGAGAATTGCCTGTCCCACGGACATTTGCGCGGCCGATTCAATACCGGTCAACACCAATTTGCTCACACTATCCATGTCCTTCATTTGGCCAACCGTTACCTGCTAAAACAAACATGCCAACGTAAGTTCAAGTTGATCAATATTAAGCTATTCTAACGAAATTACTCGATGGAAGTTGAATAATAGATGCGAGATAAGTAATAACAGCGCGAATATCAACGGGTTCACACGTATCGCAAGAAGACGGCTATGATGATATAGCTCAACTTTATGTATCTAAAAAAGAGTGTAAAGTGATGAATCGTGTCAATTAGCAAATCAATTTATTCAATCTACGCGCGCAAATCGTGTCCTACTATCTGTCACTGACGGATAACTGTATAAATTCTGACGATCTAAGCCTAAAGAAATCGGCAGTTCTGTTGACAGTGCGCCTCACAAAATTGCTACTATTCATTTGTAGCACGCTGCCAGCAACGTAAACAAAAACACATGGTATACAAGCAACAAATATGGCATAAACGACACACGTGCTCGAACTCGAAAGATCAATTTTTATGTTACGACGAGAAGAAAAAACGGATGGGGAACGAGTCGGTTTATGAAAACAAATGGGTGATTATTATAGGCTTCGAAGAAAAATCATACCAGAATGAGAAGAAAGGCGGTACGACTAGGTCAAAGGTCGCTTTGACAGCATATAAGCGAAGTAGAGTAGAGAGAGAAAACGAAGGATGCAGGCATGTAAGTAATTCTCGTGTCGCTTGAAAAGTAACAATAACAGTAAGGAAAGGGGCTGGCGATAAATCGGTATCGAGAAGGCATGACCTCGGCCTATCAATACCAACGGCGGCGCAGTCCCATATAGCGCTACTCGCTGCACGTACGAGTATCTTTAGATCCAAAGTTCAGACCACGCGACTAAATTGCAAATGTCGTCGATCCGCACACTGCAATGCTCCAGATCTCTAATAATTCGATTGTCGCTCGAAAAATAATTGCAGCAAACAGGCTTATTCGCGGCATTTGTTGAGCTTGTACAGCAATTCCCATCGATTCTGACAATCTTAAGTTTGACGAATGACTAACCTTCGGAGACACTAGTCAATATATTACACGTATAAAACGAGTACTTTATTCGCTCGTGTGTTTTTCAAGTTTGCTTAAATTCTTCTTTGGTCGCGTAATGTTGCAGCTTTTTCCGAAACAAACTTACAAACATTACTCAAACCATTTTAGAACGAATACGGGACTGAAAGAATCCCGGGGTCCGTAAATACTATGCATAAGTTGAAACTCGATTAATGATATTTATATATCCAAAAACATGTAAGCTCTACAAGCTTCACAAGTGAAGAAAAAAATCAGTAGTTGTGATACAATTTTTAAAAAAACACTCCATTCGACTGTATATACTTTTCTGCTCTTCTCTGTATAAATTAAGATAACGACTGTGTTCTGTCTCAGATTTAAGGTAATGGCGAAAGGAAAATAACGACGATAGCGAGAAATGGTAAACATCGCGGGGCACTGATAGCGAACGGATCGAGAAAGAGAGAAAGACCTCATCATTAAATATGTACATATTTGCTTGATATAGTTTGATTTGAAAATTTTGGCGAATGAATAAACCGATAATTGTAACGACTGAACATGGAAAAAAAGAATAAGAAGGGAAGAAAAGTGCTAAATATGTGTTAGTCACTTTAAGAACAAAAGTCAATCGCGCAATATCGTTCACAGATTAAGACAATTATAATTCTTCACCACGAAACATCGAAAAAAACGCTTCGCGCAATGAAATCATTCAAATACATTTTGCAATGACAGTGTTACCGTCATTGGGTCCGAAAATGTTTAACAAGATTAAGCCTATATTTCCCCATTTCAAATTTATTTCTGCAGTCTAAATCGTAATAAAAAATTGGTTGAAATTTAAATAACTTTATTAATTAAATTTTAACTATAAATACAAACTTATAATAGGATTGATATGTTCGAGTATCGCAGAAAAATTTTAATTATATTTATAATTCGACATTTGTTTACATTGGGCGTAACGAAGGACAGTAAAAAATTCTTCTAATATGAGACATGTACAAAGTATTGCTATTGCGATAACATCGAATTTACCGATGATTAAAACTTATAGAGATGAAATCTCAAAGATAAAGACTAATCAGTTTCGGATGATAACATGCACACAAAACTAATGGCAATGAACGAATGTGTTATATTGTTTAAAAATATCTAGAGTTATTTTTTTAGGCCCGAATGCGCAAAATATTAATCTTTCGGTCTAATCTAAAATGTCATCGAAATCTTACTATTCACCGACGTAAAAAGTCAGTGTCGATCTTGTGTATTACTGAGTTATATAAGGAAATTAAACGTGTGTACTTATCTATAATGAAAATCAAGCGAATTGCGATCGTCCAACATTTCAATATACATTTGAACGTTTTACAGCTTATCGCAGTATATTTGATCGAGTATTGGAGATGCTACTCATAATACTCAATGCATTGCACGTATCACTCTCTTAATTATCTACTCTTTCATATTATTTGTGCACACGATACATTATAAACTCATTATGAGAATAAAAAGCACAATAACACAAGCTTGCAGTAAGATAGTTTGGCTTATCGATGGATCCAAAATGAACGAACAGGAAGTTCATTTAAACTAATATTATAATTTGAAATTACGATATCAATAGGCTCATTAATTTTTACACTCAAGGTTCGATTCCATAAAATTTGAATATTGCGCAAATTCTTTTTATAAATCAAATTTTTATTCAATTAGTCAGTATGTATGTGCGTGTGCGTGTGTCTGTTTAAGTAAAACATCAGTAAGTATATGCTTCTCTTTGTACTCGCGATAAGATGAATGCGGTATTATGCAACTTCATCAGTCACTTTACAAAAACTATCCCGATCGCCGAAAGGTCAAAGTGCGCTCAATTTTTTCGTGTCTGCTTCAATAACTTTTATGACGATCAACGATACGGAAGATTAGAGGTGACCCGCGAACGAGGCGGACAATCTACACCAAAATACGAAAAATCGCACAAAAAATGTAAGTAGATTTACAAAAACTTTGCTAAAATATAAGTCTAAAATCGAATACCTATAGCGTTATTATTCAGCGCGTAAGGAACAATTTAATCAAAAAATTATTCGCGACGTGAATGAGCTTTCTCGGACAAAAGTTCAATTATTTGTAATAGCATATGTATCGACGAATCATCAGAAATATTAAGTAACTTATTTTTAAAGAAGGAATTATATTCGATGGTGGCAGCACTTGACACCGACCGAACTTCATGGGGTTTAGCGATAAGATAGCGACGAATATAGCTCGAGGAGGCTCATAGTCAAAACATCCTGGCGGCATCAAGGCAACAGGTCTGTATGGACTTGCTCGGGAGTCAGTTGCTGTATAGCGAGACGACACACAGTTGGAATCTTGTTAGCTGTATCAAGCTATCTCATTTAATAAATGATTATTATCTTAGAGCTTATATTAAGACATATTGCTTCTTACATATAGTTATCTCAATTATCAAAAAAAAAAACATAACTCTCTATTTTCACAGTGATTTATAAAAATTGTTTCATACGTGAAATAGGATCTTTCACTCAGATTCAGATAAGAAATCACTTGAACTTTTCGTTTGAAGGCCAAAAGCACAGGTACGTAAACATAGCATGCTAAGGCTGGAACCGTTAGCAACAGGAACAGGAGGGTAACGCACGGAACTGTTTTGATATAACTGTTCAAACATATAACTCAAAAGTATATAGACAATCTATTCTCAGTTCACAAAATCTACAATTGAAAGTAAAAACGCAAATATTTCATAATGAAAACTGCTCGCAAAAAGTGAGAAAAGCAACGGTCTCTATTCCCGCGTTTTCTCGCGAAAATAAAATACTACGCACCTTTGAACTTTGCTGTAAAAAATTCTGCTATGAGCTCCGTTTGATACACCTTGCCGTTGAATGTCGCTCAAAGTTCCTGAATTAATATAGACGTCCTCAATTGCGCATTCGTGATGATGAGGAGCATAGTAGAATTATCAAAAAATGAGCACACTTCGATTGCCGAAATCAAGAGAATTGTGATACACAATGCTCGCCGGCGAGAGCGCTACTGAGTACTGTACTGACTGGTGCCAGTGGTGTGCGCAGTTTCTGCGCTCGACTTGGCTAAACTGTGCGCAGCGACGCCGAGTGCCGTTTTCGCGCCTAAAATTCTCTACGCCAATCATTTTATTCGCGCAGCGACGCTACGTTCTCTAAATTTAGTTTTCCAATTTATACGTTACTTGTACATTAACATAATATATTGACATACTGATATTTTATTGAATTGGTATATAGATGATAATAAATTTATATTCACTTGATAGTTGTGTATTATTTCATTTGTTATGATTTGCGAATTATGTACTAAAAGAGCACGAGATTGCCATTTTACAACCTCCTATACGTAAGATACGTACGCGAACAAAATGCATGTGAGTAGTTCTGAAGATTCTGTCTGCACAGTGCCATCAAATTATGGGTAATGCAGTTGGTTATTTTTTGTTTCTGATGAAAAATGTACGGTGATCATTTTTCTTCTTCAATATCTATTGAAAAAAATTATAAAACTGTCGACCGCAGTTTTTCATGAAACACATAAAAGTATTGAATCGGCTTTACGAATTGAATTAAAAAACATAAGTAGTAAAGTAAATATAAGCACTTATATTTGATGAAGCGATTTATGAAAAATTTATAAGAAACAATCACTACTAATAAAAACAAAGATTAAACACAATTCTTTTAAAATTTACTTTAATGCAGTAGGTGCTTATATATATATATATATATATATATATATATATATATATATAAACTCTCAAAAATATATATTAATTAATATTCCAATTAGAATCATCAAAATCGATAACATCTTCAATAAAATAATCACAGCTATGTGGTTGGTCACTCGGTACATGATAACAAAGTTCCGTGTGCTTAGTCAATATCCCCCGAGTCAAAAAAGACATGTAGCAAATAAAAATAAATTTATCTATATTCGCATAACGTTTCGGCCACTATGTTATTCTCTTCAGGTGTTTCTTTATTCGTAGAAATGAAAAATATTCTGTATAAAACTAACTTATGGTAATTGTCGTCCGTAGTAATATAGTTAATTTGTATTACATAAGTACCTTGTATTTATATTAGCAAATAAGCGTTGTCATTTTGGAAAGAATCAGGTCAAGTTGATCCGTGAATACAATAAAATAATTACTAATTAGTAACCAAAATCAACTTTCTCAGATAGAATTTTGAATTATAGTTCAAAACCACCCATATTACCAGAAAGTATCCATGATTTATAATTTAGTTGTCAGTGATGTTAAATTATCGAATACAAAATTCCATAGTAGAAATTTATTGTTGGTAAAATATATTCGTATAAACAATAATTATTCTATTGATGTTATCAATGACAAATTTGTTAAAAAAACTGATGAAAATTAAAAATCTATCAACAATTGTAGCAACAACAGACAGCGTATAACACATAAAATAATTATTCTATATATTAAACTTGTACGTTGCGCGTGTATGTCATAACAAAACAGACACGTTAAATAATATAACCACTACAGTTATATGCGTACGGTAGAAATAGTTTATAAGACTTCGAAAAAATGTAATAGCCGCTCGGGTTTCGACGCCGGTCAACAACAGGCGGTCACCATGTGTCCGATAGACAGCTGCCAACATTTATGACAAGTCCGTGACGGCTGCTGAGTTGCACTATCTTTACGACGGCATTGGATGGTATGCAGGAAAATTCTAGCCACCTGAAAAAAGGGCTGACGAGACAGGGTCAGTCGCAGCCTGCGGATGCAGTTAGTTCAGAGATTCTCTGGTTAGTTATTCACTGTACGTTGAACGAGCAACATCGCTCTTAATACAAAACCATTCTTTTTCAATCCATCTACAACATTTATTGGAACAACCACATCATTATTTTCATTAATATATAAATCTTGTCTATTACGGATTAGTTTTCATGTAGACGTACTACTGGACGTATCGTACAAAACCAGCATATTCTCGTACCTCACGTAGTCTTAAACTCTTACATATTAACACAATTCCAAAGATCACCAAAAACTTATCAAATGTCGTCAAATGTGGAAAAGATCAAACTGAAAATACTAATAAACATAATGTAGTGCACTGTCTCAATTGTAATGATTGTAATCTTTCATAAGTCGGGCAAACAAAAAAAAACTTTGAAAATACGTACTAGTGAAAATAAAAATAGCAAAACATCTGTAATTACTTCACACTTTCTGAAAGGCAGCATGAATTGAATTAGAATAAATTTTTTAATTTAGACCATCAATGTAGTAAAAAGGAATATATCAGAAATGATACATATCCTATTATAAAACAATAGTATAAATAAAGTCGAAAATACGATTGATTTAAACAAGACATAAACACAACTCTTACGCACAATGAAATAGATTACTACTAATAGAACTTAAGCTGCTTTTCAAATTGTATACTCTTATAGTACTAAGCCTATGTCGTGACACATTATAATGTGACTCACCCTATGCATAAAATCTGCATCCGATAAAAGAAAGTGAGTCGGCTAGTTCGCCATGATAATGCACAATTACCTGCTCAACTTGACCTGACTCTTTTCAAAATGACGTGTTTGTTAATACAGGTACAAGGTACTTATGTAATACGAATTAACGATATTACTACGGACGATAATTATCATAAGTTTATTTTATGCAGAATATTTTTCGTTTTTACGAATAAAAAAACACCTGAAGAGGGTAACATGATTACCGAAACATGCGAATGTAGATAAATTTGTTTTTATTAGCTACACGATTTTTTTAACAATAACTAATAAGTGTGTCAAAAAAGTTGAGCGCTACGTTTATACTTTTGAACATGTGTAACTGCACCCAATGACATTGCATAACCAGCATTACGTACAATACCTGCGAAGGAGAAAACTTGATCGATTTCTGTAAAAAGTTTAAAAAATATTGAACGAAATTGTAAATCATACTTCTCCCATAATAACCAGCGAGATTTATAAAAGTCAGAAAGTCAGCAATTTTAAAAATGTAACTTTTAAAATACATTTCATAAATATAAAAATGTATTCTATAAGTACATCCTAAGTATGGTAGTTACTAATAGTTGGCCATTTCTTTTTACCTTAAATAGATAAGATGTAAGACGATGAATCATAAAACTAAAATTATTTTATAAATTTTCAGTACCTAAGCTTCCGAAAAACATGTGATACAAAAAGAAATAATAAAATGTAACATACTTTACTTATGTGTCGTTTGATACTAAGTCAGAAATTTTCCTTCATTTAACTATTTTGCGGTTTCGTCATAGTGGTCAATCTAAGTCATTAAAACAAGTTTATACGTATTTCAACTTTAAATTTTTTTAACTCTAAACCGATTTCGGCTATTAACTCAAATTTAATTCACGATATTTTAGTAGTCGACTATTAAACAATTTCAAATTTTTGCAAGTTTAAGAGGTCGACCACTGCTTTTCCAAGACGATTTACATTCGGACATTGTTTAAACGGTGAAATAAAACTTGTCAGTTTCGAACGATTAAACATTATTCACTTATTAGAATTTAGTATAAGAGAATGGTCAAATCATGAGCACGAGAAAAATTTACGATGAGGATCAAGATTAAATGCAAAAATATCAAATAACGTAAAATTATATGAAATATTTTTAATCATCATTTGTTATCCAACAATGATCACAACACATAGAAGAAAATATAAATCGATAGATTATTGTAATAAAAGCACTATTAATCGATTCTGACTTGTGCAGTGCAATAGTTTTAGCGAACAAAAATGTTGAAAATAAATCTTCAAACATAAACAAAACTTTGAAGTGAATATGGCTGTGAACAATTGAAAATCACTCAATTTTGTTGGAGGGTCATTTTTAATTTTTTTTTAATTTTTATGCAATTTGGTGAATCAATTCTGATTTATTTGGTGCAGTAATTTTGAAAAAAAACTCATTTCAAATTTCTGTCGATTTGTATTTTTTTTTCTACACGTTGCAATCATTATTGGAGGTTCAATGCAGCAAAGTCTATCTATGTTTGCATTAGTTTGTATATCTATAGAAGTATGTGTGAAGAGCCCTTAATTAATAAAATGTCTAATTTTCATTAATCATATAAAAATGTCCGATTTAAAATTATTAAATTTTGACTTACAAAAAACCATAATTTCTAATTTAAATGATTGGCGATCAACCACTGATGCAAACCCCGGGCGACTAGCGAAAAATAGATTTTTTCAAACATTAACTTTTTTCCTACGTCGTGTAGAATTAAATATAAAATTTTATCTGAAATGCATTAATAGTGAATTCCTATATTCTTTTTTAAATGAATTATAACATATTTTACATTAGCTTAAAATAGAAAATCAAGTTTAAGTAGCCAACTATTAGTTTACCCTACATTTTGTATACTCGATCTATATCTTATTTTTCAATAAAAAAGTATAATCTATCATTATGGTTTTTCACGCTTTTGTTTTATCATTTAAATTTGCACTTGTGAAGAGTTGCACTGGTGTAGTAGTGATGTAAGCAAGTACGATACATATATACACACACACAGGCACACAGTCATATAGATTGCTTAGTTCAAATATACACAACGCAGGTAGAGAGTAAGAGAGACAGCTGCCAGCAGACACTGGCAAGGGATCGTTCAATGTATCAGACAAAGATAGAATATTATCAGAAAGAGACAGATAGATTATACTGTTTAGAAGGTGCATGCAAGCAGTCAGTCAGTCGCGTGAAAATGGCGTTGTGAGCATGGCAGGACGAAGATCGGTGTTGACGAACGTTGCAGAGTCCCTGGGCACACAGGCAGCAGCAGCGACAGCATCTGGAGGAGGTGATCCGCTACGCGAGCTCTTTGAAGCCTGCAAGACCGGCGACCTTGCACGGGTTAAAAAGTTCGTCAATCCCAAAACCGTCAACGCAAGGGACACAGCCGGACGCAAATCTACTCCTCTTCACTTTGCTGCTGGTCCATATTTTATTATAAATTCTTTTATTCTTCTTATCACGCGATATTCTTCTTTTCTTTCCGGTACAAGTATTCTTTTTTTTATTCTGAAGGCTGCTTCGAATAGGATCAATTTAGAGCAAAGCACCGTTGTATCCGTGCAACACAGTGGTTTTGTTTACCTATTAAATGCGACGTCTGCTCTTTTTCGAGCTAGATTCGATTTTTTTTCAAAGTGGTTTTTGCAATATTTGTTTTTTACAAATAAGATTCGCGCATTTTCAACGGTGACTTTGATGATTTTATTTATTATAGGGAGTATGTAACCTTTCTTCAAGTTTTGTTGCTAGGCGCATTCTTCGTGAAAGTGATTGGCATTCGCTCGGTTTTTTTTGGTTGACCTTCATATCCTGGCTTCGTCTTACGTCACTAATTGCTGGGAAAATTTTTTTATGAAATTGTTGAGAGAAGATTGCAGTATGCAGTGTATAAATGAATTAGTTGTTTGCTTTTTTGATTCTTTTGTACTTATTTTATATGATACAAAATCATACATTTTTTTTAATTCTTAATTTTCTATAATTCTTAATAAATTAAAAGTAATCTTTTTAATGATTTGCATGTTTCAAATGACATGATTCATGACTGACAAACGACAATGTTTTTAAGACTAATCTATTTTCACAGGTTATGGAAGACGAGATGTAGTAGAATATTTACTTCTAGCTGGAGCATCAATTCAAGCACGTGATGATGGAGGATTACATCCTTTGCACAATGCTTGTTCCTTTGGTCATTCTGACGTTGTAAGACTTTTATTAGAAGCAGGAGCTAACCCTAACACTAGAGATAACTGGAATTACACTCCACTGCATGAAGCAGCTATTAAGGTAAATCATAGATTGATTTTTAATATTAAATCAAAATGATCACATTTAATCTATTTTATAATTATGATGCTTCCTGGTACAGGGTAAAATAGATGTATGCATAGCTTTACTTCAACATGGAGCAGATCCTAATATCAGAAATACAGAAGGAAAAACTGCCTTGGAATTAGCTGATCCTGCAACAAAGCCAGTTCTAACTGGAGAGTACAAAAAGGATGAATTGCTAGAAGCTGCTCGGTCAGGCAATGAAGAGCGCTTGCTACAGCTTTTGAATCCTCTTAACGTTAACTGCCATGCCAGTGATGGTCGTAGATCAACTCCTTTGCATTTAGCTGCTGGGTATAACCGTTCTAGAATTGTTCAAATTTTATTGCAAAATGGTGCAGATGTTCACGCCAAAGATAAAGGGTAAGATTTTCTATCTATAGCATAAATGAACATCAGAAAAAATTATATTGAAGTTAGTGAAAATGTGAATGTATTAACTAACATATTGTAGTTGAACTTGAAATAATAATTTTTATACACAAAATTTGATTTTTTAAATTTAATTTATAATTTTAGAGGCTTAGTTCCACTGCATAATGCATGCTCATATGGCCACTTTGAAGTAACCGAAGCACTTTTAAAACATGGAGCGGTTGTGAATGCAAGTGACCTTTGGGCTTTTACTCCGCTTCACGAAGCCGCCAGTAAATCTAGAGCAGAAGTGTGCTCTTTATTGTTGAGTGAGGGTGCTGATCCGACTCAGTTAAATTGTCATAGTAAAAGTGCTATTGACGTGGCGCCAACGCTGGAGCTCCAGGAAAGATTAGCATGTGAGTTATTATATTAACTTCTTTATTTCCATACAATTTCAAGAACTTTACAAACTATCTTGAAATATTTTTCTATAACTCAGTGAAAAATCAGTGAAAAAAAAAAAAAAAAATCAAGAAATTCAGAAAAGAATAGTGTTTAGAATAACAGTAACCGAAACAGCATGGTCTCAAATATTAACATACATTATCAAATTTAAAAAAATAAACATTATGATAAACTGTCACTTGAATTAATTCAATCGTTTTCTTCAATCATTTTAATTCGTGCATAAAATTGTATGATATAGCTAAGTTTTTGTAAATTAACATAATAGCTCAGAAGTTTAATTTCTAGTTATAAAAGCAAATTAATTTCAAATTTTAACTTGTATACGCTTTATAGAAAAAGTAAGTGAAGGTTTCAACATGAATTTACAGATGAATATAAAGGACACTGTTTGCTGGACGCCTGCAGGCAGGCTGATCTGGCAAAAGTAAAAAAGTATTTGACATCGGAAGTGGCAAATTTCAAACACCCCTACACGGGGGACACGCCGTTGCATTGTGCGGTAGGGTCCCCCTTTCCTAAACGTAAGCAAGCCATCGAGATGCTTATTCGTAAGAATGTACCCCTCAACGAGAAAAACAAGGACTTCCTTACACCCTTACATGTTGCCACTGACCATTCGCACTACGATGCCATGGATTTGCTGCTTGCGCACAATGCCAAAGTCAATGCGCTCGATGGCCTTGGCCAAACGGCACTGCATAGGTACTTAATTTTAGTGTAGTTGCCGTGAAAATCGAAGCACCAATGAAACTAAAATATATTCTAAATTTAATTTAAAATATTAACGTTTCGAAATTAACGGTAATAAAAAGTCTGTTTATGTATAACGCGTGATTCTTACAAATCATCGCATTTGTTTAATTGAAATTGTTTTTATTATTTCAGGTGTGCAAGAGAGGATAATGTACAAGCATGTAAAATACTTTTATCTTACAACATTGATCAAGCAATAGTTTCGCTTCAAGGTTACTTGGCCGCACAAGTTGCTACGGAAAACGTTTTGAAAATTTTGCAAGGTAGCCGCAATAAATTTATTAACATATTATTAAGTAATTTTTAACTATTAGCGAATATATTTAGTAATACTTATAAACTTTGAATTAAAGAAAACTCATTGCGTTTGCGTATAAGAAAGTATTGTGCATATCAATGTTTATTTTTAAAAGTTGGCAAGTCTTTGGATAACTAAACGCATCTAGAGGTCTTCTAAGAATGCACCAATGTTACCGGCCAGAGTCTTTCTCTATTTTATTCAAAAAGTCCAGATGCAGTGCAGGCGTATAATCTAAACTTCGAATGTAGAGATTTCATATAAAATAATAATGTGTTTTATAATTAAAAATTTTAAATTTTGTGTTCAAGGTAGTTTCTTACTTGTAATTCAATATTGCCATCAAATCAATCAGAAGATTTAAATGCATGTATTTTTTAAAGGCAATCTTTATTTTTACGTAAACTAATGTCATTCGTTAATATCTGTTTTAGATCCACCGAATGGATCGGAAGACGTTGAAGCTCAACTGTTGGAAGCTAGCAAATCTGGTGATTTGACAGCTGTTGAACGAATCCTTCAGGCGAATCCTCATGCTGTCAACTGTCGCGATTTGGACGGTAGGCACTCCACTCCTTTACATTTTGCTGCTGGTTACAATCGAGTTCCGGTGGTGGAATACCTTTTGGCTCACGGAGCTGATGTCCATGCAAAAGATAAGGGGTACGTATTACTATAAAAATCAGTTGTCTACAAGCATTTTCTTAGTTTAAGCCTATTGAAAAAAATTTATAATTAAAAAATAACTGCTTCTATTTTTTAGAGGACTGGTTCCACTGCATAACGCATGTTCCTATGGTCATTACGAAGTAACAGAACTTTTAGTGAAACATGGTGCTTCAGTAAATGTGGCTGATTTGTGGAAGTTTACACCTTTACATGAAGCTGCGGCGAAGGGTAAATGCGAGATTGTGAGATTGTTACTTCGTCACGGTGCTGATGCTACAAAGAAAAATCGCGATGGCGCGACACCTTTGGATCTTGTAAGAGAAGGTGATCAAGATGTTGCTGATTTGTTGCGGGGTAATAGCGCATTGCTCGATGCTGCAAAAAAAGGAAACCTCGCACGTGTGCAGAGGCTTGTGACGCAGGATAACATCAATTGTAGAGATGCTCAAGGAAGAAACAGCACACCTCTTCATTTAGCTGGTACGTCCTATATTTTTTACATTATTGCTGTATATAATTATGATGAATTCTCAATTTTTATAATTTTTATTATACTTAAAGTAAATGTAAAAATTATCTTTGTTTTCTAATTATTTATTTGCTTTTTATTGAAACCAAAAGACTTAAATGTTAGCACTTACTTTATGAGATAACTAATTATTTATCTAAATATTCAAGTTACTATACAATTTTCTATTCATATAGATGTTTTACTAATGTGTTTTTACGTAGACTTAAGAAATCAACCTTATTGTCCAATAACTGATAGAAAAATCGTATCATTGTATTTCTTTGTTTCAGCTGGATATAATAATTTAGAAGTAGCTGAATTCCTACTTGAGCGTGGTGCGGATGTAAACGCACAAGATAAGGGTGGCTTGATTCCTTTGCATAACGCATCAAGTTATGGTCACCTTGACATCGCAGCTCTACTAATAAAGTACAACACAGTAGTAAATGCTACCGATAAATGGGGTTTCACACCACTTCATGAAGCAGCACAAAAAGGTAGAACGCAATTATGTGCACTGTTACTTGCTCACGGTGCCGATCCATTCCTGAAGAATCAAGAAGGTCAGAGTCCTTTGGACTTGGCTAGTGCAGATGACGTGAAGAGTCTGTTGCAAGATGCCATGGCCTCACAACAAGTCGTTACTTCCATACCACCAGGCGTATTCAACTCGAATACTTCTAGTCGAACACCTAACAGCGTAGCAGGTAAGTTGTAAAAACAAACAGGAAGTTACTTTTTTCTATTCTAAAATCGATCCCTGCATCATTTGTAATACTGATAATTTTGTTTGAATTCACATTGAATTCTGAATCATTCATTGCAGTTTCAGTATCGCCACCACCGTCGTTAACGCAAGAAACCGTGATAATGCCGTCGGGTGTAGCCGTAACCCTCTGCGTTCCTGTGGCACGACCAAATTCTTGCATCAGCCCCATGTCTTCGACAGCTGAACATTGTGGTTCCGATCGTAGCGACTCAGGCAAAGAATCTTGCAATGAGCGAAACGTTCGTCCGAGTAGTGCTGGTGGGGCAATAACCAACATCTCAAGTTTTCTACAGAACCTTGGTCTCGAGCATTTAATGGAGCTCTTTGAGCGTGAACAAATCACTCTAGATATTCTCGCAGAGATGGGCCACGAAGATTTGAAGCAAGTTGGAGTTTCAGCTTACGGGTATAGGCATAAGTTGATTAAGGGCATGGATAAATTGCTTAACTCAGCTGCTGGATCAATCTGGCAACCGTCAATAAATCCTGGAACGCTGTTGGTTGATCTACTTGCCGAGGATAAAGAATTCTTGGCTGTTGAGGAGGAAATGCAAAGCACTATTAGGGAGCATAGAGACAATGGACATTCAGGAGGCATTTTCTCAAGATATAATATAGTTAGAGTATGTCAATTATAAAACTAAATTGGCATTAGTTAAATACTTCATCATTTAATACGTACTTTTTAATTTTAGATTCAAAAAGTTCAAAATCGAAAACTTTGGGAGAGATACGCACACCGAAGACAAGAAGTCGCCGAAGAAGTCACCGTGACTCAAGCACCGACTTCGCCAAGTGCAACGAGTCGTGTAAGTAGTTCGTCGGCTACAACTTTAGCGAACGAGCGTATGCTTTTCCACGGCAGCCCTTTTATCAACGCTATTGTGCAAAAAGGATTTGATGAGCGTCACGCCTACATCGGTGGTATGTTTGGTGCTGGTATTTATTTTGCCGAGCATAGTAGCAAAAGTAACCAATACGTGTACGGAATTTGTGGTGGCACAGGTTGTCCTGTGCACAAAGATCGTAGTTGTTATATTTGCCACAGGTAAAGAATATAACTTATTATAAAAGTCTTTAAGATAAAATAAACTGAAATTATTTTTATTTTTATGATGGTTTCAGGCATTTATTGCTTTGTCGCGTAACTCTTGGTAAGTCCTTCTTACAATTCTCGGCGATGAAGATGGCTCATGCACCGCCTGGCCACCACAGTGTAATGGGTCGGCCGTCGCAGGGTGGTCTTGTTTTCCCAGAGTATGTGGTTTATCGAGGCGAGCAAGCCTATCCCGAATACCTCATAACGTACCAGATAGTAAGGCCACAGCAAGAACCGGGCCAACTTGGCGAGACAGCCGAAGAACGGTGATCGAAAATGCGTGTGAACGAGGGTGCCGTTGCCGCCCAACTTCGTCGACTTTGCTGTTGCCAAAGACCCAGGATCTTCGACTCCCTGACCTGAAATCACGACTCATTTTAGGCGAATCTCTACGAATGTTCGATTGATGGTTATAAGTATGATTTTCAAACGTGTAATTACTTTATCTTATGCCGTTGCTAAGTGTACCATCAAAGATATTTTTATTTCATCAGATTTAATTTTGCATATCGGCTGAAATAAGCTCACAAGCTTTCAGAATTACTGTTTTTGATTATTTTACTTGGTCGAAGTTTCAAAGATTTTTTTATGAGAATGTATCTAGCTGATAGAATATTTTGTGCAATTTTACGAATGGAGGCAAGTTGAAATATTCAAATTTATAAATTGTCATATTTCAAATAAGCATATAATCATTCAAGTTTTGGTAAACAAACTGCAATGTATACAAAAAAAGTTAATCATTTAAAAAATATTTTCAGACGAAATGTTATTAAACCAAATATTTTACGTTGCATCAATAGTAAGTAAATTAAGAAATATCTTACTATTTTTTTACTCATTTCAAGCTAACAATATTGATAACATATGACAACAAAATTTAAAAAGCTTATTATCAAAATAGTAAAAATAATCAAAAGATAAAAAATTTCTATATTTATTATATAACTAAGTTATTTTTACTTGAACGTAAAAAATTGATATCAACTCATAACTTAGCTAAAAAATAATTGATCAAAATAGACAAAAATATTTTGAAATTTACATAATATATTTGATAATTAGACTTGCAAAAAATATGTATATAATAATGATTTCCTTGCAATTTGTAATAATCCTAAAAATCTATATTAACAACTATTTGACTCTGAATTATTATTATGTAATGGAAAAGATCTTGACGGTATGCATGTACATTATACACTCATAAAAAAGTAAATAGAAGTACTTCATATGGTTGTATTTTTTGATATTAGATTGTAAGGGTATCTTATGTTTATTCACATTTTTCTACTTCTTAAGTATTAACAAATATTTTCATTTGAAAGTCAATAATGAAATTAAAACAGCTTTAACGTTGAGCAGCCTTTTTTCTTTATTGTGCACGGGCGAATACTTAATAGTAATAAATTATTCAAGGAAATAGATATTGCAAAACTTTTTGAGCTGTAAATTTATTATTGTGAAATATAGTAACATATACTTTTTGTAGATATGATTATTATCAGATACATGAGTTCATTATTTTACGGCATTTCCCTGTTACCTTGTCTAATATCTTGCTATTCCATTAAATGGAATTGAACCAATCTTGATTGATGTCAGAATATTCTTAAAAGTAAAATAAAAAAAATATTATGCAATGGTGACTTTTTTCAGTATAGTATTTGTAACCGATACCCATGAAATTTTCTATTTCTATTTGAATACATAAATTTTTTTACAAGTTAATAAAACGATAATTGTCAAACACATTTATATCATTTTCCAGTTAAATATCATTTACTTACAAGATGTAATTACTATCTTTTACAAAAATTAAATCAACAAAAATATATTTTTACATTTCATTAATGTTTTAATAAATTTTAATATACTTGTCGTTTATTGATTGCATGCGTTATTTTCAAAAATAATAAGTAAATTTTTCCAAAATGTAAACTACAGAATATGATAAACGATATTTTGAATCAAGAATATTCTAATACATTGTAAAATATACTCAAAAATTACAGAATATATAATGCCCTACTGCAAATTATAATCAATTAAGCATTTTTCTTCGTTGTAAAAGTGTTGATAAAATAAGTTTAGCATTTTACTTTATGTTTTATGTGAGGTACAAATACAAATACCTTGTTTTTTCTATACAAAGAAGTTTATATGTATAAGTTGGTCAAAAACAAATTATTTTTTGCTGTCAACCAGCTAGACGAATATGTTTAAGAACATACGTCGTAGTAGGAGTTTAAAATAATACATAGCCTAGAGACAAATTTTATCAGGCTGGTCATGAGATAAAGACTGTAACAACAAAATGTTTAGTTCATGTTGTATACTGATCGTTAAATTCAACAATGAATTTTGAAATCATTAGAACGTTATATTTTCAGCATGCAAAGGCACATAACAATGATTATTTTTGTTTATTTATCAAAATAAGATGATAAATTGTAAATCTAACGAAAAATAATAGTATTTAATTAAATAATTTGTTTATCACGTGGAACAATTGTGTTTTTTTTATATCTAGAAATGAAATAAAGAAAACAGGTGATTTATTTTTAAGAACGTATTGAAAAGATTTCAACTATGATAAGTTAATGCTTTTGTTTTCAACGAAATACTGACAAATTATATTCACGTTCATGATAATTGCTAATTAGTCAAATTCCTGTAAATGCTAAGTTTACACGTAAATATTGGCGATTTTTTCAAAAGTCCAAAAATTAATGCATCTAAGTGCATAATACTGTATTTTAATATGATGAATCTTTCCAAATTTAGCAATTTATTGATAAATTAATGAAATTCGATGTAGCTCACACTAAGTGAGGAAATACGCATAGAAATATTTAAGCGTATGTTTAAAAATTCTATTTACATATGGAGAATGTTATCTTGTGAGAAGTGTGGTTACTTTACTGTTCAATGCATTAATAACGATTATTCGTAAATGATGTCAATGATACGTTCGACAATACTCGTCGATAAAAATACAATATATAGAAATTTACTTGACAATGAGCAAATGCAAAAGTTCGAAACGTCTTTCATTTTGTATAGTCGTGATGAAACAACGTATACGCGTCTGTCAAATCATAAAGTGGTACCTGTTTACTAAGGGAACTGCATCTAATTGAAAAATAAATAATGTGGTTAATTTTAATAAATAGCAAATATGAAGTAAAAATATATTTTTATCGTTTATAATCACTATTCTATATCCTCCCTCGTATTATGCTATATTTCATATTTTATCGACAATTAATTCATATTGGCTCCAAACTGCAATAATTTGTTTTTAAAACTGTCTAAATATCAAGAGTTTACTTTGTTAAAAGATTCTAAAACAATCGTGTTAATTGCCTTTTACATATTACACATATTTGAACAAAAGGATTAGTTTTTTCATAAAAATTCAAAGAACACTTTCCACATATCAAAACTAGTTTTTCTGCTAGGCAGACGATCGTCGCGACGTGTCATACTTCTTTCGATCGCTTACTACACTATAATACATATTCCGATATAAAAAATCCAAGAAACATGATCGTGTAACAATTTTTTAAAATCGAAACAATAGCACATTAAGAAACTTGCGATAGCGCGTGTGGTAATGCAGTACAGTGATGTCACGGCAACCCTTCGTTCGATCATTTATTATAAACAATTTTATGTATAACCTAAAAACGTTGATATACATTTCCATGTAAAAAGTACAAGGAATGCGATGATGCAACAATTAAAAAAATCGGAACTGTAACGCATTGACAAAAGTGCAATGCCGAGACTTCGCTAAGCCGCGCCCGGCTGTAATGCGGCGACACAAGCGGTGACATAGGACGCGCTTCATTTGATCTCTAATTACAGGTAATTTTAATGTGGACCAGTCAATATTAATACATATTTTTATAAAAAAAAGTCTAAGAAATTTACTAAGCAATTAAATTGACTAAGCAATAATTTTTTAATCTATACAATAGATCGTTAAAAAACTGCAATGTTTTAAAAATTTTAACAACATTTTTTATTTTTTATTGATACTAAGTTAAAGTTCAAAGTTTACGGCGTATTTAAAAAAGAGGTCATCCGGATATCTTTAATAACGATGGAACTATTGAATTTCGAAAACAATTAACTGTTAATAATGTTTGACCTAATTAATTTTTTTTTCTGAACTTTCTGACTTTTTTTCATAAAAATATGTATTATCATTGACTGGTTCGCAGTAAAATTACCTGCAATTAGCGATAAAATGAAGCGCGTCCCATGTCACCGCTTGTGTCACCGCATCACAGCCGGGCGCGGCTTGGAGAAGTCTCAGCATTCGACGATTCCACTTTTTCCAATGTGCTTTTATAAGTTTCAATTAGACAGACCGATAAAAGGCGTCAAAACGAGGTAAAAAGTTTTATATAATGACAATGCCCCAGCACCGAGCGTCCGAGCCCTAGACTCACTCGTTACTGCAGGCTAGAGCGTTTTCTTTCAATCGGTGTCACGTGTTTTCTTATGTTGAGCACTTGTATTTTACAACTGTCATTAATAGAAAAAACTCTCCGGAATACGGTGAAGCAAAAATTTAAAAAAAAATAAACTACTTTTTGAGATATTCGAATTAGTTTAAGATCAAAGAATTTTTTAATATTTTGATCTATACGAAGATGACCTCGAGATTAAAAAATTTATCATACCTTTGTACGTTGCTAGAGACATTATTTGTTAGTTTTTTCGTTTTACTTGTTTTTTCAGTTAATCGATATATGAGTTTGATACTGACAGCGGTGCTTAATCTGATTCTTGTTTCGTGTTTACACTTAATAGATATATTTTCTTTTTTTATAGATTATTTATTAGAGCAACTATATGAGTATAAAAATATATTCATTATTTTATCACTCTAAATTATTTTTCGAGCTTCAATTGTGATAAAAATTATTTACAATTCAATAATTAAATATTCCATTATAAATAAAACAATTTAATATATTTCAATTTATTAGGTATCATGAATCCAAAGTACATGAGTTTTTTAAGTAAATAAGATCATTCCCTTAGAATTCTAAATAATTATTGCAGAGTGTACGAATATCGGTATCAGACTATATGACTTTGATAAAGAGATATCGTACAATTGAATGAGAAAGAAGAGAGAGAAAGAGGGAGAGACTTGCAAAAAAGTACAACTTCTAAGAATGAAAATAAATATTCACACTTGAAAATGCGGGAGCAAGTCGTCTCTTAAGTAATTTTTTGAAATATTTCAGCTTGTCAAAAAACATGTAATTGACAAGAAAAATTTTATTTTAATATACATTAGCAATATGAGATTTTATTTTGTGATACAAAAAGATATTCTAAATAAGAAACATAATCAAACATTAAATTTGACAACATAAGTTCATAATAGTAACAACTTATGAAGCTATCGATTGCAAGTATAAGTTATGAGGTATTACTTTTTGATAATTATTGATTAGGCAATAAAATAGCTGATAATAACGTGTACTTATCGTCGAATGATTAATTGAATAAATAGGATATCATGTCACGTAATTAAAGAGTACAATTTTACAATTCTATACAGGATTTACAATTCTATACAATGATAATTACCAAACTGTGCATTTTTTAACGGGATTCATGGGAGAGCCCAGTGGACATTGAAAATCATTGGAGAACTCTTGCATATTTGACATTGGTCCGATAACACGGAATTCTCCTGGACTATGCACATCTGTGACTATTCGCGCTTTCAAAGCTTCGGGTCTGTATTTATTACACCAAACATTCGCTGCACTAATCCAAAACATTTGCTGGGACGTGAAGTACAGTCCAGGTAGACGAGGTTCTTGTCCGTTTTGCTTCTCCCACTCGTTGTAGGCAAAATATGCTTCTTTAATACCGCCGTTGTCCGCAATATTCTCGCCTTGGGTGTTTTTACCATTTATCTATATTAACAGAAAAGTAGGTAGTTCAGGTCAATTACGAATTATGTCATATTTTCTAGTAGACTACTTTTCAAGTCATTACTTACCTTTAAGCCGACTTCTTTGACTGTGTAATTACTGTATTGGTCGATGATACACTGAGCACGTTCCAAATACTTCTTCTTCGTTTCCGGTTCCCACCATTCGATCAAGTTACCTTCCTTATCAAATTGCCTTCCTTGATCGTCGAAACCGTGTGTCATTTCATGTCCCATTACAAAGCCAACCGCACCATAATTCATATATTTTGGCCTATCCTTAGTGAAGAATTTTCCTTGCAAAATCCCGGCAGGAAACTCTGAAAATTATACAAATCAATTTATGATAAAAATGTATTAGTCAATTTCCATACGAAAATATATAAATGAACTAGTGTTGAATTCGAATGAACTTGCCGCCTACTGAATATATAGCTGAAATGCAAATCCAGATTTTGACATATGAGCTAATGCTTTAACGAGTCACCGAGACTCACATATCAATTGCTAACAAGATGGAATTGAACTGGAAATACCTGACACTAATAAGCTCGTAAAAATTATTACTTCACATAAAAATCTCATTAAAATGGTAATATGAAGTTCGAAAATATTTCTCACGAATGCTATTTTCTGTTGGCTCGTAATAAGCATTGACAATAGCTGTTTGGCCATGCGTAATCCATTCAGTCTTGTTCACGGGTTTCCTTAACTGCTCGAAGTCGTAAGCTAATTGAAAGAGGTTCAGGCTCAAGTGACTTTTGAGAAAACTTTTGGAATATATCTTGAGATATTGATAATATTCGTCGAGCTTTGTGTCATCTAAAAATTCGTTTGGGTAACCAATGTGCGGCTGAATCCAGTCGAGTTTTTCTAGCGCGGCTTTTCTCGTTTCTTCATCCATCCAGTCGACCTACATGGAGCATAAAACATTGAGCACGGGAATCTTTTCAACGCAAGTTGCATGATTTCAAAAAGTAAGGTGATATTAATACATTGATGTATGCTTGTAGTAATTGCTTTAAAAAAAACGCCTGAGAACGATGTTGTTTACCGAATGATCGTGCAGGTTTCAAATAATTTTTCATGCCATGATTTTTACTGGCAATATGCGAATTCATTAATATTATAATAGATATCGTAATAGAATTCACGCCTTATTGGCAGAATATGCATGTTCGCATCAACTCATCACTTTCCCGGTTTTAGGTAAATGAGCACTGTTATGTGACATTCAATATGGTCATAATATTTTCAAAAATAATCTCATTACGGTAATAAATTAACAAATTAATCAGAGCCATTTCATTAGCGTGTCAATAAAATATTATTATTCTTTGGATATATTATTATAAATTATAAACAGCATTTCTGTCTCTACTGAATGAGATGCCATAACAATATAATTCAATGAAAATGTGAAGAGCGTAACATTTTATTCAAGTTTATTTAGAGACAAACAAAGAAAATGTTTAATCAAAAAATTGTATAAAATGTAAATTACATACCTGAGTGAGAATGCGCTCATAGCTCTTACGTATGTTATGTATGATATCGACAGCATTATCCTTGGCAGTCTTGTCGAAGTAGCGTCTAACGTAGAGTGCGCCGACCGCGATGTAAAGTTTGTTGGATACGTAAGTGAGGCATTCTTTCCAACGAGGTTCCTTGACGTTTGTGCCCGTAAGTGATGCCGAGAATTCGGCTTCAGCCTTTTGCACTCGTTCGCCTAGACGTGGAGCCGATTCAGCAACCATACGCCACATCGCGTAATTCGCCAGCACGCGCTTTGGAGTCTTGACGATCAGCTTGGAGAACGATTGGAAGAAGCTAGGAACGACGACATTCACCTGCTCGGAGGGCTCGACTTTTGTATGCGGGGCAAGCAGATTGTTAATGTAATCAATCCATAGAACCGACTTAAAAGCCTTTTGCAATTCCGCCACGCTCATCGGGTTGTACAGTTTCGTCATGTCGCGACGCTCGTCGCTTGCAAGTGATATCTGCAAAACGTAAATACTCGCATTATTTTTTAAAATTAATCCAAAGTGTGCACTGAATCGTCATCGCGGTATATAGAATAAAGCGCGTGCACGATATCAATGATTACGAGTCATGTGATTCGAAACGATTCTTGTACTTTCAGTGTACAAAATTTTTAATTTAAAATAATTGTCTTTGTTGCGAAGTGATGGAAGAACTACCTTAGCAAGTTCGATTTCGAAATTCAGAGAATCGGCCAGTTCTTTCTTAGCAACGTCGCGGTTAGCTCCAAAAATTTCAGCTAAATCTATCATATATTTGAAATACGCTTGAACGACTTTGTCCTCTAATCCTTTCGATAAATATTCTTGTGGTAGTGCCGTGGACGCCTGATCCAACTAGGAAAAACAATATAATTACTACAATTTATTGAATGCTTGATTTATTATTAAACTTACATCGATGAGGCGCCTACTATTGTTTTTCATATCAACGTTTATTTCAAAGTCGATGAAGTAGTTAATAGAGTATCCTGTATTGCGAAACTGAACGACTGATTTCTTCCAATCGAAAGCTGATTCATTCCATGACTTGCCATCCAGTACGGGCCAGCCACCTAGGTTGTTTAAAATAGCTCGAAAATCATGTTCGCTAGTTGCTTCTATTTGAGCTGCAATACGTTATTTTCAATGTAAATTACATTTGATAATGTATCAAGTAATTACTATAGAATCGATAACAAACAAATAATAACATTACTTGTATTCATGCAAGTATTGTAGTACGACTGTAAAAGTTTGAAAGCACGTGGACTGTCATTACGCAGATCATCTTCTATACTAATTCTTAGCTGTTGTTGTATTTGATCATTAATTTTATCGAATGTGTCCATTTTGGACTTGTCATCTGGAATAACGCTTTCTTTGATAAATTTGCCACAAGCGAACCGATAAAAGTCGGAGCACGGATCTACGCTGGGATCCATAGAATCGAGAATTAAGGAAGCTGTAGTACAAATAGTGTATAAATTATTAAATGCTACTTCGTAAATAGTCAATAAATATATAAAATGCTAAAAATATTATAAGAATCAATCGACTCAATTGCAAGAACTATGTTAACTGTTCACACACTTCCATATATGCATTCCATCCACTCAAACAACTGTAAATATATCAATTACTCTAAATCATAACAATGATGTATATGCCAACCTGTGTGTATACATCCTGGTGTTTCACAAACTTCTTTGGCAAAGTTACATTCGGTATCTTGATTTCTATGCCTTAGATATTCATCTATAAATTCAACATTTTTCACATTCAAACTATGTACTTGATTATCGTGAGTCATTATGCACATGAAATATAAAGTTTGTTTACAGTTATTTTGTATATTTTCAATAAATACTTGTGATATTTGAAATTAACATGCGAAAAATAAATAAATCATTTTGCTTATCAAAAAGCAAATTAATTTGTAAGTAAAGAAATTTATTCGAAACAAAAAAAAAGAACTATTCAAACGAATAAATAACACTGAAAATCTTTTTTTTCTTACCAATATTAAAAGAAGCGGTCAAACACTTTTCAAAGTTTGTTATAAGGATGGTAAGAACAGCTAAGACAACGAAGATTGATTCAGTCGACTGCAGCATTCTGAATGTCTTCATTTGAATCCCGTTACTGTATCAAACTGGTTATACGGTCACTTTGTAAACTTGACTAATGGAAGATCCCATCGACACGAACCTTTGCGACGTCCTGATAATTAATTTAATCGACAATTAGATAATCGACAGTCAGATTTTTGAACAGTTAGAACAAGTAATCTTTTTCTAAAAAATATTCACTACAAGTTCATGTCTGATACGTGATTCGGAGTCACCTTCAACAAATTGTTAATAAAAGATTATTTGACTATCGGTTCGTAAAGAAGTATATAGATATGGGAGTTGTGGATGTGGGCTGAACGATCCCGTGCTAGTTCAAAAGTCCGACTGACTGTCGGTGAAACGAGATGATCTTGGTGCTCTACATGGCTCCGGCTATCACATCGCAAATTGGCTATGCATATAGCGTCCTCTCCCTCTCTCTCTTCTGATCTCCATGTTCAACTCGCACACACGACTCACGCTTATACCGATTCTACCTATACGTCACGTCCCCTACAGCAAGGCTTTTCTTGCTCTATATATATATCTATATATATATCCCACTCTGCTGTGCTTTGCTCATAGCATAATACACATGCACAACAATATCGCAAAAACATTTTTCTTAACCGTTCAACAAACCTAACATTTATAAATCATTTTCTTTGCTTCATTTATTACTTTTACTCGTGTTGATAAGCCGATGACATTTACACATTACTGTTTAAAATTGCCTTTGGTATTCTTGTATTATTCAGAAAAACATAATCGATGATGTATTTTAACAATAGTCACTTGGTACTATTTTACTAATAAGGTAAAGCTTGAAAAAATTTTATTTGTTTACTACATATATAGCAAAAACTTCATTAACAACTTTTGTAATCAATCTTCAAATAATCATTATTCAAGTTTTTTAAATTCAAATAAGTAAATATTTTATAATTGATTAAATATCTCATGAACATTAAAAAGTTCAATGAGTTTGTAAAGAAGTAACTATACAAATTATGGGGCTTTATTTCTAAATTACTCGCAACCTTTAGGTTTGTAATCACTATAACTATTTTATTTTAGAAAAGCAGTTTAAGAACCAATTCAACCATTTATATTCTTTTCTGTGTTGGTGCCCGTAAACTTATTTTTAACCCTCACCCGGTTATGACTGAAATTTATGCAATAATTGTAAACATTTTAACGTTTAATGTATTTTCATACTTTTTTGCCCTTGTATTGTAATGTATTATAAAATTAATATTGAATAGAATTTTAGTGAACATTTCAATGAACATAAAGATAACCAAGCTTTATCTAATTGACCCTTTACTTTCAAATGATGGTGTATCGTATGAAACTTTTGATTTATATGAAAAAAAAGTGGTAGTACATAGTGTTAATTTAATTATTAATATCAAAAGTAAATGAATATACGATAAAAAAAATTTAAAGAATTAATAAAATTATTGATGATATTGGTGGAACTAATAAAATGCATTTATATAAACCATTATTCAAAAGTCAATACATTTAATGCATCAATATTCTTAGAGTTTTATCAGCACAACGTTGGGGCTCTTTGAAAAAAGATATGTGCAATATATATAAAGCTATTAATGCACATTCAACTGAGCGTATCAGTCTTTCCGATGTTGCCCGCATGTTAAAGGCATTGGCTGAAGTAAATCTCTATTTAAATTTATTTTTCGCAAAAAATTCAATAATTTTTTAATAATCAATGCATTAAATTGCTTCTACTTCTTTGTTTATAATAAAAAAACACGTGCCATTGTCGGAATAAATAACTGATGGAGAATCTACTAATAGCTGAAAATCTACATAGACCTATAATTGTAGAGTCTGCACTCAAGTTATTTGCTAATTCAATATATGTTGCTCTTTTTGAAATATAAGTAAATAATTTTTTCCATAGTTTTTCTATTCTTTCCTCTATTTTCGCCCACACAGAACCGAAAAAGGGAAAGTTATTCTTTATTTTTCTAAATTCCAAGCATTTAATATAAATGTTTCAAATTAAAATTTTTAACTAACACCTATATTATTTGTATGGCGTAATGAGCTACTGCAAAGCGGCTCTCTCTCTCTCTCTCTCTCTCTCTCTCTCTACAATCTAGCAAATAAATGCCAAAAACCACAGATCGTTGTGAAACTTTTATTTAAAACGGAATTTGTAAGAATACAATCATTACTGTGCTTGATTTATATTTTATTTCTATCTATTGCAAAAACTTTCTAATAATCAAACACATCGAGGGATCCTATCAATTACGAAACCCTTATAGATAACTAACAAAAAGTTTGGACCAATCGCTTTCAGTCTCACGTTAGGGTAGAGAGGGAGAAGATACTATTGCGCTAAAAAGGAATGGAATAGAAAATGTAAAAAAAGAGGGAGCGATTATTTTTACTTACTTTTTATTTATTGTTAAATACACAAGAAGACGGTCAAAATATTATTGTATACTACTTGAAGAAAAAAATTGTCATAAAATTTCGATTCACTGACTATCTAAACGACTGACCGAGCAACTGCCGCAGGAGCGGGTGCATGGCCCTTTTATAGTCTAAGAGAAACTTTCTTAGTCAAGAGCTTAAAGATAACATAAAGATTCTTCCTAGATAACTATAGTCGCTGAAAACCGTTATTCTGGGTTTTTAGTTTACATCAAAGATGATCGACATCTTACATACTAATCTGAGGATTGTTAATCACAATTTTATTTTATTTTTATGCATGCAAGGCAATTTAGTATATTATAATATAAAATTAGTTACAAAATTACATTCTTTATTTTAGAATAATTATTAGTTTACATATACGCATTTCTCATTGATTTTTATTGCTATATTTAATTGTTTAGCAAGTTGACATTGTTTGTCTTTTTATTTAAAGTTTTCTAATTGCCATAATTTATATTGTCAACTTATATTTGTTATGACGCATCTTTAGCGATGATTAATTTCTTAAAACAAAAAAATATATATATTATAAAATAGTTTGCTAATTTGTGCGCAAACTAAGCTTCGAATTGAAGAATGTGTGAAAGGTATTTTTCCGTCGTAAATTTGGCTTTTAATTTGACATTAATCATGTTTTTGAAATGTAACATTAATTATAACGTTGTATTTTCATATGAAATTTGAAGTCATGAAAATTCAACGGAAAGCTAATCGAATGCAGTCATTTTATGACTCAACGTTTCCTTATCATTCTTCGTAGGTCTAGTGAAGACTTCTGAGAGAGAGAGAGAGAGAGAAAGAAAAGAGATAGTTAACAGAATCTTTAAAAACTAGTTGCATTCAAATTCAAATTTTTGTTTCGTTAGGTGTACCTTTTGACTGTATATTTTTTATTAGAAAATTCTAAGACAATCAGAGTTCTTATCTTCTTTTTATTTCGTTCTTGAAGGGGTTCTCAAACATTTTCCTATTCGTGTTCTTTCTTCTAGTTACCTAATATAACATTTTTTATATTATGAATAATAGAAAATAATAAAACTCAAAAGAATTATCTTAATATTAAAGAAAAATATGCCTGATGTCACACCTGTTAAAGATTTTATATAATTTTGAGGAAGTTATTCAAGATACTAGAATATATCAACAATAGACTAAACAGAAATCTAACCATACCTAATACTTTTCAATCAACTATACACAGTGGCATTTGGTGACCCTTGAGGTCTTCAATAAATTTTTCAAAGTGATATACAGTTGGTAGATAGGATAAAAGTGAACAAAGAATGTACTCTTGAATTTCCAACTAGAGTTGATAATAAATCGTTAATTTTATCGTCGATATACTGTTATTACTGAAATATCTAAGATTATGAGATATCTAACATGATACGGATGTGAATGAAAGTGATTCTGATACCGGCGGGTTGTTACAATCAAGACGAAAGAAATTTAATGATTGACAGTACCTATATTGCGTAGTGAAGCGTATATGACTTAACTTTTAGAGGACGGGGTTTGGAATTTTTAACTGCTCAGTATTTTATATAGATAACGCATGATATGTGTGTCTAACATCGGAGAATACTCAGATGTGAAGTGGCGATCGATGGTCGAGCCACTATAGTGGCTTTCCCGCCCTCAGGGGTGATACTAATTTTGACACTTTGAAAAATTGTTTTATTTGGCACATCTAGCTGAATTTTAACACGTAAAAACACTTAAGAGCTAAACTTTGTCACACCGTAGCTCATTGAATTCTGAAACGATTGTTGAGTTCAAAATTATATGTTGTCGTGGATTTTTCTATACTATTATTGCTAAAATGTGCTGAAAATCGTTGCCATGACGTGACGCCAATTCACTAAATATATACTAGAATTTTTTCTAATGAATATCAAAACCTGTAAATTGATATAACTTCTCTCCGCATGCTTTTGGGCACCCAACACAAGTTGGGTAATTTGTTGTGTATATAATTTTAATAACAGTAATACAAAAAACCAATACAATATTATTTTGCCAAATCAATAATTTTACACAATTTATTATTTAACCCATTAAGGTTCATACTTTATATAGTAATAATAATATTGGTAGTACATAGATAGTATCAAACTATGTATGTAGGCATAAAAAAATACCCGTGTTTTTTGTCGCAATTAGATTGAAAAACATTTTAATTAGTTTATTTAAATAACTTTTTATAAACCATTGTAAATGGCAAAAGAAAAAACACGGTATTTTTTTCGATTTGTTGGAATTGCGATTATTTATTGCCGTTTTACATCAACAAATTGAAGTTCGACAACAAAATGTTATCTATATTTTTCCCATTTTTTTTTTCCATAGATTCGTTGGCCGTAATCAGATTTGAAAAACAATATCTTTTAAGTAATTTTTTTAAATAACTTTTTTATAAACAACTATAAATTGCTGAAGAAAAAATCCTGATATTTTTTTATGTTTATGAATGGCATGGTTAGTTTGGTGGTATCTCTTTCAATATTATTATTACTATAAAAGGCATGGGCCTTAATGGATTAAATTATGAATAGCGTTAAATTATTGATTTAAGAAAATAACATTGAGATTTCGTTTTATTATTACCGTTAAAATTAATATTGTCTTTGAAAATGTCAGTTACCTTAATTTATTAGTTATTTATTCATTTACATTGTTAATAATTATAATAATATTAACGATTTCAGTAGGGGGCTCGAACATCAACAAGTACAACGAATTGCGAATAATTAAAAAAAATGCATGTAAATAGAGTGAAAAATGTGGCTTGAAAGAGATTTCTAGGAAAAAAAATCAAAAATATCCCACTGTGCGCTGCTGCGGAAAATGTTTCGGCCGCCAGGCGGAGAATCTCTCCCCACTACGCGTTCGTTTGGGCTTACCGCTCGCTTTAAGTTGTTTTTCACAGAAACTATACTACTCTTCATGCTATGCCGCCTTACTTGGGGAATAATAAAAGCCACTAGAACGAAAACGGCACGTCCGAGCCTGGCGGAAACGTAGGGTTCGCTCGTAGTGAAAATCCATAGCGCGCGACAATTGATATCGGGCTGTAAGCTACTACTGATACGGCCAATGGCCGTGATATCAGCAAGTCCATGTTTCACAGCGCACGTTTAACACCCTTGACTTCGCCTTGGCTGCTAATTTACACGCACTATGAGTTTATTAATACTTTCCGTGGGCACGCGGCGTCTTAATTATATGCATCTTTTGGTAGTCTGCAATGAACATTTATCATAAAGAATATTGTACTTGAGCCAAAATTGTTAGGCGATTTAATTATTACAAAATATTTGACTTTTCTGTTTTATTTCTGTTGATAAGTTTCGTTTTTTTTTTTGTATAATCCTAAACATGAGCGGAGCGAGGGTGAAGAGACCACACGAGGCTGAATTTTCTTTTCGATACTACGTACATGGGTTTAGTACATTACGATACAAGTGCGGGAAATTTTCCCTGGATTCCTTAAGTGTGCTTTAATTTAATTTAATTTAATGCTGGATTCCTTAAGTGTGCATAAAATCAAGTTCCCGCACACGGAGCGTCGAAAAGTGCTATTTTCAACGCACGTATTCTGTCGAGCGTGCGGGAAAGCCGCACTTTCCGCACGGAGTGTCGAAAAAGTGATTTCAGCCTCGTGAGGCCTCTTAACCTTCGCTTCACTTGAGCGCAAACGTCCACAGGAAACTGAAATTACTTTCTCTCACTAATATCGAAATACGCTAATTTCATACGTTCAATGTGTACGCCTGTTAACTACCTACATGTGTTTTCAATAAAAAATCCATTAATTTGTATATTTAACAAATTTAGAGCGATTTATTTGAAAACAATGTATATTTTCTCAATCATTTATTAAATGTAAATTGTGATAAAGGTTCTAAATAAAAGACTATAAATAACCTATAAAAAATGAAATATCTTACATAATGCTTTGGAAAACTTTTAGAAAAACATTCCTTGATAATAAGAGGACGGAAAAGTGACAGTGCTCGCTAAAAAAGTGGAAAGAGGGAAAGGCAAGCTACGTGGCCCTTCTTTGTGTTTACAGATCAGCCAGGCCAACGCGTAAGTGTCTATATGTGTTAGTCAGAGTCGAATATATTTTAGTTGAACTAAACCAATTTTTATAATCAAAAACGGAAATGATTATTTTTTTATATACAAATAATTAGTTTTAATTCAAGCCACAAAAAATTCCTAATTCAAATAATCATGTGAATTAACCATTTCGAACGCAAAATAATAAAAGGTCGGGTGATCTCTGCAAGCGCACAGGTCGACGCTAAACTCTCCGAGTGGCTAATTGCTTTATGACTATACCTAATAAAAAAAACTTCTATTTAAAAAACAAATTTTTTTGATTTTTCAAAATTTGAACAAAATTTGTTTGAAGATCAATGTGAAACACAGTTGTTAAGTTTCAAAATTTTATAAAAGTAATGTTGCCAATTTTTACACATGCATACTTATATTCTCAAAAATTTGTCTTTTTTCGTGTCTATGCTGAATGCGTATTATCTTGTTGATAAGCTAATTACATGTAACTTGAAGATCTAGATGTGATATAGGTGGGAGTGAGTGCTATAGAAACCAAAAATAAAGAAGACCGGTGGTAATTTCATCCTTTCCTTAAATTTTAATTATTATTCTTTTATAGAGAAATTGTCAAGTATTTATTCATTTTTTTTATCAATAATATAGATGGGAAGATAACATATTTATTGAACTAGATAATAATTATTTCAAAGTGTACGACAATATTTAGCTGTATATTTTTTGTAAAATATTTCCAAAATGTGTGAGATGGTGAATCAGCTGTTAGGATAAAATAAATGAATTTTCAACAGATATAAATATTATACTGGACGGTGCTGATTTACTTTCTAATACAATAGAGCACAAACTCCTTCATTGCCATGATCTAACACCCTCCAGATTCTCTAAATACAAGCGCAGACATGTATAGACAAACATCCATCCACGCAAACTTTTCGAAAAAGGCTCAAGACCACCATCTCGGCAACAACAACACAAAAGTGAAATTTTCATACCTGAGTGGAAATGCAGCCGCTGTCAGAGTGGAAGTCCTTCTACAGACTTTTTGGGCTACGATCTAGCACATTCCAGACTATGACGATCAGCTTTTCAGGGTTAGGTTTCGAATTTTCTTGAAACTTGGTCTATACATGTTGTCTGTATGGTAGTGTATTTAAGTATGGATTATTAGATCATTATAATAATTATATCAAAAGTTATAAACAATTGAAAATTATTGACGAAATATTTTCAAAAATTTATATCTCCGCAACCATTGAAGTTATCGAAGCGAATTTTTTTTATATTACACATAAAAGGGTGTACTTTAAAGATATTTAGCGAACAATACTTTAATATCACTTTTCCCAAAAGTTATTAACATTTTCTTTAAACAATTGCCCATATCTCAAAAAGTGTTATTTTTATTTTAAAAATTCTTTTTTTATTGCTCGGCCACGCGTCGGTGCTGCTACCAAACTTACCGACTTATCGGCGTCGTAGGGCCCATGAGCGTTCACTATTATCGCTAACTGTATCGCATCTAATGATCGCTCGATGAATTTAATAACGGACTTTTAAAGATAAAATGTCAAGGAACTCAATAAAAAAAGAATTTTTAAAATTAAAATAACACTTTTTGAGATATAGTCAATTGTTTAAAAAAAATGTTAGAGATATAAATTTTTGAAAATTTTTGGTCAAAAATTTTCAATTGTTTATAACTTTTGATATAATTATTATAATGATCTAATAATCCATACTTAAATACACTACCATACAGACAACATGTATAGACCAAGTTTCAAGAAAATTCGAAACCTAACCCTGAAAAGCTGATCGTCATAGTCTGGAATGTGCCAGCTTTACTCGCAAAACAAGGGGAAGGATGGCAAAACTGACCTGAGAAAAAAAATTTCAAGCCATCTTTTCCGGAACATTTTAGTCTGTCCTACGCTTTCGTTGAGTTCACATCTCAGACTGAGTTTGATGAAAAACTAGTATTTGCTCATTCGATTTTATAAATTTGAATTTTTTATTCTAGCTATTCAGAGTAAAGAAGTTAAATATTTGAAAATGGTGGTAATAATGTAATTAATAAATTATTGTTTTCGTAATTTGTCCTAGAGGGAAAGTTATGTTAAATCAGAGTTTGCTGTATCATATATATTTCGGCATATTCAAGTGTTTGACGATTTGTATTTTTGTCGTTGTAATATTATTGAATTAATATTATCAATATTTATTACAGTTTTGCGAACGAAATGTTAAGAAATATTTCGACGACCAATTAATAGATTACTTAAAAGAAGGTAAATATCAGGCGGTTGTGCATCTGATACAAAATATACCGGCAGATAAACTAGTAGACTGTCGCGGCACAACTTTACTACATTTGGCTGCCAAGTACAATAGTGCGAATATAGTGTATTATTTGATAAATCAAGGGTCTGTAATCGACGCCGTCGACGATTGGAGTACAACGCCACTTATAATGGCTGTGAAAGAAGAAAGTGTCGCAGCAGTGAAACTACTACTGGAAAAGAGTGCAAATATCTACCCAACTGAATTGTACGAAACGTGCGCACTTAACGTAACTATGAAATTATCTGCTTTGTCATCGAAAAGCTTATCAATAATAAAGGAATTTTTTAAAGTTATATCTTTCGATCTCGCGAACGGCCGATTGAGCATCAACGAATTGGCGAGTAAACTGCAACAAGCCGAGTGTCCTCTATATCGAGCTGTCTATTTGTACAATCCCGAAGTGACGAGAACGATGATCAGTTTTAAACCTGGCTGCGTTAATTCTCAGGACTCCGATACCGGCAACACTGCGCTACACGAAGCTGCCTATCAATCGGACATTCCAAACATGCTAGTACTCTTGCAGAACGGAGCTGATATTAGTATTAAAAATAAAAAAGGGAAAGAACCGGAGGTTCTCAAGTTCTGTTACAACATGGAAATACTTAGTCTACTGTTGAAAAGGAATATCGCGTGGGAGGAGTCGGAGAACGATAGCAAAGCTATGAAGCTAAGACACGTTTTAAGTAAGTGTTCTAAGGCAGCTGTGCAACTGTTTTTACAATACTGCAATATAAATTTTTTGAGGAGAGATAACTTGGAGAAAACAGCTTTATATTATTTAATTGAAAACAACAATAAAGATGTGTTGGACTTATTTAAGTACACCGACATTAATGTGAATGCACTTGACAGAAGTAATCATTCTGCATTGCACTACGCCGCGCTTTATGGCGATCCAATCTCTACTCAATTTTTATTAGAAAAGGGTGCTGATCCGAATATTCGATGTAACAGTAATTACACTCCTCTGTTATATGTCATTCAGCAGACATCTTCTGATTCCTCTCTCAGAAAGAAGTGCGTTGAGCTTCTTTTGTTATTCGGAGCTGATCCGGAGTTTCAGAGAGATGGAGATACAGTGATCGGGCTAACTGAACAACTTGATTTGTCCCATTTAATAGAGCCGCTGTTAGCACACTTTGCACTGCTCGATTCTGAAGACAAGCCGATTTCTGATCGATCTTCGATTTCTCGGGCGCAAATCACTTTATCTCATTTGACAATAGATTATTACAACCAGTGCCTAGCCGACCTTGAACATTTGAAACAAGAAAAGCTATATCGCTCACTCACGATGTATACATTTCTCGTTTCAGACGAATACACGTTGGCGAGCTACATTCATATACCATCTATTTCACATAGATTTTCCCAAGAACAAATTCATTATAATTCATTTTACAATGAGATTTTGAAAAGACACTTTAACAAAGCCGTGGAAATTCTCAACTTAAGAAAGTCAGCAATGCGTCGTTTAAGCGATATGTTTCGAATATGGGCCTCAGACGATCACGTGTTAGAATTGATAGTAGGTTTTTTTAAATACGAAGACTTGGTTATATTACACGAAAATTGATACCACGAACAAATAATTATTATCGTTTGTTTAACTTAGTTTCGATATTATTTTAATAGTTGCAGATTACGAAACCTTACGAAATCATTTGCGCATCTGTGTGCAAGCTGGCATAACGAAATACATAAAATTTACAATTGTAGATTATAACTAATAATAACTAATAATAGCAAAAAATTTACAGCTGATATTACTTAATATTTGTTATAATAATTAATTGTCATTTGTGTATTTAACGCAAGTTGTGTATTTTGTAACTAAAACATTAACTCATGACGTTGTAAATAGTGAGTTAATAATTTCTTTCTTGCCTTATCCAATTAACAACCCTGTCAAATATTCGTACGAAATTTGTACTGAAACCGTACTAGTTCAATCAATAGAGAGAAATTGTAGACTCGCTATCAGACTCAATGGGATAGTCATCTGTTTCAGCTGTAAATATTTTCAAACACTTATCAGCTTTTGTAAGATCAATTTTACTTATCGACTTCATTTTTAAAATGTGCATCACTTCATAACTATAATAGAGTAGCCAGCTTTCCAATTTGTGGAATTTCCAGTATTTTCTATCGGATAACAAGCGTGACAATAGCGTTATTTCATTTGGTGTTTGAATTTTGACAATCAATTTCTGTTATTTTATCTTCCAATATTATTTATCAAACCCGATTTATCAAACCACATACCTGAAAATTGTCGACGAACTCCTAGAGAATAGCATCAGGAACCAACCTATCTATGACATCAAATTATAATAGATACACTAATGAAAACATTCCGGTTACACCTTGCATATTTTTTTATAGTTACTTTTTTCGAAACTTCTTGTCTAATTTTCATTGTATCTAAAGCAATATTCGTTTATCCGGAATATATAATCAAGAAGTCGATATTTAATAACTTTCTTTTTTTTTATGTAAAACTGTCATACCGAGATGAACTAGTTTAAACCGAAATATCCATTAAATTAAACAATTGACTGTATTAATGCGCGCGCCACAGCGTCTATACAGCAACATATTAGATAAATTCTTATTTTTCTTAAACTATCAGTAATTTTGCAAGTTCCTTGTTTTGAACATTAATATCTTTTACAAAAATTTTAATAAAAACATTCATATTGGGCTTACTTTACCCGCATTACAAAGCAGCTATTACAGTATTACTAAATCTTACATACGGAGGTAATTCATTTAATAGAACCTGAATGGGCCATATTGAACGAATTGTACTTATCCAAATGGGCGCCCCATCAACGTTAAATGTCATGGTAAGATACGAATCTTTACACTCTCACTTAATAAAGAAATGAATTCTTTATACTTTAAACCATCATGTATATCTTCTAAATTTTTTTCGGCGCATTTTTGATCTTTTACTAATGCGGCATAGTATTCGTCGTTTGGTTCTAACAAGTGTGTTACTTTTTCTTTAACATTAAAAATTATGAAAGAGTTATTATTTCTAGTAACAGTTATGTCTTTTTCACAAATGTCGCGAGAAACACTGCGTTCAGTATTTTCACAGTCCCTGACATGTTGGACACACAGTGTTGAACTCTGAGCTATCATTCGAGTGTAGTAATTTATCAATTTCGAAAATTGAGTTAGGTAAAAACCGCTGAATTGAGAAAAATGTTAAACAATTCACAAATATTTTCAAATGCACTCAGAGGTAAAGAATACTTTGAAGGAAAATTCTCAACGCCCGGCACCGATGTGCGTGGGAGTTCCGGCGAGGTGATGCGGGTGGGCACGTAAGCGTCCATTGCCGTTAGCGATAACATTGGTGAGCGATAAGCAGCGAGGAGCGAGGCAGCAACAACAGCAATAGCGACAAGAGTAACATCAACAGCCACACAGAAAATTACGACAACAAGGAAAGTAACACAACAACAACAGCAAGGACAATGATGACATCAGTCGTTACACCAACGACAACAGCGACAGATCCAGAAGGCCATGGACGAGGTCGGTGCCATGATTTTCTCTCTCTCGCATGTTTTGGGCGGCAGCATACAGCGGGTAGCGTGAGAAACCTGCCAGCTATACAGTCGGTCGCGATCGCCGATTTATTTGTACGATTTTGTTGTTGTGTTAAGATTAAGGGTAAATTGGGGAATCGGGTGGTAGCCCTGCCACCGATTCGCCCTCATGAGCGCGGAGTTGTTGCATTTTGTCACATATAGTGTTCTCGTTTGATTTATTTTTTTCGAGTAAAATTACTTTATGTTAAATTGCTATCGTAGTCATCTTTCACCAGTGTTACTCCTCATCCCAAATTCCACACGGGCGATTGACGCATTATTACTCGGCGCGTCATTTAGTCGTAGGAGCGTTCGCGCCTCGCGAATCCCCCTTTAAAAGCGGAAACGGCTGTACTCCGTTACAGTAGAAATCACAAAGAATCAAGTCAATTCCGAAAAAAGAAATTTATTCGTTCAAACTATCAAAATTATGCACGATGCAAATAAGTTCTCCAGTAAGTATGAAGTTGTCAGCGATGAATAAGAGAGATGTGATTTGAATAATAATAATTTCTTTGTACGTAAACACATTATTAATATAAAAATACTTGAAATACTTATTAACACAAGGTATTTTATCGAATATAAACATCGAGTCGACACTCACAAAGTCGTGCCAGTATTAACACTGTACAATATACAACGTCTAAAATCAAGTACCGACGCGATTCTTCGTGTCAACGTTGTAAGTATAAAGTTTTTTTCGTTGCATAATTTGAGCCTCCAGAAGATATCTGCTTAGTCAATTGATGCTGCAGAGGGCATCTCTTCATCCCATACCAATCAGATATGTCATAAGAGCGTTTTTGATAGTCAGTATTAAGCATTTCGCATAAATCACAGATAATACGTTGGCGCGAGCTAGCCACACGATACTGCTTTTTCCAATCAAAGTACTTTTTGTATTCAGACACATTATGGGATAAGTAAGCTAGATACTCGGCTAAGTCATTTGGTGTGTTGAAGTCCAACGCGTTAACGTAAGATTTTGGTGGGGCGAAACGGTTATAATTAGCACCACCGTAAACTACAGGAACCACGTTATATCTGTAATAGAATATAAACATACACTGAAAACGTATATTGGTTGATTCAACAGACATCAGTCCGTTGAAATACGGTAACAAAGGAATCGTTGGTTCTTTCAAGAGCACCCGGTATATTGATTTGACAGACTGTGCGCTGTTAAGTTGTCCCATGAACCCAATCAAAATAACTCTTAGTTCGGGGTAAAAACAATCGATAGATCTGGTCAAAGAAAAATTCCTAGTACTTATTTTAATACGAAGTCAGATGCTGAATCATTGTACTAATGTTAATTAAACGAACATAATAAACGAAATTGCCATTAAAAATTTGTTTTTTCAAGTTTTTTTATACTCTTTATGAATGATATGAACGAATGTGTATTTGAAATGTTTATTTTTAGAATCTTAGAATTTTTTATTCGCTAATTTTTTTTTTTGAGTGATGAGTTTTTTGTGGCGGAATCGGAGATGCTTACTTTAACCTAATCTACAACTTATATTAACGCATTTCATAACATATCACATCGCTCGCAACAATCATAACGCCAAGACGCCATTTTCGCTTGCCTGTAGGGTCCCAAAACTTTCTTATATAATAATCGAAACATAACCTGTGTACTTGCGAGTATTTCATTAGCCACCTATCTGAGTAGTAGGAAGCTTGCTTTTCAAACAGTTGGCGGGAAATATTTATAGACACAGATATGAAAAATTTCCACTAAGAGATATGGACAAATATGATTTTGTTTTAGACTCGAATGAATAATAGCTGCCATCAGTTTGAATAAAACAGTAAATTAAATACCAAAAACGATTGTAGTATTATTATTAGCCAAATTTTACTGGAACAAATAGATTTTAATAATTAAAATGCATGGCGAAATAATTGGGGAGATTGTCTATAATAATTTAATTTTTTTAATAAAAGACTAATATAAAATATGATTTTTATTGAACTCAAACAAAAATTACATGTCATAGCATACATAAAATTTTCCATCGCTCATTTTCTGCAAGTTATAAATTGCGTTTGAAAACAAATTATTTTCGCAAACGCAAATGAAACCATTTGTTTCTTGAACTTCGTAAGCACATAAATGAGACGAATAGTTAACAATTTTTAGATTTTGACCTACAAACATAATATCTTTAGACTCTTGTTTAATCAAAGTATAAACAATTTTACTTATTTGTACTAAATTTTCATGAATTCCCGTCACTAACACAGAATTTTCGTTATACGTTATTCCATTTACTTTAATCCAGGCAACTGGAGTGTAAGTAAGTTTTACGTCTTCAGACACTTTATCTTTGAATAAATTAAATTTACTTAAAAATTCTATGCTTACGAACAACTGCTTGCCACAATAAATTGCTTTTTGGAATCCCTGGCCAACTAAAAATTCATAATTCAATTGCAACTGATTTCTTATAGCTAAGGTTTTCGGAGAATTAGTTCTCGAAGTGGTTGCTCTAGCAATATTTTTTAATGGCCTATGTCTACCCTCAAAACGCATACACGACAATTGTCGTGGTAATCCTAACAATATAATGTATCTGATGTAGTGCAGCAAATGATGGTGTTTTGGCTTTAATAGTTTTTTTAAAGTCTTGCGATATAAGATATGATGATTTGTTATCTCTTGCTGCAATATCGAAATACTTTTTTCTGTTAGCACTGGAGCAAAGACTAAAAATACTATCTTACGTAATGACAAGTACAACTTCCAAGACTTATTTATGCTGGGGACCAAATCACCAATTAAGAATGTGAGATTAAATAATAAAAACTTCATCTCAGAAGCGCTCATTATTAAACATTTTTTTTTTGTAATGTGATCAATATTTAACGAAGGTGTTTCATTTGTTGCGTTAGGATTAGAATAGCTTTCCAACCTTGTCTGTAGTAAGCGAAAAGTAAATAACTTATCAACAAATATAAGGCGATACAATATCTCTGCTAACTCATATCTGCATAGTCCCTCAAGTAGATCGTGCATTGGGTCAAATGATACGCATTTGAATAGATCAAATCCAGGAATACTAGAAAATATATTTTCGCTTCTGACGCCATGTGATTTTTGTTGAACATCTAATAAATGTGTTTGAGTACAACGTAATATTTTTTCATTTTCTTTGACGCAAGTTTTACACTGTTCCTTACTCATATAACAAATTCGGCATGGAAATTTTGAATTAAAACTTTCATTAAATCCTAACAGTGTGTGCAGTTCTAAATTGTCCCCACTTATATTGAAAATATCGAAATAGACTTTTATATTTCTACCACTTACATTTATCGTAATGCCATTTTTTTGTAAATCTAAGATTTGTCGCACAGCAGGATGAAAAAGCTTAGAATGCTTTACTATTTTCTTAAATTCGGATTTACATATTTGTAGTAGAAATATATTTTGCAAATGACTAGCAAATTCCGGTGGTATTCCTAATATAGTAAAATAAAGGCTATGTAATTTGTTGCGTCCCTTATGGGAACCTATAGGATTATTTATCTCGAAATCATCGCCAAACACAGTAAACGGTAGTACAATTTTTCCTGGAAATTTATTTTTAATGTATTTCCATCTTTCACTGTGAAAAATAGAGCATATACACTTACATTTTTCTTTTTCATTAATATAATTTACTATTGATGAGTAAACGTTTGGAAGTTCGAGAAAATGTTTCAAAACTTTTTTTATAGGTACACTAGCGACCGATACTTTGACTGAAACATATTTTTTTCTTCTGTGAATTCGTTTTGTTTTTAATATATTTGCCACGGGAACAACTTCTGATTCTACATAAAAAAGATATTTGAAAGATTTTATTGCTTTATGATAAGTTGAATAATTAAAAAATATATTTTTCATTAAGTTAAGAATGTTATTGAGGCTATCACAACGTAAAATTTTATTATTAAACGAAAGCATTTTTTCAACAAAATTAGTGTTATAGAAGTTTTGAAACATTGTCATGAGAAATATAATCATGTTTATGGGCAAAGAAATTTTGGCATACAAACTTGACATTAACATATCAACTGCGCCAGCTACTTTTATTTCATAGTCTTGTTTAGTTTCTTCACGAAAATTCGTTTCTTTGCATTCACTTACTTTCTCTACAGGCTTATTATTAGATTCTAACGTCATTTCTATATCTTTGGGTTCACTTACTTTCTCAACAGGTTTATTATTAGATTCTAACACTATTTCTATATCAAGTTTTTCGTTATTTTCAAAGAATTTCGGCTCTTCAAAATTTAAGTTTACAGTCTCATCATTTTCAATCTCTTTTGTAATATTTTCTAAATCAGATGTCGTTTTAGAAAAATGTGACCCCATGTGACTTATAAAAACAGATCTATTACTGAAAGTTCTCATACAGTCTCGTTTATTACATATAAATTTTAAAGCACCTTTATGAAAAACTTTTAAATGTTGCGCAAACAACTTAATCGTACTAAAACTAGATCTACATAAAGAACAATCAAGTACCTCCATGTTCAAAAAGTATTTTTTTTTCTAATATACGACTACAGAACACAATTTTCTCTACTAACTATGAACAAAATGTTGAAGCAATATGAAGTCTTGATAAAACTTTAAATCAACATAATCTTCGACTCGTTGAGTCTTACAAAAATGATGAATTATTCAAAGAAAATAAGATAATAAAACTAGCTATATTTTAGCTATCAGTGAAAGCGTTTAAGCTTGATCTGAATCTTTGTTTAAGTTGAATGGTGGTAAAGAAAATTGTATATCGTTAAGCATCTCTTCTACGCTTAATATTAAGGGATCCCAGCGTGTACGGAATTTGTAAACGCCGTTCTGCAGCAACAACCAAAGATGTTCACTCTGCGGTGGATACTTAGCACTGAACACGTGGAATGATTTGAAACAGTAATCAATAGCTGCTTGTAACGATGGCATCTCATACTCGTTATCATCAATTACTAGATATGATGACTCAACTCTACAATCTTCTTCTCCAACAACTATTATATACGGCTGTAGTGTAATTCGTTTGCTTTTTGCAAACAATTTCTTCTCTTCTTGCCTCTTTTCGATATCTCCATAAATCTGCAACAGGTTTTAAAAATACAGTAAACTGAATTCCGTATAAAGTCATTTTTTTAAATTATAGTTGTAGATAATGCTGGTCAAAAACCTTAACATGAGTAATAATTCCCTCAAAACTTTCGAGACATGATGGTTTCCATTGTTTTCTTCGACCTTGTGAGATTCTTGCAGTTGACGGAAGCATGAAAGATAGTAACAGCATCTGTACATAAACTTTGGAATCTATAAAAAAATTATATCTGTTAATACAAAAAATTATTTAAATAAAAAACGTAAGAGTTGAACGAACCTGCGTTAATGTTTTGTGCTTCTAATAATTCCTTAAGAACAATGCATAATGGATCATTAGGTGTAGATCTTACAGCATAAATTTTTGAAAAAAAATCACTTAAGTTGTCTATCGCTTTTTCAATTGTACACATTAAGCTTAAATCAAAATCCATGTCTATAAGCTCATAGCCTTTAGAACATTTCAAAATGGGCCAAGCCTCAAATATGTTATGAACGAGCTTATTATTTTCACTGTTGTCACCGTTTGGATGTCTGCACTTGTAAGTTGTTTTCCAATGTTTTTTCGCAGTTTCCCAAGGTTCTTCTAGTGTACGAAGCCATTCTAGACTCGCTTGTTCTTCCTCAGTTGGTGTATGTTCATCACTATCATCATGAAATGGATTGTTCTCATTATCTTCTGGCCTATAGATATCAATAGGCAAACGTTTCAAATTCTGATATTTATTCAATAATTTGCCACAAGCTTTTTGGCTTTTTTTATTGAGTGTTTTTTTTTTATCCACTGATGGTGAATAATAAATACAAGCCGTTTCACTGGGAAACACTTCCACAACTTTTCTTCTTAAAATCAAAAAATCTTGTTCCTCTAAATCTCTATATGTGAAGTAAAACGTAAAGCACTTGATCGTTTAAAGTTTACAATATATATTAGAAATCCTTCAATAGATTTTCATATTACCTGTCGCATTCTCGAAGTACAGCACACATCACCAAGTGCACAACTTTTTTCCTTTTATTGAGAGTCAACTTGCGTTTATTATCATAACAATTTAGAATATGCCTTCCTTCAAATGTATCATTCAATGCTTTTTGAACGTTAAAATTCTCTGCCACGAAAATTCTATTCACTATTGGTTGTGCATTATTTATTTGATGCAAAGGAACTCGTTCATGATTTTGTCGCTGCTCATCTTCCAATAATGATGTACCAGTTTTTTGGCTTGTTTGTTTTGATGTTAAAACTGCAGTCTGTAAAGTAATTTCATACTAGTAAGATTATGTGAATTTACACTCAACAATCAAATTATAAATAAAAAACCCTTTATATGCAGCTTTCTTGTTATTTGTAATGATTCGTTTTTTTAATGTATATTGCTTTGATTTTTTCTACAGTATTAAAATTCAATAATATAAATACATACTTACATCTTTAACAAAATACTGTTGGTGTTTTATCCAAAATTCATCCACTCGATGAGAAGGGAGAATTCTCTCCACGTCAGAGAAAGACCATTTGCTTAACGTATCACTTGATACTTTTTTTTCTACAAGCACTCACGGAAAATGAACATTCCGTCAATCATGAATTATTTAACATTCACTCATACCTTTCAGTAAGTCAAACAAATCCTCGCTACTCAATTCGACTAATAAGTTTGCAAGATCCATAATAAACAGCTTCTTGACACAATCGCTCTTTTCAAACAAATAATAAAGTAATAACGTTACTCAATAAATCGCGATACACTGAAAATCTGGTCTAGGTTAAGTTGGACTTTCGAGGTTTAAGCTAGTACGTACGAGCAGTGCCACGTGTCGCTATAATAGAAGCCGGCCGGCGGCCGGTCGCGCGTTATCTGACAAAAGATAGTGACGGGGGGGGGGGGGGGGGAGAGAAAGGGGAATAATGCAAACTCAAAGAAAAAATGCAGTAGGTATTTACACTCTTACCCCATGTTATGCAAACTATAGATCAAGAATATAATATAATAACAAGCTACATTTTATTTTATTATTGAAACTAAAGTCATTTTGATTGGTTTGTTAATGTAATGGGCATACTATCAATTGAAAAGTTAACTCAGTCCCTTGAACGTAGCCATTGTTATTCTGACGTATGAGACGTCAAGTCAACAGCATAGACATTCAAGCAATAGATCGGCCTGTTGAGTCATTTTAACAGACGGCGTTTTATCGAATCAACAGCCGAGTCTGTCAAACCAACAACGAGTCTGTCGAATCAACAGCTTACGAGTTGAGTGAAGCATATAGTAGTTGATGTAAAGACGGTGCTATTGAATGAACAGATGATTGGGTTGATTCGACCATATATTTTTCTCAGTGTAGATATTTATTGGCAAACATTTCAGTATAGTATCAATGGATACATCAATCGATAATAATTGACAAAGTAGACTTTGATATTCGTTTAGTGCAATGAGATCAGTGAAATGACACGTAGGTAAAAAAATGCAACAACCAGATAACCGCATAAAGACTCACTTGAGAGCATTGTAAAGCGTTTCGGTAACGTAGTCGTCGCAAAGAGAGTCTTCGAAAGCTAAGTAGAAGAAATAATTGGGCTCGACGTGAGTTTTGAAGCAGTCGGCGTCCTTGAGACAGTTGGTCGAATCGTCGGAGCACTTGCCGTATTTGTCGATAGGCGCATACTTCTCGAGTTCAGCCACGTAATTTTCACGATTGCTCGGCGTCTCGCAGTTATTACGATACCAAACCGCCAGTTTTCTCTTGGCTATGATCTTTCTAATCAATTGCTCTTCTTCTAGTTCCTCGACAATGTCCTTCTCCTCGTAGCCGCTATCAATCGTTTTCCACTTGAATTCAGTTCTGGATGGTACCGCCACCATTTGTTCCTCGGCAAGATCAATCATATCCGCGTAAGTCCAGATGATATCGCTGTTCAATTGGTAGGTCATCGTCGCGTTGAACAAGTTATTGAAACGATTGCTGATATACTGATTCGCTGGACTTTTCAAAGCAACAAACACGTACTTCTGCTCGGGTCTGCGGCTTGTGGGCAGATCCCGGTAGGTCAGCTCGTCGTGGATACCGTGGTGGAAGACGATCGCGTCGAAGCTGTCGACGCTTTGGATGAATCGACTGTGAGTGGCAAAGCAGTTGTTGAAGCGAGGACAATTTTGAGCAACATAGCCCTCGCCGAGATAGAAACTGTAGTCGCCGGAGAACTGATTCCAGTAGAGGATAGTTTTGATGTTGCCGCGACGAATGAACGCGTAGGCGGCAATGGACGAGACAGTGGCCGGGTTCAGAAAAAGTAGCGCGCACACGCACAGCGATACGACGAACGCGAACACAATGAAGGCACGCCGCGTGTTCATAATGTCCGCGACAGGCTCACGAGAATGTACTTCATTCCGCGGAGATGAGCAGGAGTGAAGTCGAATCAGCAGCAGCTGGTCGGCGAACGTCGCTCTAACAATACGTCAACCCAGTCATCGTTGTAGGACTGCAAACGGCCCAAGGCTGGTGAAAGGCAGAAGATCTGCTGTACTGTAGCAACTGTTTGTTCGCAGCTCACTCAATGCTATTGCGGAATGCGGATTCTCTCTTTCTCTCTCTCTTTCGGCGCGAGTGCGAGAGGCGCTCCTTCTCTTTCAGTCTCAAACAACTTGTTGACGTCATGTTCTAGCGCTTGCAGCAGAATCTATACCTCGCTGTGCTCCGACAACTGCTATGCTTCGATCCCTCCACACCTACTTCCCTACACATCTATGCGTACGAATTATTGCCAATGCAGTGGCTTTGCTGGTACAATCGATAGTGTAAGCAGTCTTCTCAAACTTTCAATGATTGCATATGAATCTACCTTATATGAATATTTTCTATTATACTTAAATTATCATTCTCCAAATTCATTACATAAATAATTTTAACTATGGTGCGTTTATTTTATTACCTACAAGTATTATTGTATAATCTATTCCTTTCAAAAGAAATACTTTATTGTACTTGTTTTGTACAATTTTATCGAAATTATTAGCACACATTATGAAATCAGGATTAAATTTGTTGGAAATTTAGCTGAAAGTAAATAACGAGAAACGATAGTACAAGGATCTATTCATTTCATCAGGCGTTAAACATCTGAATGTTATTGGAAATCATGGATGAATAAAACTTATGTGACATAATAACAGAAATTGAAATTTCTTATCGCGTATGTTAAATATTTCAAGACATTCGACTGTATTGTTCTTTCAAAATCATAATTTTTATTGTCGTTTAAGGTCATTAAACGGTTCATTAAATTGTGGAGTACGTTACTCTTGCATGCTCAAACTTCATCCTATTATTGGTTAAAGGTAATCAAATGTTCGAGACTTGATGACTTATCTATAAAACTGTAGTCTGTAAGATCTGTTTTGATTGATTATAAAATCAATAAATTCACTTTTTTTTCTCAAAATGTTGAATTCGTTAAATTTTATTTATCTGTTTAACGTAACATTATAATATCATGGTCTTTAATAAAATGAAACAAATAAAATAGTAATTTTAATAATTACTACAAAACTGTAAAACTTATAAGAGTAACATCAATATTAAAAATAAAGGACGTAAATAACATAATTATCTTAGTGAAGAATTTGAATAGTCCTGGTCTCGGAACATGCCTTATCCGAAATTGGTGAAAGTTTTATTTCTATAATCCTATTGAAAACTCTAACTTATTTTCGAATTATTAATATCATAATCCGTGAACATTATAACGGGCATTAAAGTAGGAGTACTATATATAAAATGTAACTGATCTGCATTTCTTTGGTGATAATATTTATTTTTACATTTCACCGATATAAAACTCATTGATAGATGAGTGAAATACCTACGTCATTTCGGAAGTATAGTCATCTGATTAAATGTATCAGTCATCAGACAATCTAAGTAGATTATGTGTTGACCTAAAGATTTTGTTAGTCAATATATTTGTAAATCTAAAGTGTAGTCAATATATTTATGAAATTTAAGATGGCAACATCTAATATGACGGCTTGATGCAGACAATTCTTTGCTTATTTCTATATTTTTCGAAAAACAATTTTTTGATGATGAATATTTAATATTTAAATATTTGGTTAATAAAATATATAAATTATCTATATAATACTTTTTTATTCACTTAATATAATAACTAAATATTGAAGAAACATTCAACGATATATGTCCATCTTATCGAAAAGCACTGAGTACACTACTTCTGGAGCGTTGATTGCAAATAAATAATCTAAGTGATTGAAATTTGGATATTGAACTTTATGGTACAAAATAGTTAACGGCAAAAGATCATGTATATGTCTGACATCCTAGAAAGAATGTTTATTCACATTCTGACTAAATTTCTACTGATTTTAGGTACATGATAAGCGGATATATTTTACCTCTGCGGTCGATATTAAATCATTCTCTGACCAGAATAGACCAATTGGTACTCTCACTTTTCGTAAATCATATTCTGGCGGTTCGGGGCTATGATAAACTTCCAAATTTTTTTCAAATCCATAATCATACTTTTGAAACCTTCGGGAAGTTAGTATTTGCAGGTAATGATTCTTTATTTTATTAGCTGATGGTGTTAAGTGGTGACTAAATATTAGCGGGAACAACGTCTAAAAATGATTACTAACACCTGAGTATGACAGTTAGTTAATACAATTACAATATCTGTAACTTACATAATTGAATTGTGAAAAGTCATAACCATTATATGTGAACATGAAAAACAAACAAATACGAGAAGAAAGTAACGTGGAACTGCAGAATTCGTTAGAAAAATATTTGATAATACCTGGAGAGTATAATTCTCCACTACTGAACCGATCAACGAAAGTCTAAAAAATATTTCATCCATTATTTTTTCTCAGATTAACTATACAATCAAACATGTATGGGTTCTTTGTAACATTTCACTTACAATCGTTGAGGTAGATAAAAACGCGGTGATGCGAAGCGGCAATGCAATGTGATTGAGGAAAGCTATGGGAGCAAAACTAAACATCAAGGTGATTTTTGAAGTTATATCGGGTCTTTCCGTGGCCATAACGTAAAAAGCAGTTGTTCCCATAGAATGACCAATATAAAACAGACTACTATTCTGGTGTTTCAAGATGTACGATATTTCAGCGGGAATGTCGTAAAGCCCGATTTCGTTAAAACTGCATATGACATTAGTTATAGTAGATACTGTGGATTAAATCAAATTAGTTGTACCTAAAATTCCAAAAACCGTGATCAGAAGTTGTGTACTTCACATGACAGCTCGAATATAAGCCACCTCTGGCATTCGCCATCCAAACGTCGTAGCCTTTATTTGCTAAAAGGAATGCTAAAAAATCCTTGGTCTTATAATACTTATAATAAAAATTAATATTCCATTTGTTTGATTAATTAAAAATATTTCAACACTGCAGACCTAGAGACTTATGTTTGCCAGCAACTACCCAGTCAAGAGCAGTCGCAGAAAATCCATGATGCAAAAGTACCGGCGGTGCATTTGGTGGCCCTGGGATGCGATTGAGAGTAAGCAAATACCCATCATCCGTTAAGACTACATGATTTTCAGCGGTATAACCTTCTTTTATAATCACGTCATTCTGGAATAATGTGATTGCTATTATAACTTTATGGCGGATATATTTTTGACTAATAATATCATACTGGTGTTGTATCTGCGTATGGTAATTTCGATTTATCACCATAAATGCAATCTTGAATAGATTTACCACCTGCTATTGGTCCCTCGTATGCACTGGTAATACAAATTAGCAATTGAAAAATAATTGTGATGGGAAAACGTATAGTTGATGACATTTTGCGTGTTGCTAAATCGATATTTTGAATGGAAATATCGTAGAAGTAATAAACTCCAAGTCGACTTTGACCACTTGTTACAAGCGTTAATGTAGAAGCTAAGTTATTATCATTATCTCGTAAGTTAATTATTGAATTGGCCATAGAGGAAAAAATGGTAATTACGATAATTTTTTTTCTCCCGTCCACTTAGTATTACGACATAGAATAACTTCATAATTATATACGCAATTGAAACTATTTATAATGGTATATATGGAACCTGTTTAATAGACAAGACGATATTGTTGCAATAACCGGATTAGTTTTGATATAAAAATGTACATTAATAAAAGACCAGGTGGGCAACATTGACATCGGAAAACCGGTTTGAAACATATACGTATAAGAGCAGTTGAAGTGAGCGTTCGATCAACATGATTGCAATTTATGCGCGTGCGATATTTAATTGCGACTGAAAAATTGTCAAAAAGTCAAATTTATTTTGAAAATGAAAAATGAACCTACCAAAGTTACACGTGAAAAGAAAAAGAAAAGTTACCTAGTGCCAAGTTCTTTGTCGGAAAATATAGTCAACCTGAAAATATTTGAACAAATTTTTATAGGGAGAACAAATTGTTGTAGGCAGCGATTATACGATTCAGTTACCGAAAATAGCTATGTTATTTTAAACGACAAAATATTTTCGGCCTGTACATGTGATACAAATAATACCACTGAAGAAATTAAACGTGGAGTCTTATTTTCTCAATCATCAAATCTTTTCACAAACTATTAGTCGTTCGATTGTAGTTGATTCAAATTATAAAATTATCATACGAAGACGATCCACACGATCTACTAAAAAAATGACACTTATTTTGTACTAATAGCGCGTTGTTAGTGAAATATTAATCTGTTAATATGAGGGAATATAGAAATAGAATCAAACTCAACAGAGTTATGGTTAGATTACTGAAAATCTTATTTACAGCCCTAGAAAGTTCCTTCGATTGTAACATATTAATTTATGAAAAAAATTACTTTACCACGCCTATCTGAATGTTAGAGTGAATGAAAATTATTTTAGAAGGACTTGTTACGACCTGTATTATGTAATAAATGGAGCCGATTTTCAAAAAAAGTATTTTTTCTTGTATTTCGACCGGTTTTTCGAATTTTATTAAAAAAATCAATTTATAATTTTAGAAAAACGGTTTGATAAATATGAAAAAATAATTTTTTTGAAAATTGGCTTCACTCGTTCCGTAGTATAGATCCGTATAAAGACAACGAGAATTCTCAAAATAATTACCGTTGATTCTAATGTTCAGAAAGGCATAGTAAAGTCATTTTTTTCAACAAATAAGATGTTACGATTAAGGGAACATTCTTGGGTCACTAAATAAGATTTCGGTACTCATGAGCAAGAAAATAAAAAGCTCGTATCGAGTCCTTTAAGATAAAAAAATTTTTGTGATACCTTTGTTAAGACGATTTTTATAGGCCAACAAACAAAACTTTATATATTCACTATTTAACACCGACTGGTTCCCTTAAGTATTCTGTTTATCTGCATAATACGTATACATACCAATTCCTAACTCGTAATAACTATATTTTTTATTATTCATTATTCTAAAAATATTAATCAATTGACATTAGTATGAAGCGTTAATAAATTAACAGAGAAGTACATTGTACCTGCGAAAGACGATAGGAAGCTTATTAATGTTCAATAAACGGAAATATTACGTTGGTTTTGTTTAACAAATCCTAGATAGTCCGAAAAATTGTATTTCTTAAGTTTAAATTATAAATAATATATAAACAATATGTACTGGTCTCAATCCATCTGAATGATTAAGAACTACACATACTTTCAAAACTTGCGCCATGCACCACCAGCTGCTGTTGCTGCGCGCGCATATTTAAGGCATAGTGTTTCGTGATACTATAGTACTGATGATAATGTCAAGCGAGGCTTGGCGTTGAGTTTCGATTGTTTGGTTTGCGTGCAGTGATTTTTTATGTCCACCACGTTTGTAAATATTACTATTAAATATCATTATTGGAATAATGGATACAGTTTATTTACACCACATAGATAATTTTTTACTTTCTTAAAGTAAACATGTGCACTTCAAGAAATTTATCATAGTTCTAGATAATGAACTATTTTTTAGGTTACATTAATATCTGAACTGAACATTGCATAATTAAATGTAAGTAAATTTTATTTTGCACAATTGAAAAGGCACAATCAATGACCGCTGAATATTATAACGGGTAGAGGTTTCTTTCTTATTGTTGCACGATCATGAACGATAGGGTTGGATTTGTGAAATACATACGTTTAGGCGATAATTAACAGCGTATTTACTTTATTAATTCAAAATGAGAAAGGGACTGTATGTGCGCATGCGACTACTGTCTGAACTAAAATACATCCAACTCGTGCCGAATTTACCCTGGTGCGCATTTTGCCGAATTATTCTCGTGGAAGTGCACATGCAGGTGTAAGAACGTAGGAATCGTTAGAAAAAACGGAAAATGGATTCGAGCGATTCTTACAAGGGTTTATTCGTGACGATATCAATAATCCGAACATTATAGATAATATTTATATCATTTAATTCAGATATAGTAAAAACTATAGTTGGCTCTATAAAATTACTAATAATATCAATAGCAATAACTTTCCGTACGCTACGGTATTTTGGAAAATTTTGGAAAAGTTTATTATATCAATATATTATATAAGTTTAATATCAATTAAAAAATTCAAAATTAAATTATTCAGTGTAATTTAGAAATATCCAGATTATGTATGCAGATATATAATTCAAAACTCCTTCATTATAGTTATTTGAAAAATTTACAAAGCAATTGTTAGTATTTCATTTCATAATTTTTATATAAGAAATCGTATCGAATTTAGACAGAGAAAAATGTTCGTTTAAAAGTGATCTGCATTGTCTGTTACAGAAACTGTAGAAATGATGCAGAACGTAGACTCGTGTTGAGAAAATATAGACTAATAATATTTAATTTATCCAAAATCAGTTTTTTAATATACCATGGATTTAGTGAGTATACAATAAATTATATATATTTTTTACAATATTTTAATGAATTTCAGTAATATTGTTATTTTTTTTTATATTTATAAAAATAAATTTTCAAATAACAAAAATCTAAATTAATTTTAATGTTTTGAGAATTTCTTTACTTTTAAAGTATCAAATGATTATTGCATTTAGCCACGCGGAGATGGTTTATTTAGATATATTATTTTGTATATGCAATACTAAATGTCTAGTGATTATTTCAAGCATTGCCTGATATTCGTCCGTTTATTTATTGTCCAAGAAAATTTCGTTTATATCTCAAAATCAATTTAAGGATCCTCTAGAATTTAATAAAAATTCATTCGTAAATTAGTTTGGAAGCATTAGTTAAATTCATAATTTACGATAATTAATGTGTGATGTACATTTCTTTCAATTTAACTGAAATATAAATCTATCATTTATTCATCATTTAAAATCCGTTAAACTTTTGAAACAGGATAACATTTTCAGTAGTTTTAATTAACCTCGAATGTACGCACAACCAATGTTTTTGTATTGTCAATTTTCTCGAATTTTTTGAATTGATAACTTTGTAAATATGTTAACTTTTTGGATTAAATACATTCCATGCAATATCAATCTACCAATACCAATATTTTTTCCGATTACAGTACTGTTTCATTAATGGCAAAAAGTTAATTCATTCAGCATTAATCATGGCCTTAAAAAGTGAAGATAAAGCTTACTTAAAGAAGAAATTAAAAGGGGTTATCTTTGGCAGTGTAATTGATGATACAGGATCGACTCTTCTTCACGAAGCTGCTTATTCTGGCAGTCCAGTTGCAGTTGACTACTTAATAAATTCTGGATGTCAAATAGACGCCCAAAAGGACGATGGCTCAACTCCATTAATGTTGGCTGTGGCGAGAACTCAAGTTAAAAACGTAGAATTGTTGCTCGACGCTAACGCCGACATTCATAAAATTCATGACAGTACCGGCCAAAATGCATTGCAAATGGCTTTAAAATCTTATAATAGTTCCGAAACATTAAGGATCATGAAGATGTTTCTTGTTAAAACAAAAAAAATTTGTCTCTCTAATGAAGAGCTAGCAGATATTTTATTGAGCTCTAACTGTGTTTTAGATCGAATTATGTATTTAGGTAATTCAAATTTAACGAAAGTAATACTCGATCGTGGTTTTAATGTTAATGTGAAAAATTCCGAGACTGGTAACACTGCCTTGCACATAGCTGCAAAATTAAATGATGTGAAAAACGTTTCGATGCTATTGCAGTATAAAGCTGATGTGAATGCAGTGAACGCCGTTGACCAAGTACCGTTCACGTATCACATTATTCACAGGAAGGTACAAAATTTAGTAATCATGTATAATATAATTCCCGAAGACATAAACTGGACGAGTCCAGACAAAGAAGACCCCCGGAGACTTAAACTCTACCCAATATTCGCTAATGGTACCGAAGAAACGATAAATCTGTTTATTAAAAAGTTTAAGGTTAATTTCAAGGTACGAGACCACTGTGGTAGAACAGCTTTACACTACTTGTCTTTTAACAACAACAGAAAAGCTCTGAAACCGTTGCGGTACATAAATTTTGATATAAACGCTAGTGATATTAACGGGGAAACTGCATTGCACGTCGCGGCAAGGCAAGAGGCATCGTACGTTTTGGAATTTTTGCTAGACAAGAAGGCAGATGTCAATGCATTAGATAACAATGGCTATTCACCTTTATTTCACGCAATTCATAAAAAAGGAAAGACATCGCGTCGTGTATGGTGCGTCAATCTTCTCATGCAGCATCATGCCGATGCGCAAATCATATCTGAAAGTAATGAAACGGTCATTCAAATGTGTATTGAATTGAAAAATTATAATTTGGCCGAACCTATTTTAGCACATCTTGCAATATTAGATGAATTCGGTACACCCATCAATGAAATCATTCAACAACAGATCGACTCAGTAAAGAGACTTAGAGACTTTTATAAATCGTGTACGCGACAATTAGCAAGAATGAAAGAGGATGTGATTTTTGAAAACAAGACATTATTCGATTTTTTAGCTGAAAGACAAGAAGAAAAAATCTTTCAATATGTACGTAGACCAGAAGTTGTTGAAAAATTTAGACGCAACACGTTTAATTCAAGTTCATACTATTGTAATTTATTAAGATATCGTTATGATAAGGCTGTAATGACGAATAAATTAAGAAAGAAAGCTGCTTCGATAATTAGTGGAATTATAGGCCGTTTTGACTCAAATCATATTGCCATGCAAGCAATAATTGAATACTTAGACTTTTATGATTTAAAAAAATTTCGATAAAATTGTCAATTTTAAAAAAACATTGATTATTTGCACTTTCGAAATTAATAAATACTACTGGAAATGTTATCGTATTTATAATATTTGGAACGGTTTGCTCTATACATTTTCATAAAATTTATTATCAAATTGTACAGCTTGTGTTGTAAATAGAAGTTTTATGTGCTATGTTAATCTGTGTATGTGGATATTTCATTGCAGTCGTTTAAACGATAAAAAGTAATTAGAAATAGCGAAATAAAGTAAATTATAGATAGTTGAATAAAAATACTTTGATATTATAAATCAAATTTTGTTTTGCATCGTTAAATAATCTGATAATTCAGTCAAATAAGTCACTTTATATCGTTTCTATAGATTATTAAATTGACATATGTTGTAAGATAAGATATATTTTTACATTTTATTTATTATATTTTCATAATAAAATTATCATGATACAATTTATATTCTCATGATTTTAATACCTTCTTATAAAAATCTTTTGTAAACCTTTAAAAAAACGCATCTACACATGAAATAGCTTGTGTGTGTGTGCGCGTGCGTGCGTGTGCGTACGTGTGTATGGGTGTGTGTGTGTGTGCATGTGTGTGTGTGGTTTTTATTTCTAAATCTGACTATTTTTATTTATATTTATAAAATAAACCAATTAACCAAATATTACTGTTTCACGAAGATTACTGTTATTATTATTATTAAATCCTTCTATAAATTATTTTTTAAACTAATTATGTAATTTATATACGATGTTACAGTTATTAAAGCTTCCAAATGACAAATGAATCAAAAGTTGAATTGAAAATTGATCGATGCACTTATGAAAAAAGGATAGCTATATAGTCATATATATATATACGTATGCGTACTTGAAGGTTCATAATAATCTGAGCTGGTGGATGAATAAGCGTGAATTCTTCTCTGCGTTGTCCACTATCGCAGCACTCTTATGTCTTATCGATAATGTATGCGTGCCTGGAATGCCCAAGCGTATATATATACAAATACACGCAGAACTGAAGTGGCTTTTAGTCTCTTACATGCTACTGCTTTGAAATGAAGCTTAAATTTACTTTACTACTCGTTATCAAACTTTGCTGGGCTATCAATTTATACAAAGATGAGGAACTTCAATTTCGATGCGGCTACGAAGTGAGTATTTATATTTTTTAAGAAATCAGCGTTGCGTTAATGATTCAACTGTCCAGTGAAGACTAACATTGTTACTTAAATAGATGCTTTCTATTTCTGACCAATATTTCCATCATTTCGTTCATGAGCGCGACAGCTGATTTTTCGGTTCTCATATAAATTAATATTACACATTTATAGAACACCTTAATTATTTGTGCGATATTTAAAATCATTTATAAGAATAGAATTATCAAATATCGGATATACGTTAGAATGTTAAACAATAATAAAATGAGGATAATCATCTGAATTATTTTGTCATAGTGTAGTATTTTGTAAATAACAACAAGTATGCGTGATGGTATATTTATGATTATAGACCTGTACGAAAAGTGATACCGACAAATTAAACATCCATTTTGTGTCCCACTCGCACGATGATGTTGGCTGGCTGAAAACGGTCGACCAATATTATTTTGGTGGTAATATTTCAAATGCTCGTGAAAAATTACAAATTTATTAAAGAAAATAATAAACAATCAATTATTTCACAAGGTCGCATGAACATTCAAGTGGCTGGCGTGCAGTACATCATTGATAGCGTTGTCGATTCGCTTTTAAAAGATTCTAACCGAAGGTAAGTGGTGGTTACAGCTTAATAATTAATAGATCAGTTATTTGAAAATATTAGTACTAATTAATAAATACATTTTTAACAAGTCATATCGTTTAGATTTATTCAAGTAGAAACCGCATTTTTGTGGAAATGGTGGCAGCGTCAAGATGACGAAAGGAAACAAGCCATGAGAAATCTGATAAACGAGGGCCGTCTCGAGATCATTGGCGGAGGTTGGAGTATGAACGATGAGGCTGCTACTCATTACCAGTCCTTAATCGACCAATACACATGGGGTTTCAGGTTCTTATGCTGTTCATTGTTAATCTATAATATTGCTGTACCTGTAGAAATAATATTGCAATTAATTGTGCAGACGCCTCAACGACACTTTTGGTGAATGCGCTCGTCCCAAGATCGGTTGGCAGATTGATCCGTTTGGCCATTCCCGCGAACAAGCATCGATTTTCGCTCAGCTTGGTTTTGACGGCATGTTATTGAACCGTATCGATTACCAAGATAAAGAGCAGCGACTCCAAAATAAAACCATGGAATTTATCTGGGAAGCAAATCCGAGTTTGGGTAAAGAGAAAACAAGCTGATATAATAAAATTGCCTGTTGCTCTTGATTATAATACCCTGATTTTAGGTCAGCGCGGAAATTTATTTACGACGGTATTATACAATCATTACTCAGCACCTCCAGGATTTTGTTTCGATATTCTGTGCCGTGACGAGCCGATGATAGATGATACCGAGAGTCCAGACTTTAACATCGATAAAAAGGTACAGCATGAAATGGTGGCAGTTGTCAGAAGTAACATTGATCGTGTAATTCTGTATTTCGTAACAGGTTAAAGCATTTTTGGAGTTCGCTGACAAGCAAGCAATAGCATACCAAACGAATAATATAATAATAACAATGGGCGGTGATTTTAATTACTTGAATGCGGAAATGTATTTTACTAATTTAGATAAATTGATTAGGTACTGTAAGTTTACTGAACTAACTAACTAAGCATAAAATTGTTTAACTCAATTTAATAATTCACAGTGGAATAAACAAACTAAATGGTAAACAATATAAAGCTTTCTATTCAACACCATCATGCTACTTGAAAGCTGTAAATGAGCAAAACTTGACTTGGCCGACGAAAAACGACGATTTCTTTCCATATGCCAGCGATTTTCACTCTTTTTGGACGGGCTACTTCACATCCAGGCCCGCTCTTAAGTTCTTCGAGAGGATGGGAAACAACTTTTTGCAGGTGAGCAGCAATCTTGTAATGTTTGAGATTTACAAAAGGATTATATTCATTGTTCTAAACTAATAATGCAGGTGGTTAAACAATTGTCGTCTCTAAGCAAAACAGTCGACAGTTACGAGTTACAACTATTTCGTGAAGCCATGGGTGTGATGCAGCACCACGACGCTGTGTCCGGTACGGAAAAGCAACATGTAGCTGAAGATTACGCTCGACTTTTACATCACAGCGTGAAAAACGGAGAACGACTAGCTTCTGATGCCTTACGGTAGTAATCTATTAATTTTTTAACATTCATGCAACAATAAATGTTCTGATTAATAATTGTAGCAAACTGATGAGCAAGAATAATACTAACAATAACAAACTAGTACTTCATTCATGTCTCTTATTCAACATCAGCTCGTGCGAATATACGAGTGCTAATTCGAAATTCGTCGTGACAGTATATAATCCGACAAGTCAACCGCTTAATACATACGTTCGTGTGCCAGTTCAACAATTGCAATATAGCGTCAAAGATTTTAATGGTTTCTTGAAAATAAATTACAATATTCTAGCATATAATATAGTTATAATGATAACTTTCTGATGTAATTGACAGGAAAAATACTCTTGAATCAAATTTTACCAATACCGGAACAAGTTCAAAAGATTCCTGGAAGATTAAGCCCAGCTACGCATGAATTAGTTTTTCAAGCGCACAATATTTCTGCTCTTGGTTATCAGTCTTTTTATGTGAGTATGAAATTTAGCAGATCCAGTGAGGTCGAATTCAATCAATACAATGAACAATTCATCAATAGACAGGTATGTACAATAATTATTCATCAAATCTGAAATAAAATACAGTAATATTTTTTTATAGCAATATAAGATTTTTGTCAATCAACATGGTAGAGTGTCGGTCGAAACGCCGACCGACATCAAATACGAACAGTCCTTTCAATACTACGAAGGTATTGAAGGTAACAATCGTGTGCCGATTAATCGATCCTCGGGTGCCTATATTTTTAGACCAAGACATGATCACGCTAAAGCCATGCCCTTCACAGGAAACTCTGTCTCAGTTTTCAAAGGTACCGATGGTTGGAGAAGTTGAAAAAAAAACAATTTGTTAACGTCTCATTTGTGACTTACTTACTGTCATAGGACCATTAGTTCAAGAGATTCATCAAGTAATTAATAAATGGACGAGCCAGGTTGTCCGATTATACAACGACGAGGAACACGTAGAGTTCGAGTGGCTGGTTGGGCCAATTCCTATCGAGTAAATAAAAAACTTTTCAGCTATTTGTTATACATAAAATCAATACCATATTAATTGATTTTTAGAGATAAAATTGGTAAGGAAGTTACCATAAAGTATTCTAGTAACTTGAAGAACAATGATGAGTTCTATACTGATAGTAACGGACGTGGGATGCTCAAACGCAAACTCAATTATAGATCGACTTGGAAACTGAAACTTAACGAAACAATCTCTGGTAATTACTATCCAATCAATTCTAAAATTAGTATTATGGATCAGCAAAAAAATCGTCGCCTAAGTGTCCTTAATGATCGCGCTCAGGGTGGAACGAGTTTGAAAGAGGGAGACATTGAACTAATGGTAATTAGTTTAATCAATTAACGATGAAAAATATAGTAGAATGTGTAATAAAATTTTGTTTCGTCGATAGATTCATCGAAGACTTCTGCACGACGACGCTTTTGGAGTTGACGAGGCGCTAAACGAAACCGCCTACGGTCAAGGGTTGGTAGTTCGAGGTCGGCATATTCTCATTGCTGGTAGCTTATTGAATTATAATGAACTCATCTTACTGGAGAAAGAAGAAACGATCAGGCTGTCTTTACGTCCATGGCTATTCATATCACCAACAACATACTCTTTTGAGCAATGGAAACAGCATTATAACATGAAGGTAGGTATTGAATAGTTCAGTTTTTGATATTATTAAAACTAAATATGACGAAATAATTTAGAGCAGAGATAGCGTTATTGGCAAACTACCGAAAAATATTAGAATACTTAGTCTTGAACCGTGGAAGGATCAACATATTTTGCTTCGACTCGAACACATTTTCGAAGCAACTGATTCGTCCAAGTATTCCGTTCCTACTACTGTTGATTTCAACGTGAGTAAATAATGAAATTTTATTTATTACTAAATAATTTACTTATGTGTCTACTATAATGCAAATTGATACAGCTACTCTTCCCCGACATTGATGTATTCGCTACTGAGATGACGCTTGGAGCTAATCAACAAATAGATAATAATGTACGATTAGAATGGAATGCTCAAAATAATGAAATTCCTAACGCTGGAAAGCAATCAGACAATACCAATATGAGATTCATCAGACGAGTGATCATGAAGCCAATGGAAATTAGGACATTTGTCATACGAATGTCTCCTCGCATGAAAGCCAGATCGTGAAATACTTGTTTTCATTCATCTTCATGAATTTAATAAGTAAACATTGTAAAACTTATGAATGAAATTTTATTTTTTCATTATTGCTTAAAAATATTATAATTTCTATACTATAACAAACTCAACTTATGGTTACTCCTTTCCTTTACTCCACCAAATTTAATTCCAGTCATGACACGACTTAAGATATATAATATCATTGATTTTCCGTTTTTTTCTTCATTTATCACAAAGAAATTGATCGATGCGTTTTAATTTTCATCTCTTTATCATTTTTAACAATAATGTATGTATATTCAATAAAAATCCGAATCTTATATTCTGTAATTGGTCATAAATTTAACTTCATGTTGTAACTTATTTCTATCTAATTTTGTAAAGAATGGCTTTGTCGAAAGAAATAGTTATGGTCTTGTTAAGCAGTTCCATAACTTACGGCATTATTGCGCGCGAGCTATAAGCGAGTGCCAGCTTAAGTGGGCCGATCATCGAAAGACTTAAGAGATATGACAGGATATGTCTGCGGGCCTGCTTTTATTTATATAGGTAAGAGATTTTTCCTATAAGAGAAGTTGCTATTTTGCATATGCAATGAATGAAATTAAAATGGGTGATGAAAGAAAAGGTATAAACTTTTCATTATTTGCTTATAAATCCTAATTAATTTTTTAAAATTAATTCAACAAAATTATAATACTTTGATTAATGCTAATGTTAAAACGTAACATACTGTCTTGCTTCCCTTATAGTTTTCTTAAATGATAAAATTTGTAATAATGGAAAAAAGGGACAACCTGGGAAAAGGGAGATTTTGAATCCTGTTACGTTAGATAATTTAATAATGTTATTTAACGTTTGTTGTATTAATGCTTGGCTGGTTTTGATATTTTTGCCTTTAATGAAGAATGTCCAATCATCAGCGAAGGCGGTGCATGAAGTCAGTGGTTGAATATACTTAGTTAGCTTATTTATTATAATTAGGAAGATAGTGACACTAATTACTGCACCTCGTGGTACTCCATTTTCTATATATATATTATCGGATAAGTTGTTGTTGATTTTGACTCTAATGGATCTACTATTTAGGAAATTTTTAATAAAGTAATATATATTTCCAGTGAGTTTCAGTTTAACCAGGATTTCTAGCACTTTTTGTTTCCAGATAAGATCGTAAGCTTTTTTTCATATCAAGACCCACAACTACTAGATGTTGTTTATTGTTAAGGGCTTCGCATATATTTGATTCTAATGCTACTAGGCAGTCTGTTGTAGAACGACCTTCTCTGAATCCACTTTAGAAGTTGGAAATCATTTGGTTTTTTTCTAGGTACCATGGAAGTGTTTTATTTATAATCTTTTCCATTATTTTGCATAGACAGCAGGTTAGTGCAATTGATCTGTAGCTATCTTTATTGAGTTTATCTTTACCTGGTTTCAAGACTCGCACAACATATGCCTGTTGCCATTTAGTCGGAAATACTTTTTTTCCCCAGATTATGTTAAATACTTTAACAATGCTTTCTAGTGCTTCCTGTGGTAATTGTTTGAGAAGTATATTTGGTATTCGGTCTGGTCCAGGGCTTGTATTTTTACTCTTTGTTAGTGCTTCTTTTAGTTCTGAGATTTTTATTGGTTTATCGATTTCGCTGTGTTTGGCTGAGCCTTCTTCTGAGGTCCTGTTCTTATGTTTTTTTGTATTCACGAAATTCTAAATTGTAGTTGTTATCACTAGAGTTATTTTCGAATTTGTTGGCAAAGATGTTTGCTATTTTTATTGGGTCATTTATAATGTGTCCGGATTCCATCAAATAGGTGATTGGTTGTTTGTTTTTTCCTTCGATTGACTTTATTTTATTCCAAATTTCTTTAATAGGTTGTTAATTATTTATTTTCTGTAGAAATTTTAGCATTTGGGGAGGTTCTATGACTTAATCAATAGCATCCCTATTTAGATTTTCGAATAGATCAAAGGCACATTTAACTACCAGATTTAGTTAGACCCTTTCAAAATCATATTAAAATTACATTAATATAGTAAAAAGTATTACCATTTCATTTTTTCAGAATGAAGCATTATTTGGTAATTGTATAAACATACATAAGCATAAATATTTATATAGTCTTGATTCAGGTTGTGAAGAAGTAGTTGCAGTCACTTACAGTTCGATTAACCACGTGCATCCGAATATCTTGTCATAGCTTGCATTTTTTACCGACTTCACAGAGAAAGATATTCTATTTTCACATTTTTTTTTTTTTTTTTTTTTATTGAGCTTTCTCAACTCCTTTTGGAGTTATTTAGCTATAAGTTTACATTGTTTTTTGATCTGTACAAGTAGGATACATTGTAGATATAGATGAAAGTTTTGCGGTGGAAAGATTTTACATATTATACATGTAGGTTACAATTTTTGAGAAACGTATACAATATATTACAAACTTCTGTTTTGGGATCATAGATTAGACAGCGGATATTCAGAGGTAGTTGAAGCCTGTGTTTTTTTAGTTGGTTAACAAGTTTTTTCCTTTGATTGTCAAGTAATGGGCATTGCCACACAATGTGGTCAATGTCTTGCAGATCGTGTCCGCATGAGCAACAGGCGGAGGAAGCCAAGTTTACTCGTGCTAAAGAGGCAGCTAAATTATAATGGTTAGCTCTCAGGCGATTTATTGTGACGATGGTGTCGCGGTTTAGATTCTTTTTGTGGAACCATGGTTGATTTTCCTCTGTGCCAAAGTAGTCAAAGTATTCTCTGCCTTTGTGCGTACTAAGTGATATATTTCTAATCTTGGTATTTTCAGATGCTTCTGTTTTGAATATCTGACGCAAGTCGGAGTAGGGAATATGAGCGTATTTTGAGTGTGGTTTGCTAGTTGCATTTTTCGCTGCCTCGTCTGCTGATTCATTCCCACAGATTCCAATGTGAGAGGGGATCCATATAAGCTGAACAGTGCTTCCGTTTGGGGAAGATTCTTTGAATCCATAAACTTTCTTTTTGATTTGCAGGAGGTAGTTGTTTGTTTTAATGTCAAATATTGTGGAATTTAGTTTATGTAGAACGCTTAGGGAATCTGTGAAAACGAGAATGTTTCTGTTTGTATTTTCGAGCGCAAGATCGAGTGCATCGTTTAGGGCAATAGATTCAGCTGTGAATATGGAGGCTAGTTCGCAAACGCTGCGGTCAATCGTGAATTGCAATGCCGGGCATATACATGCTGTGCCAACCGACTGGGCTCCTGTTACTTTGCTACCGTCTGTGTAGACGGCTATAGCGTTGTTTTTTGTTACATAATTTTCTATGACACGATTTGGAAAATGATTAATTTTTACAGTTTTTCCAAGTTCTAGATTTACATTTATGCTTTCGATTAGTGTATCGTAATTGTGCATGTAAATGTTGAATTTTTTGTCAGTTTTAATATGTTTTCTGAGAGGGATCACAATGCTAATACCTTTGGCTAGAAGGCTCTTTCTTTTATGTTTGTTGAATTTTGCATGAAATCGGATGATTGATTTAGTTACAGGTAGGCTTTTGTTGGTAATCACTTTTGACAGATATGTTGAGCACAAGTATACTCCCCTGTCGTACAGATATGGAAGTTTTGATTCTTGTGTTAGGACGTTGGTCGGGGTGGAGATCCTGTAGCCAAATGCATATCTTATGGCCAAGTATTGTATTCGTTCGAGGCTTTCCAATTGTGACTTTCTACGAGGAAAATATACAAAGTTGGCGTAGTCTACTATCGGTCGTATGTAGCTTTTGTAGAGCGTTATCAAAGTACTTGGATCTGCACCCCACCAGGTTCCTCTCAGGAATTTCAGTATATTCATTACACGTAGACATTTTTTTTTAACATTTGAAATATGTTCTTTGAAAGACAGTGTGTAGTCTAGCGTTAGACCTAGGTAGCGAGCGCACGCTGTAGACTTTATGTGTGAGTTATCAATCTTAATTTCGCTTTCGCCAGGAAGGATACCCAACTTGTTAAAGTGAATAAAGGTTGTCTTTTCAGGGGAGAGTTCAAGTCCAATATTATCTAGATTTGTTTTTATAATTTGTACAAATTTTTCGGTGGTGGATAGACCTGCTTCTGCGGATTTATTTTTGACAATAATGGCTAGGTCGTCTGCAAATTTTGAAATAACCGCGCCTTTGGGTAAATTTTTGAGGGCCAGGCTTATATAAATAATAAATAATAAAGGACTCAACACTCCTCCTTGAGGGACGCCTTTGTATACATATCTAAATTCGTTGCCGAGAGTGTCTGCATAAATTATTCTTTCGTACATAAGAAATTTGACAAATTCAATTAGATTCGAGGGACAGTTCAGGTCTGCTAAGACTTGTAAAAGAATTTCGCAATTTACGTTGTCGAAAGCTGATTTAATGTCCAAGAAAACTGCAAACACGTGTTGTTTTTCTTTAAAACCTTCCTCAATGATGAGTTTTAAATTCGCGAGGTTGTCAGTACACGATTGGCCCTTCCGGAATCCGGATTGAGCAGTTGGCAAAAGGTCATTACTTTCAAGATACCACTGTAGTCGATTTTTTATGAGGGTTTCGAACAGTTTACACGTACAGGAGGAGAGGGCTATTGGTCTGTAATTGGTTCCGTCAGATTTTTTAATGAAGTGAATGTATTGTTTTTTCCATTCGTTAGGATAGTCGTTAGATGCGTACATCTCATTAAATATGTCTAGGAGTATCAGTTTGTAATTAGTTGGTACAGTTTGGAGAATTTCGTAATCGATGCCATCCATGCCAGGGGAGGAATTATTTTTTTTCGGGTCGAGGGCCGCATTAAACTCGGAATACTGAAACGATTTACTTAGAAATTCGTTGATATTGCTGGGTGGGTGAAAATCTGGGTTAATGGGGGCCCATGGAGGAGCGACTTTGTTTAAGGCTTCTTTTATTTTTTTTTCCGCGTCAAAGTTAAAATCATTATGACGAATTTTTGTCCATTTATTTTTAAGAACTTTAATTTTGTTCCAAACATATGATTTGTTAGTCGTGAGGTTGAGTGTTTTAACAAAAAGTTTGAAGCTCTCTCTTTTTTTTGATTTGAGGGTCTTTTTGGTTATCGTGACTTGTTTTTTATAATTTATGTAGTCTTTCGTTTTATGTGTAAATTGCCATTTTTTATGAGCGGCTTTACGTAACCGTAGGGCTTTGTCGCATTCTGCGTCCCACCATGTTAC